ATTATTTTCTCTATACGTACTTTAGATTTTTTTAAAATTAATTTTCTCTAATTATTGAATATATAATTTTAATAATATTATTAAATATATTTTATGTTAATTTAATTAATTTATTTCATTTTTTATATATTTTAACTTTTTATTAAAAAAAAAAAAAAATTTTTTTTTTTTAATCTTCAATTAATAAATTATTTATTTTTTTTAATTTGCCAGATAATTAAATCAATTAATTAATTAATGCAATAAATATTAATTAATTAAGGCAATGAATATAATTAATTTAATAAATTTTAATAAATAAATAAATTAATTAATTAATGCAATAAATATAATTAATTAAGGTAATGAATATAATTAATTTAATAAATTTTAATAAATAAATAAATTAATTAATGTAATAAATAATAATAAAAATTTAATTTTAATTTTTAAAAAGAAACAAAATTTTAAATAGAGAGAAAGTCAAATTTTTATATATTAATATTCGAATCGTACGATATTTCGTGTGAATGAAATTTTCTTGTGCCTATTTAGTGTGTGTGTATATATACGTATTTGTATATATATATATATATATATTATGCCTTACATTGTGAACGAAATGTTCAGTCTATTACAAACGACTCGACGGGTTGGACGTTCGATTTCGAAAAGCCTGTCACTTTAAAATCCGTCCGTTAATTAGAGAAAAAAAAATTAATTAATTTTAACGTTTGATTTAATAGTAAGTGTCATTTTATAATAAGTGTTTTTTTTTTTAGAAAAAAGAAAAATTAAAACAAAAGTGAAAATCGTCGTTTTTTTAAGTGGAAAAAAAAGGGAAAAAATTTATCGATTTAAAAGAAAAAAATTAAAAATAATTTTTTCTTAAAATTATATTTATATTAAATAGTTATTAATTAATTATTATTAATTGATTTATTATTATTATTATTAATAGTGGAATTAAAAATTATTATTTGGTATAATTTTAATTAATTCTTCTTATTATAATAATTAATTATTGTTATTTATTTATTTATATTTTTATATTTATTTATATTGTTATAATTATAACTAATTACTTATTATTATTATTTTTTTTACTATCATTATTATGAGCGCTCATTATTATTATTAAATTTAATTATTTATTATAATTTAGTTATTTTTATTATAAATTAATTATTATTGTTATCATTTAGTTATTATTATTATTATTATTATTATAATTTACTTATTATTTTTTCGAAAAATAATTTTCTAATTTTTGAAAAGCTAAAATAATTATTAGTAGAAAAATATTTTAAGTGATTTTAGTAACATTTTTTTTTATATTTAAAAATATTTCTAGTGATTTTAGTTTCTTTTTTTTTTTTAGATTTAAAAATATTTTCAGTATTTTTTTTTTCCTTATCTAGAAGAAAGAGAAAATTTTGTTTCTAATTTGTATATAAATTTTCATTTTTTATTGGGAAAATTGAAAAATAAATTTTTAAATAATTAAATTTAATGAAATTTTAAAGTGACAATAATTATTATAATAATTACAAAGTAATGAATGTTAATTACAAAGTCATGATAAATGAAAGGCAGACAAATAGAATTTTTTTTTTTTGTTTCATTGACACACAGACACACACAAAAATAGACACAGATTTAGAGCTTTCACTTTTATATTTTTCTCGTAATTTTTTCCCTTACAAATGTAACCTTCATTTATATATTTATTCAATTTTTTTATTTATTTATTTTTTTATTTTTTATTAAAAAAAAAGAAAAAATAAATTATATTAATAAATTTATTCATTTTATTGTTTAAAAAAAATTTTTTTTTTGTTTTATAAATTGATTTCTCAAAATTTCCCATATAACACGTGTTTCGTCACGTGACATCAATTTGACGACAATTTTTTTTTCTCTTTTTTCATATAGTGACGAAATATATATGGAGATAAATAAAAATTATTATTTTTCTTATTCAAACTTTTTTTAAAAAAAAAAAAATGAAATTTTAATTAATTTTATTTAAAATTTTATTTTTAGGGAAAACTCGATTTAAAAAAAAAACTGCATAATTAATCAATTAATTAATAATAATAATTTAATAATTAACTGCATAATTACCTTTTTTATTATTACATTATTTTAATTTAAAATAACTACAAATAAATAAATTATTTGGTTATTATTATTATTGTTATTGATATTGTTATTGTTATTGTTATTGTTATTGTTATTGTTATTATTATTATTAATTAATTAATATTTTTTTAAAATTCTTGTTAAAAAAAAAAAATTTTCAAACAATTCCTAATATAGAGTAATTATTTTTTTTACTTAATTAATTTTGTTGAAATTTTTGAATATTTTTTTTTTTTTTTTTTAGTACAATTCTTATCGTTAAAATGAGATGAAAAAAAAAAAAAATTTCCCTGCGTCAGTCAACACGTAATATTCCGTTAACAAAGCATTTTTTTTTCTGTCTGTTATGCATTTCTTAAAAAAAAAAATTTAATAAACAATACGGAAATTATTATTTTTATTATTATTATTATTATAATTATTAGTATTATTATTTATAAGTTACTATTAAAAAAAAAACAAAAAATAATTTTTCAAAAAAATTATTATTTACTATAAAAAAAAATTGTTTTTTTTTTTATTAATTTTGTTATTTAAATGAAAGTTTTAAAAAAAGGAAATAAAAAAAATTGTTTTCTAAAAAATATAATTGTAATTTAAATTTTCGAATAGAAGATCGAGAAATTATTTCGAATATATCAGTTAGAAAAGGAACTTTTCCCTCAAAGGAATGCGGTCAATCAACTTTTAGGCTTTTTAAGTTTGGGTTTCCTTTTTTTTTTTTTTTTTTTCTTTTCAAGGAATTTAAACTTGACCCAGCGAACGAAATAAATTGAGGCCAATTTTTGTATGTTTAAATTTAGAAATTTTTCTTTTTAAAATTCAATTTACTAATAATAATTATTTTAATAATAAAAATTATAACAATTATAACAATAATAATAATAATAATAATAACAACAATAATATAATAATTATAAAAAAAAATAATTTTAATAATAATAGTAAATATATTATACAAAAAAATTATTAAATTTTTATAAATTTTATTTATTATTATTTATTATTTTATTTATTTATTTTATTATTTAATTAAATAATTATTGTATATGAAATATTTTTTTTTTAATTAATTTAAAAATTTTAAAAGAATTTAAAAAAAAAATTATTATTTGTTTCCATTCAAAAAGAAAAGTTTACATTAATATTTTTTATTTGAAAAAAAAATTTAATTTTTTTTTTATTCAAAAATTAATGTTAAAATTGTATTAAAAAAAAAAAAATTAATTAAATTTTTATATAAAAAAGAAGAAATTTGCAACAAAAAATTTTAATATTAGGAGGAAAAATAATTTCTAACAAGTTTTCTTTTTTTTTTTATTTTTAAAAAGGAAAATTTCTTTCTAATTATTTATAATTGAATTTATTGAATTAAAAATGCAGAGGAAAAAAAAATCACACTAAAAACGTCATTTACAGTTTTAATAAAAAAAAATCGTGGGAATTCTTTTGCAAGAATCATTGAAAATAATACAAAAAAAAAAAGAAATAAGGAAGAGAAAATATATAACTATGACGAAAACAACGTGTGTATAAATGAAATTTTAATTTTTCACACAATGACGTTAATTCCTCAACGATAAAATGTGACGATTAGTTTAATTCAAAAGAGTTTAATGAATTATAATTTCATCTAATTCTCATTTATAAATTATTTATCTTTATTTTCATTTTTGGCATATTCTTTTTTTTTTCTTTTTCTTTTCTTACTATATAATAATTAATGCAAATTATGCAGAATTACAACTTTTTAATATTGATAACCGGAAGACAATTTTTTTTCAAGTCATAAAAAAATTATTCTTTGAATATATAGTAAAAAAATTTTGTTTTTTTCTCGAAAATATATATTTAAATTAAAAAAATTTTTTCAAATAAAAATAATTTTCATAATAATTAATGAAAAAAAAAGAAAAATAGAAGAGAAAAGTGAAAAAAAATATTCTTGTCAATTGGTATATTTATGTTTTATGAATGAGCTTGGCATACTTATATACACAGGAGTTTTATCACCTTTGACTCTATTTTACTTGTACGCATTACTAACATTTTCACTCTTTTTATCTTGAAAAAAAAAAAATTTTTTTTTTCTAAAGAAAAACTTTTTTTTAAAAAAACGAAAAAATGATGCTCCAATGTTTTAATAATTTTCTATTTATAACTGAGTTTGCAAAAATTTTAAATTTCTTTCTTTTTTAATTGAAATTTCAATAATTAAAATTTTTTCAATAATTTATTTGACGAATTTATTAAATTAATTAATTGGGAATTATTTTTTAAAATTTTATTTTCTAACTATTTAAACATTTTGTTTTATTATATTTAAAAAAAAAGTTTCAAAAAATGTAAAGAAAAAGAAGAAAATACCGTTTGTCGGTAATTCAGATTTTTACTTCATTAACAGTCGGTAAAACAGAAGTCATAAGTATTTAATTAGTTATTACTAAAAAAAAAAGAAAATACCGTTTGTCGGTAATTCAGATTTTTACTTTATTAACAGCCGGTAAAACAGATGTTAGAAGTATTTAATTAGTTACTATTAAAAAAAATACCTTTTATCGGTAATTCAGATTTTTTACTTTATTAATAGCCGGTTAAACAGATGCCATAAGTATTTACTTCGTTTATTAATAAAACAAATTAAAATAATAAAGATAATACCGTTCGTCGGTAATTTAGATTTCTACTTTATTAACAGTCGGTAAAACAGATGTTAATAGTATTTAGTTTATTATTGATAAAAATCAAAATAAACCATTGGAATTAATAATATTCTAAATTTTAATAATAATAATAATTATTATTATTATTATTTTTATTATTATTATTAAATAAAAATTTATTTAATTTTTTTCTCGTCTTTTTTTTTCATAAAGAAAACTTGAGAAATGTCGGCGAAAGCAATTCAAGAAGCAACTGGTAAAGATTTGATAAATCGAAAACTTACGCCAGGCACAAAAGCGGCAAAATGTCAATTTGTTTCAATAACGGAAAAAACAAATTGGCCACATGTAATTGCCGAAAATCCCTGGTTAAAAACTGAAAAACTCGTTGTAAAACCCGATCAATTAATTAAACGACGAGGAAAATTGGGACTCATTAAAGTTAACGTTGATCTTCCAACTGCTCAAAAATGGATAGCCGAACGTATGAATAATGATCAATTGGTTGGCAAAGCAACTGGAAAACTCAAATTATTCATAATTGAGCCATTTATACCACATAAACAGGTAGAAAAAAGTTTATTTAATGCCAAAAATTTATTATTTTATTTTAAAAAAAAAATATTTAATTTTTATTATTTAGAAACAAATTTCAATCAAATACCTTCAGTCGATAAGGAAGAAATTTTTTTCTACCTTACCGACCGTCGATAATTTAGAGATTCTTCGTTATCGACAGTAAATAAAATGATTAATTTCTAGCAAAAATGAGTGAAATACCATCAGTCGGTATAGAAAAAATTTACATTACCGACAGTCGATAAGTAAGGGTCTCTACATTATCGACATCATAGTTTTTTCAAAGTTTTAAATGTGAGGCTTAATTTTTTTTTTGAATTTCTTTTTTTTTTTATTTAATCAAATAGGAAGAAGAGGCGTACGTTTGCATTTATTCAAATCGTAATGGTGACACAATTTTATTTCATCACGAGGGAGGTGTTGATATTGGTGATGTCGACGCAAAAGCATTGAAACTCGAAGTTCCCGTCGGTACTGATGCTCCCAATCAAAAAACTCTAATAAGCCGACTGTTAATAAATATTACAGATGACAAGAAAACGTAAGTATTTTTATTTTTACTCTTTGCACAAAAAAAATGTTATTAAATCTACATTACCTACCGTCGATAATGTAGGTAATCTACATTACCTACCGTCGATAATGTAGGTAATCTACATTACCTACCGTCGATAATGTAGGTAATCTACATTGCCTACAGTCGATAATGTAGGTAACCTACATTGCCTACAGTCGATAATGTAAGTAATTTACAATACATACAGTCGATAATATATAAATCTATATTACCGACAACTGGTATGAGAAAAAAAACATTTTAAAAAAACCATGGGATTCTTAATTCTTTTCAGAGTAATCGCTGATTTTATCTCTTCGCTATATAAACTTTATGTTGATTTATATTTTACTTATTTGGAAATAAATCCATTGGTCATCACTGATGATGCAATTTATATTTTGGATTTGGCTGCAAAATTAGATACAACCGCTGATTTTATTTGTAAGCCAAATTGGGGTGAAATTAATTATCCACCTCCATTTGGACGTGATGCATATCCTGAAGAGGCATACATTGCCGATCTTGATTCTAAATCAGGAGCAAGTTTAAAATTAACAATTTTAAATCCAAATGGACGTATTTGGACAATGGTTGCTGGAGGAGGTTTGTATTTATATTAAAAAAAAAACATTTTCTCTACTTTACCGACAATCGTTATTAGTAGTGTCTACATTAACGATTGTAAATATTGTACTCTATTTTCGACAGTTTGTAAATAGATTACCGACAGTCGGCATTTTAGAGAAATACTTTATTAACAATCGGCATTAGTAGAACTCTACTTTCCCGACAATAGGTAATTTAGAAATCTACTTAACCGACAGTTGGTATTAATAGAAATCTACTTTACCGACAGTCGGTATTAATAGAAATCTACTTTACCGACAGTCGGTATTAATAGAGTTCTACTTTACCGACAGTAGGTAATTTAGAAATCTACTTTACCGTCAGTCGATAATAAATTTTTACTAAAAAAAATTGTTTATTTAAAACTTTTAAAAAAATATTTTTTTTATTCCTTTTTTTTAGGAGCCTCGGTTATTTATTCGGACACAATTTGTGATCTTGGTGGCACTTCGGAATTAGCGAATTACGGTGAATATTCGGGTGCACCAAGTGAACAACAAACTTATGAATATGCAAAGACAATTCTCAGTTTAATGACGAAGGAAAAACATTCCGATGGTAAAGTTCTTATTATTGGCGGTGGTATTGCAAATTTTACAAATGTTGCATCCACATTTAAAGGAATTGTCAAAGCTCTACAAGAATTTCAACCAAAACTTGTTGAATTTAATATTAAAATATTTGTGAGGCGAGCTGGACCAAATTATCAAGAAGGTCTTAGGTAAGTTTTTTTTCAATTCAAAAAAAAAAGAAAATGTAATTTTTAAACATAACGCTAAGGGGAGAAATAAATATATATTTTTTTTAATTTTAAAAAGAATTATTCGCGAAGTGGGTAAACGTCTAGCAATTCCTGTACATGTATTTGGACCTGAAACACATATGACGGCAATTTGTGCAATGGCACTTGGTACAAAACCAATTCCCGATCCAGAAGCGCAAGAATTTTCAACAGCAAATTTCCTCTTACCATCGGGTCAAGATGTTGGACCTAGTGCACCAACAAAAACATCAATTCAAGAATCATCATCATCATCATCGTCGTCGTCGTCGACGACAACATTCACGGAGGCACAATTAAAAGCATTAAGAACTGATTCTACTGATTCAACAATGGGAAAACAATTATTTACAAATAAAACACGATCAATTATTTGGGGTATGCAAAATCGTGCAGTACAAGGTATGCTTGATTTTGATTTTGTTTGCCGACGTGCAGAGCCATCGGTTGCCGCCATTGTCTATCCATTTGTTGGCGATCATAAGCAAAAATTCTATTGGGGACACAAGGAGGTTTGTTGAACAAAAATTTTATATATATATATATTTATCTTTCAATTTATTTTTGGTAATTTAGTTTACAAAAGGAGGTTGCGTTTCTCTAGAGACAAATTTAATGCAAAGTTTTCACAAAACTGACATTAAATTCGTGTTCAGCGGCCCCGAAAACCTCGGAGTTATACGTTTCAAGTGAATCTGGTTTAATTTTCAAAATTATCAACATAGATTTCTACTTTACCACCGGTCGGTAAAGTAGATTCCTCACGATTTTTAAATAGTTCTTAGTAAATATCGTACCCGCTATTTTGTAATTAAATAATTATTAACATCGGTCGATAATTTAGGTTTCTATTTTATCGACAGTCGGTAAACTAGATTCCTGATAATTTTTAATAGTCTTTTAGTAAGGCAAGTTGACTTACGACTTAGGTAAATATTATTGCAGCGTTTTTGTAATGGAATAAATAATAATTACCATCGGTTGGTAATTCAGATTTCTACTTTATCGGTAAGGTAGATTCCTGATTATTCTAATAGAATTTAGTAAATATTATATCTGTCATTTCGTATATACCATATTAATATTTGCTATCAGTCGATAATTCAAATTTGTACTTTACCAACGGTCGGTATGGTAGATATTCTTATAGAATTCAGTAAATATTATGTCCGCCCTTTCGTATAAATGAAATTTAGAATAATTTTCATCGGTCAATAATTCAAATTTCTACTTTACCAACCGTCGGTAACATAGATCCCTGACTTTTTTTTTAATTTACCAGCGGTCAGTAAAGTAGATTTTTAACATAAAATCGTGAATTTAAAAAAAAAATTCCCCTCTTTTCTAGATATTAATTCCGGTTTATAAGCAAATGAAGGACGCAATGAATAAACATTCTGACGCTGATGTTATGGTGACATTTGCATCATTAAGATCGGCCTATGACAGTACAATGGAGACACTTGAATTTCCACAAATTCGTACTATTGCCATTATTGCCGAGGGTATTCCTGAGAATATGACAAGAAAATTAATTCTCGAAGCGCACAAAAAAAATGTTACCATCATTGGACCGGCAACTGTCGGTGGCGTTAAACCTGGTTGTTTTAAAATTGGCAACACAGGTGGTATGATGGACAATATTCTACATAGCAAACTTTACAGACCTGGAAGGTAATCAACAAAAAAAAATTAAATAAAACAAAAAATTTGCATAATGTAAATTTCTATTTTATCGACAGTCGATAAATGTAGATTTCTACTTTTCCAGCTGTTGGTAATGTAAATTTCTGTCTTAGCAACAGGCGCTAATGCAGGTGAGGGCATTACCCACTGTTGTTATGACAGAAATTTACATTACCAACTGTCGGTAAGGTAGAAATCCACATTGCCAACTGTCGGTAAGTTAGAAATCTACATTACCAACTGTCCGTCGGTAAGGTAGAAATCCACATTGCCAACTTCTGTCGGTAAGGTAGATATCTACATTACCAACTGTCTGTCGGTAAGGTAGAAATCTACACTACCAATTGTCGGTAAGGTAGAAATCTACATTACCAACTGTCGGTGAGGTAGAAATCCACATTTGCCAACTGTCGGTAAGTTAGAAATCTACATTACCAACTGTCTGTCGATAAGGTAGAAATCTACATTATCAACTGTCGGTAAGGTAGAAATCTAAATTACCAACTGTCGGTGAGATAGAAATCCACATTGCCAACTGTCGGTAAGGTAGAAATCTACATTACCAACTGTCTGTCGGTAAGTTAGAAATCTACACTACCAATTGTCGGTAAGGTAGAAATCTACATTACCAACTGTCGGTGAGGTAGAAATCCACATTTGCCAACTGTCGGTAAGTTAGAAATCTACATTACCAACTGTCTGTCGGTAAGGTAGAAATCTACACTACCAATTGTCGGTAAGGTAGAAATCTACATTACCAACTGTCGGTGAGGTAGAAATCCACATTTGCCAACTGTCGGTAAGTTAGAAATCTACATTACCAACTGTCTGTCGATAAGGTAGAAATCTACATTATCAACTGTCGGTAAGGTAGAAATCTAAATTACCAACTGTCGGTGAGATAGAAATCCACATTGCCAACTGTCGGTAAGGTAGAAATCTACATTACCAACTGTCTGTCGGTAAGTTAGAAATCTACACTACCAATTGTCGGTAAGGTAGAAATCTACATTACCAACTGTCGGTGAGGTAGAAATCCACATTTGCCAACTGTCGGTAAGTTAGAAATCTACATTACCAACTGTCTGTCGATAAGGTAGAAATCTACATTATCAACTGTCGGTAAGGTAGAAATCTAAATTACCAACTGTCGGTGAGGTAGAAATCCACATTGCCAACTGTCGGTAAGGTAGAAATCTACATTACCAACTGTCTGTCGGTAAGGTAGAAATCCACATTGCCAACTGTCTGTCGGTAAGGTAGAAATCTACATTGCCAACTGTCTGTCGGTAAGGTAGAAATCTACATTATCAACTGTTGGTAAGGTAGAAATCTACATTGCCAACTGTCGATAACTAAAGAAATAAATTAAAATTTCAGTGTCGCTTATGTATCACGCTCCGGTGGTATGTCAAATGAATTGAATAATATTATTTCAAAAGCATCAAATGGCGTACAAGAGGGCGTTGCAATTGGTGGTGATCGTTATCCAGGAACAAATTTTATGGATCATATTATGCGTTATGAAAATAATCCCGATACAAAATTAATTGTTCTACTTGGTGAGGTGGGTGGTATTGAGGAATATGAAGTTTGTGAGGCAATGAAAACAAAAAAAATAACAAAACCATTAATTGCCTGGTGTATTGGAACATGTGCAAGTATGTTTAATTCTGAAGTACAATTTGGTCACGCTGGTTCAATAGCAAATAGTAATATGGAAACAGCTGTTGCAAAAAATGTTGCACTCAAAGAAGCTGGCGCTTATGTACCTGATAGTTTTGATAATCTTGGTGATGTTATTCATTCGGTTTATCAACAACTTGTTAAAGCGGGAACAATTGTTCCTGAACCTGAATTACCACCACCTACAGTACCAATGGACTACAGTTGGGCTAGGGTAAGTTTAATTTAATATATATATATTTTTTTTAATATTGCACTCCTTTATTTGTTTTACCAAAAAAAAAAAATATATGAAATCAAAGAAATAAATTTTTCAACTTAATTTAAAAATTTACCGCTGCAATTATTTTTTGGCGTTGGAGTTTGAAAAAAAATTTTTTTTTTAAATCTTCAAGGAATTGGGATTAATTCGTAAGCCAGCCTCATTTATGACATCGATATGTGATGAACGTGGTCAGGATTTACTTTATGCCGGTATGCCAGTAACGGAAGTTTTAAAACAAAATGTTGGCATTGGCGGTGTTGTTTCATTATTATGGTTTCAACGTTGTTTGCCACCGGTTTATTGTAAATTTTTGGAAATGTCACTTATGCTCACTGCTGATCATGGACCAGCAGTATCAGGCGCACACAATACAATTGTATGCGCGCGAGCCGGTAAAGATCTCGTCAGTTCCGTCGTTTCTGGATTATTAACAATTGTAAGTTTAAAATTTTTCACTCTTTTCTTTTTTTTCTTTTTTTTTTAGAGAAAACTATTATATTTTCTTTGGTTTTTTTAGTTTTATCAAAATTACCGACAGTTGGTATTTTAGATTTCTACTTTACCGACAGTCGGCAATGTAGATTTCTACTTTGCCGATAGTTTGATAATTTAAACTTCTTCCTTACCGACAGTTGGTATTTCAGATTTCTACTTTACCGACAGTCGGCAATGTAGATTTCTACTTTGCCGATAGTTGATAATTTAAACTTCTTCCTTACCGACAGTCGGTAATGTAGATTTCTACTTTGCCGATAGTTGATAATTTAAACTTCTTCCTTACCGACAGTTGGTTTTCAGATTTCTACTTTACCGACAGTCGGCAATGTAGATTTCTACTTTACCGACAGTCGGCAATGTAGATTTCTACTTTGCCGATAGTTGATAATTTAAACTTCTTCCTTGCCGACAGTTGGTATTTCAGATTTCTACTTTACCGACAGTCGGCAATGTAGATTTCTACTTTGCCGATAGTTTGATAATTTAAACTTCTTCCTTACCGACAGTCGGTAATGTAGATTTCTACTTTAGAGACAGATGGTAATTCTGATTTCTTGTCTTACCGACAGTCGGTAATGTAGATGCCTACTTTGCCAGCGGTTGATAATGTAGAAACCAAACAAACAAGATATTTAAAAAAATAAACTGTAAAATAAAAATTCTATTTTAATAATTTTGAAAGTTTTTAAAAAAATTCTTTTTTTTTCCAGGGCGATCGATTTGGTGGCGCTTTAGATGGTGCAGCGCGTATGTATTCAGAGGCATATGATGCTGGTTTACATCCACAGGAATTTGTTAATAATACACGTAAACAAGGAAAATTAATAATGGGAATTGGTCATCGTATTAAATCAATTAATAATCCTGATATGAGAGTTAAATTAATAAAAGAATATGTATTGGCAAATTTCACTGCCACTCCATTAGTGAATTATGCTTTAGAAATTGAAAAAATAACAACAAGTAAAAAACCAAATTTAATTCTCAATGTTGATGGAATTATTGCAAGTGCATTTGTTGATATGTTGAGACATAGTGGTTCATTTACATCTGAGGAGGCACAGGAATACATTGAAATTGGAGCAATTAATAGTCTTTTTGTTCTTGGTAGAAGCATTGGTTTTATTGGTAAATATTAATTTTTGCTTTTTTTTTTATTTATTAGAATTTAGATTTCTTCTTTACCAACGGTTGGTAAAGTAAATTTTTTTAAAGTATTCTAATAGAATTAAGTAAATATTTTTTGCCAATTTTTATAAATTAAATTAGTAATTTCCATCGGTCGATAATATACATTTTTTTTTACTTTACCAGCGGTCGGTAAAGTAGATTGCTAACATTAAAAATATTATTTAATAATAAAAAAAAATATAAATATAAAAGAAAATTTTTTTTCTTCTTTATCCGTGAAGAAATTTTTTTTTTTCTAAATTTGATTTCTTTTTCTCAGGTCACTATATGGATCAAAAGAGGCTAAAACAGGGACTCTATCGTCATCCTTGGGACGATATTTCGTATGTCCTGCCAGAACAGTACAATTAATTGTTTTTTTTTTTGGAGAGAAAAAAATGAGTCTTTTGTATAAAGAAAAAGTTTTTCTTTTTTTTTTTTTTGGTATTTTAACGTAAAGAGAAAAAAAAGAAAGAATGACATAATAACCGAAAAGATATATATATCTTTCGTCAATATTGTGAAAGTCCTTCCCTCCTTTTACCCTCCATCATCCCCTTTTTTTTAATTTAATTAATTTTCTTAAATATCGAAAAATGAAATTTAAATAAAAATAGAAAATAAATTAATTTTAATATTGTGCATAATACGCGCAAAAAAAAAAAAATAACGAAAATGTCTCCAAGTATTCAAGCTCCAAGCATCTATGTATATTTGCACTGAACATTCCAGGATGTTGCATTTTTTATTTTTCTTCTTTTTGTCTCTTTCAAAAAAAAAAGGAAAAGAAAAAAAAATTTCTTTTTTTAACAAAAATTTTCTTTTTATTTAAAAAAAAATAATTTTAATTGAAAGAAAATACTTTTTATTAAAAGAAAAATTTTATTTTGTAAAGTTTTTTTTTCTTACAAAAAAAAAAATTACTTTTATTAAGCGAAGAATTTCTTTTTCAAACAAAAGTTTTTTTTTTTATTAAAAAAAATTACTTTTATTAAAAGAAAATTTCTTTTTTTAACAAAAATCATTTTTTATTAAAAAATAAAACATTGTTTTTTTGTTGAAATAAAAGTATTTTTTTTTCGTTAAAGAAAACAAAAATTGTTTTTTCTTTTTTTTCAATTAAAAGTGCGAAAAGAAGAGAATTGCAAATTTTTTTATTGGCCCCGCGTCCCGTTAATGTAAATAGATGAAATAAAAAGCACAAAAATGAAGAATTAGAAAGAAAACGATTTTTGCACCGATTTCTCCATTTATTTATTTTCTTTTTTTTTTTTTTGTTGTTTCTGTTTTTAAAAATGTTTTTTACACACACATTAGATAAGAGAATTTTTTTAGAAAATAAAAGTCGATGACGACGCCTTTTGCACAAGATATATTATAAATAAATAAATAAATAAATAATAGATATACATGAAGAAAAAAAAGGAAATATAAATATATTTAATGAAAAAATAGACAATTTATTCAGTGACAACAATAAGAAAAAAATTATATATATATATATTTAAATAGTGAAATTATAAAAAATTATCATGTAATTTGTTGAATAAAGAGAATCAAGAACGAGATATTTAGATTCATGTATAATATTTATCTACGCATCAAATTTTATTTAATTTATTTTTTTTTCTATATTACCTTCTAATTGTGAAAGTATTAAATTTTTTATTTTCTAAAGAATTTTTTCTTTTTATACGCGAATTTTTATCTAATAAAATTTTTAACTATCGAATTTTTGATTTAGCAAAATTTTTAGTCATTTTTCATAAAATTACTTTTTATTGAAGAGAATTTTAATTTAACAAATTTGTCATTCAAACTATGGATTAATAATTCAGGTTTGTGTCTTTAATGATACCACCACTGGTTGGTAATGCAATTTTCTACTTTACCACAGCGGTCAATATAGTAGAAATTTAGTAGTCTAAAATATTACACATTTAATTAAAGTAGTTGAAATTATAATTAAAGTATCAGTCAAGAAAATTTCCTTAATTTGAAAAACTTACAGTCAATACAACAGATTTCTACTTGACCAGGGGTCGTTAATGCAATTTTCTACTTTACCAACAGTCGATATATCGACCAATTCTGCAGCTTAAAGGTTAAAGTAGTTAAAATTATAATTAAAGTATCATTCAAAAAATTTGTTTTAATTTAGATACCGACTGTCGATAAAACAGATTTCTACTTAAATGACGCAGTAAAATAAAAATTTTACCAAATCAAAAATTTATTAACTAAAAATTTTGTTAATTAAAAATTCGCGTATAAAAATAAATTCTATTAAATGCTAATTTTAAAAATGAAAATTCAGCTAAAATAATTATTTCTCATAAAATTCTAATCCCTCAATGACTTATTGTTTTTTGATTTTGTTTTGCATCATAATTATTGGTTTTTTTTTTACTTTTATATTTATTATTCATCATTAATATAAAACAAACTTTTTGTAACCACCTGTTACTTTCTCTGACATTCCTTTTGTGTCCATCTGAAACAAAAAAAAGAACAATTATTATTATTATATAATTGTAATAAAATAATATTAATAATAATAATTATTATTATTATTAGTATTATCATAAAAACTGAAAAATATCGAGTTTCTTCGATTCTCTGTAAAAAAAATTTTAAAAAAATTAGAACAAATAAAAAAAAAATACAACAAACCATAATGGCTGTAGTAGACACTTGGATAAATTTGAAAATAAAATGCTAAGACAATTATAAACTTGTTTGAATTTATAATTAATATATTTATTTATTTATCCCTATTTATTCTTTTTGACTTTAAATTATTTATTTAAAAGAAAAAACATTTGTTATTATTATTATCATAATTATTGCTTTTAAGTTAAATTGTCCTCATTTTTCTCAAGGACATTTGTTTTTTAAATTAATTTCTTAAATTAACATTTTTAATAACATATTAAAAAATTTTAAACAAACATGAAATATTTCCTGTTTATAAAATTATATTTTATCGCGCCTTATAAAAATGGATTTTTATAATACAGTTTTTTTTTGTTTTTTATTATTTAATTTATATTATTATTATTATTATTATTATTATTATTATTATCTATGTTAAATTAAGGTAATGTCAATGATGCTGTTTAATGAAAATAATTTAACTTTAAAAAAAATATAATAAATATTTGTAATAATAATATAATATAAATATTATTTATATCATATTTTAAAAAAAAATTAAATTATTTATCTTGTATAAAAATTAGTAAAAAAAAAAATAATTAAATTTTTTTGAAAAAAATAAATTTTTTAAAAAATATATATTCCAAGAATCTGGAATAATTATTTATCACAAAATAAATCAGATAATCCAATCAATATTGTTTGGATAAATAAAAATGTTTAAAATTAAAGAAAAAATTTTTTTAAACATGTTTTATAAGATATGTCACGATCGAATTTTTTTTTATAAATAAATTTCATTTTTTTTTAAACAAAATTATTGTAAAATTTTTAACATTAATATATATATATATATATATATATATATATATATATATATATATTTGGGGGATTCCATATGAAGTGATCAAGGATAGGATTAGGAGACCCTTTACTTTAATAATTTCTATCTCTCATACAATTGAATAAAAAAATTTTGCCAATATCAGTTTTGATAGGTTTTTTTATGCCCTTTTGATTGGTAATATGCATTTTTGGAAAAAAAAATATTTTTTTTTGGTCAAAATTTTTTTTTTTCAAAAATGCATATTACCAATCAAAACGGGCATAAAAACAATCTATCAAAACTGATATTGGCAAAATTTTTTTATTCAATTGTGTGAGAGATAGAAATTATTATAAAGTAAAGGGTATCCTAAAACTTTCATCCCCTCCCCCCTAAAAAATATTGGTTAAAATAGAAAAATATTTTTACCAAAAATTACCATCTATAATAGTACTACAAAATGCCCTATGTTTGGGCATGATAGGAGAAAAAACTTTTTTCACCTTGATCACTTCATATGGAATCCCCCATATATATATATATACACAAAATACAATAATTGTTTTAAACAAAAAAGTTTATTATTGAAAATGTTGCTTTTTAATATCACGTTTTACGTGACACGCTAATTTCACTGTGACAATATATATATATAAGAAAATGGTAAATAAAAAAAAAATCATTTGTTCATTTATTAAAGTGTCAAAATGAATTACTCGTTTATTCTATTTTTTATTGTTAATTATTTGCTGATTCTTTCATATTGTAAAAATGAAATTGCTGATACGATAAAGGTAAATTAGATCATTATTTAAATTTATTTATTTAATTTTATTATTTATTTAGTTAATTTTGGGTCATTCCATTTTATTTCGCCTATATTTGTTTCGGCCTATTTTTAGAAAAAATTTGGTATTTTGTATTATAATGACTTTTAATATTCGTACAATTCTTTTTTTGACAATTATTTTATGAAATTTTTTTTTTATTTATGTTGAAATTTAGTTTTTAAGAGTTGAGTTGCACGGAAAATAGGTTAGTTTGACTTGGCAGAAAATGTTAATATTTCCTAATTTGGTCCTAACTTGGTCCTGCTTTTACAAGCCATTTTAGTAATATCGGAGTATTTTGGCATTATTAATTATAATTAATAATAATATTATAATTATAGGGTAAGGGGTACAGTGACCGACACCCTGGGCATACTTTCAACTTTAAATGACATTTTATCGTAATTTATTAAAGATTTAGTTATAAAATAAATTTTAAATAAAAGATTTGAAGTTAAAATTTATAGTACAGAAGTTTAAAATTAAAAAACACCTTGATAAGAGTTTATAATATTAATTTAAAAATGTATGGTATGAAAACAGTGAACGACACCCTTTAATAAAATAAAAAATATTTAAACTTCTATTTAAGTAACATGATATTTATTAGTATTATCATAAATTTTATTATTCAGACTTAATGTACAAAAAAAGTTGCTTTTAAAATATAATTATTTAACAATTTTTTCATATTTATAAAATTTGTAATCAATAAAGCAAATTTTTTGAGGTTAGTTTTCTAGAAAGTATTAAATATTGAGGAAAATATAAACATATAAAATTTTGTATAAACTGTATAAGTTTTTAAATATTGTATATTAATTAATTTACTAGTGATATTTAATTAAATATTATTATTTTTATAGTTATTATCATTTTTAATAGCAGGTGACGTTCACTGTCTGGGTGTCGGTCACTGTACCTTTTACCCTAATAGTAAAATAATAATAAAATAATAAAAAAAAATATATAAATACAATAATAAAAATAATAAAAAAATATACCATAGTTTTTTAAAAATTTTAATTAATTATTAATTAAATTTATATTAAACAAAATGAGAAGGGTTACATTTCATTTTGAATTTTTTTGCCCCTACTTTTTCAACCCTAGCAGACGAAACGGACGAAACTATAAGCAGAAGTTATTTAGAGGTTAAGTTCTTGTGTAAAAAGTGCAATGTAATTCTGCTTGTTTATTGATTTATTATTATTATTATTATTGATTACATTTTTTTATTTTTATTATATACACCCAGAAAAAAGGGATTGTTTATTTGAAAAAGTCAATTGCTTTGATTTGTTTTGTATATATCATTCGAAACAAATTTCCTTTTAAACAAAAAGTTTTTCTAAATTTAACATAAAGTTTCTTTGATTGAAATAAGTTGAAAAATATAAAAGAATACAAATTTCAATCAAAGAATAAGTTTCCATACTAATATAAAATCAAAAAAAATTTCTTTGATTAAAAAAATTAAAATTTTTGCTAAAACAAACATAATTTTTTTCAAAGAAACCATTTCTATAATTAAAAAAAAAAGATTTTAGGTTGAGTTCACAATAGAAAACGTTAAACAGATCAGCTTTGCAAGATGTGCTTAAACAGCTAGTTAAAGAGTAGCACCAACACTGTTGCCAACTGTTGAAAACGAAAACTTGAACACAGCGGCCCTAGTTCCGCGCGTTCCTATAGTTCAATAGATGTGAATTAAAAATATATAATTAAAATTATAATTATAAATAAGTATTAAATATAGATAATGTAATATAATTTAATATAATTCAATTTTATTATAAAAAATTTATAAATTATAAAATTTATATATGGAACGAAACACTACCTTTTTGGTTTCGTCAAGTTGGCAACTAGCTAAGCAAGAAAATTCTCTTAAATAGCTGTTTAAGCATATCTTGCAAAGCTGATCTGTTTAACGTTTTCTATTGTGGACTCAACCTTATATTGGTCCTAAATAGGCACCTAAATTAGGACCAGGCTAAAATCGCATCACCAACCATTTTAGGACCAAGTTAGACTGCCAAGATAGGACCTAGATAATAAAACGGCAAACTAGATAGGACCATTTTTCAATTTCCACACGGGCAATTAACATTGGTAAATTAGACTATTTTCAACAAATATCAATGAAAAAAAAATTTAATAACTAAATTACTTCTGTTCTTTTTTATAAAATTTCCAAAGTTGTCAAACTAACCACCTGCTATTTTCCGTGCAACTCAACTCATTAAAAACTAAATTTCAACGAAAATAAAAAAAAATTTCATAAAATTATTGTCAAAAAAGGAATTGTACGGATATTCAAAGTCATTTTAATACGAAATATCAAATTTTTCTAAAAATAGGCTGCAACGACTATAGATGAAATAAAATGGAATAATCCTAATTAAATTTTTTTTTTAATTTTCATTATTTTAGTTTCAATTAATTAATTTAATATTTATTTTCCCTATAAGAGAAATTTATAAAAATAAAAAAAAAGTCTTACGAATTTTTTTTTTTTTTGTAATTGTTACAGGAATCAGTATGTCCTTGTTCAATGCAATTAACGGAATTATTGAATGATATGAATATAACAAAATCATATGAGAAATTAATGGAATTACAATTATTGAAACATAGAACAAAAGAACAAGAAAATGAATTTTTAAAATTATTAAATCAAGTATTGCCGTCAATAATGAAATTATTAAATGAAAATGATCGAAAAAAAATGATTAAAAATACGAAAAAATTGTTTAATAATATGAAAAATACGCAATATAAATGTGCAAATTTAGAAGAAGGAGAAAAACAGGTAAATTATATAAATATATTAAATTTAATAATGAAATTTAATTAATAAGAGAACAATTGTGGTAAATGGGGACAAGAGGTTTTGGAGCTTAATTTACAGTTTTAAACTTAAGTTCAACGTCAATATTTTAACTTTTATCTTGACAATTGGCAGAAAGATAAAAAAATTTATCGCTCAAAATGCATAAAAACTTGAAAATCAAAGTTAAACTGTTTCAGTATTTTGCCTCGCATTTCAAAGAAAATAGACTTAAAAATCATACCAAATTTTTTTCTTATTCCTTGATGACTCCTATAACAGAAATTCACTTGAATTTTTGATTTTTGTTAATTTGGTTAATAATGACAAGCTGTCCTCATTTACCCCAAAAATTTGAAAACTTAGGGTAAATGAGCTTGTCATTATTAACCAAATTAACAAAAATCAAAAATTCAAGTGAATTTCTGTTATGGGAGTCATCAAGGAATAAGAAAAAAATTTGGTATGATTTTTAAGTCTATTTTCTTTGAAATGCGAGACAAAATACTGAAATAAAAAAAAAAATAAAAAAATTTCAATTGGTTCAACTAATATATATCTACTACAAATTTTTTCCAAGTTCTTTCATCCCTTAATACAGTAATTCTCAGATAACAATAATGCGCGCATTTAAGATCGCACTTAGTGATTCTCCTATGGTGCATGCAAAAGCAGTATGCTGATGCGACGCATATGCGCTTACAGTCGCATTCATGCTAGCAAGAAGTTCTCTTTATGCCTTCACGTATGCGATCTTCTACAATGCATTTGAAATGCGCTTTCAATGAACTCATACAGTATGCGAATTACAATAAAAATATTTTTTAATTTAAATAGCTTAAAACATGCGTAATATTATGTTAAGATGAAAATTCTCTCTTGAAAACATAATTAATAAAAGTTAATAAGAAAGTACTTATATTTAAATCTGAATTAGTGAAATACTACTAACAAACAGTAAAATTTGACTAATATTAGTGGAAGACTTTTCCCCTTTTTATTAATTAAATATAACTAATTTTTAGTAAATATTCACTAATTTTTTAGTATTATTTCACTAATTACTAGTCATCTGACTGACTAAATGAATTAGTCAAACTGTTTTCACAGAAAAAAAAATGGTAAAAAGTGATTGTGGGTAGAGGGTAAAATGCGTTTAGGTACAGGGTAAAAGGTAATATTGTGATGGGTAAAAATGTTACCAAAATATTACTAGAAAGATGGATGCAATTTTTCAATCTGACTAATTGAAACATAAAATACGTGTTTTCATGGATTTATAACTTAATGAAAAACTTACAAAATGTATTTTTAAGATGAAAAATCCTGAAAATGTTGTAAATTTAATAAATTTAATTATTTTTGTAAAGAAAATGTGTTTGCCAACAATGCCAGCTGACACTTGTAAACAAACAGGTTTGGGAAGCAAGTGTTCAAAAGCAGAGTTGGGAACGATAAAAAACTTGTCCAACAATAATTTTCGTAAAGCATATTATTAAATATATTGTTTTACAAAAACAAAAATCTTATAGATAAATAAAAAATGTTATAAATAAATAAATATTTTTAGGTTCATTAATTAAATTTATTAGATAAACCATAAAAGATAATCAATTACTACAAATTTTCTCAGGAATGCACAAAAAGATGCGCACAGATATATGGCGCGAAATTCAAATAATGTCAATTTAAAAAAATTTAATTAATGAACCTAAAAATATTTATTTATTTATAACATTTTTTATTTATCTATAAGATTTTTGTTTTTGTAAAACAATATATTTAATAATATGCTTTACGAAAATTATTGTTGGACAAGTTTTTTATCGTTCCCAACTCTGCTTTTGAACACTTGCTTCCCAAACCTGTTTGTTTACAAGTGTCAGCTGGCATTGTTGGCAAACACATTTTCTTTACAAAAATAATTAAATTTATTAAATTTACAACATTTTCAGGATTTTTCATCTTAAAAATACATTTTGTAAGTTTTTCATTAAGTTATAAATCCATGAAAACACGTATTTTATGTTTCAATTAGTCAGATTGAAAAATTGCATCCATCTTTCTAGTAATATTTTGGTAACATTTTTACCCATCACAATATTACCTTTTACCCTGTACCTAAACGCATTTTACCCTCTACCCACAATCACTTTTTACCATTTTTTTTTCTGTGTTATTGACTGTTAATAAGGCGGAATTACTAATTCTTTAGTCAAATTCTACTAACAATTAGTAAAATTTCACTAAATGTTAGTTAAATTGTTACTATAAATCATTTAGTCTTTTCATTAGTAAAAAAAACTACTAATTTAGATTTAGAGAATAAATTAAAGTTAATAATAAAGTTTGTTGATCAGATTTAAATGAAATGGACTTTTAAAAATATGAGAATTTTATAACAAACTTATGAATTTATATATTTTTATTAAAATTCCTGTGACGAAAGTGTCCGTGAAAAATTTTGTATTCTTTGAATATATATAAAATTCTAGTAGCAATTGTTTTGAGTGTTATCAGAAATCAATTTCGGTCTATGTCAATTTCATCAATTAAGTAATTGATGCCTCCTTTTCAATTAGATATTTTTAATTCATCGAATAGATTAAAATTCCCGCGTCTGATTCACGTTCCCGAATGTAGATGGCGCGTAATGCACTTGAGTCAGCTGACAGCCGGAAAATGTCTATTTTAACTAATTCATAAGATAAGAAACGATAAGAATATAATATCATATTTTTATATAAATCGTGCGTATTTATAATTTAATGTGTTTTATATCTTTGTGTTGTGATCTATAGAGGTAAATTCGATTAATCAACATTTATTGAGAAGATTAGTGATCCAATTGTGGCCTCGATATCAGTGGTGGTCATGTGCATATATAATTTTAGGTTATTTTTTGATTTTGGCTTAGAAGAAAGAAAAATATAAATATGTCTCTTCACTTTAATAAAAAAAACTAGAGTAGTAAAAAATCTTAACAGAAATATAACATTTATTGTATTATATAACAAGTATTAAATGATCAATTGATGTTTCGAACCTCAAATGTACTAGCACAAGGATCGCATTTAACTCGCTTGAATGCGAACTCATGTGAGAGACGCATAGTCCATGGATGACGCATCAGCATGCAACTATGAGATCACTGAATGCGAATTAATTAGCATGTATGCGACTCCTTATGTTTGCACTATTCAAGCATTTTTGTTATCTCGACTCCTTATGTTTGCACTATTCAAGCATTTTTGTTATCTGGGAATGTACTTAAGTAAACTTTTTTCTTAAAAATCTTTTGAAAAATATTCTGTCCCCATTTACCCCAACTGACCCTATTTTAATTTAAAAAAATTTTTTTTTCTCTCATTTAAATTTAAATTTTTAATATTTATTCTCATAAAATATTCATAAAAATAATATAAAAAAAAAAATTTTTGACTATTATTTTTCACTTATTTCAGAAATTAGAATATTCTACTTTAATTTCAATATTGGAAAAAGCAAATAGTAAAAAAAATTTATTACCATTAATTGGTGAGCAACTACAATTATTATTATCATCGGCTGATAATGTAGAAAATGTAAAAGAAAAATTAAATGCCTTGCTACTATTATTAGGGGAATATTTGACTACTATTGATTTGGAAAAATGCTCGTTATATGACGAGGCAAAAGAAAACGATGATTCGTCAAATTCAAAAAAAAGAAATAAAGGAAAAAATAAAAAACCCAAACAAACAACGAAGAAAGGAATGAATAAACCTTTACAGAATAATGATCCTTTAGCAAATTTTACGACAACTGAAAAACCGATTTTAACAACAAAAATAATTGAATCCACAACGGAATCTGTCGATAAATATGATGATGATGATGATGATGAAGAAAATGATGATCCTCATGCTGAGAAAGGAAAAAATAATCTTTTAAAGAAAGATGATCCTGCTGCAAATGCAAGAATTGTTCCTATTGCAAATGGAGGAAATGGTCCTCATTTAAATGGAGGAAATTATCGTAATGCAAATGGTGGAAATGTTCCCATGGCAAATAGAGTAAATGATCCCATTGCAAATGGAGGAAATGGTTCTCATTTAAATGAGGGAAATTATCGTAATGCAAATGGAGTAAATGATTATGACCATAATCCTTATAATGCAATAGTGCCATTGAATAGCCCACCAGAGAAAGGAATGAATAAACCTTTACAGAATGATGATCTTTTAGCAAATTTTTCGACAACTGAAAAACTGATTATAACAACAAAAATAATTGAATCCACAACGGAATCTGTCGATGAATATGATGATGATGATGATGATGGTGAATATGGATATGATGATAAAGATGAAAAAAATGATTATCCTTATGCTATAACAGAGAATGGAAAAAATATTCTTTTAAAGAATGATGATCATGCTGCAAATGCAGGAATTGTTCCTATTGCAAATGGAGGAAATGGTCCTCATTTAAATGGAGGAAATTATCGTAATGCAAATGGTGGAAATGTTCCCATGGCAAATAGAGTAAATGATTCCATTGCAAATGGAGGAAATGTTCCCATGGCAAATGGAGTAAATGATCGTATTGCAAATGGAGGAAATGGTCCTCATTTAAATGGGGGAAATTATCGTAATGCAAATGGAGTAAATGATTATGACCATAAACCTTATAATGCAATAGTGCCATTGAATAGCCCACCAGAGAAAGGAATGAATAAACCTTTACAGAATGATGATCTTTTAGCAAATTTTTCGACAACTGAAAAACTGATTTTAACAACAAAAATAATTGAATCCACAACGGAATCTGACGATGAATTTGATTATGGTGATGATAAAGAAAATCATGATCCTCATGCTGAGAATGGAAAAAATAATCTTTTAAAGAAAGATGATCCTGCTGCAAATGCAGGAATTGTTCCTATTGCAAATTTTTCGACAACAATGACAACAATAATTGAATCCACAACGGAATCTGTCGATGAATATGATGATGATGATGATGATGGTGAATATGGATATGATGATGATGATGAAGAAAATCATGATCCTCATGCTGAGAATGGAAAAAATATTCTTTTACAGAAAGATGATCCTGCTGCATATGCAGGAATTGTTCCTATTGCAAATGGAGGAAATGGTCCTCATTTAAATGGAGGAAATTATCGTAATGCAAATGGAGTAAATGATTATGACCATAAACCTTATAATGCAATAGTGCCATTGAATAGCCCACCAGAGAAAGGAATGAATAAACCTTTACAGAATGATGATCTTTTAGCAAATTTTTCGACAACTGAAAAACTGATTTTAACAACAAAAATAATTGAATCCACAACGGAATCTGACGATGAATTTGATTATGGTGATGATAAAGAAAATCATGATCCTCATGCTGAGAATGGAAAAAATAATCTTTTAAAGAAAGATGATCCTGCTGCAAATGCAGGAATTGTTCCTATTGCAAATTTTTCGACAACAATGACAACAATAATTGAATCCACAACGGAATCTGTCGATGAATATGATGATGATGATGATGATGGTGAATATGGATATGATGATAAAGATGAAAAAAATGATTATCCTTATGCTATAACAGAGAATGGAAAAAATATTCTTTTAAAGAATGATGATCATGCTGCAAATGCAGGAATTGTTCCTATTGCAAATGGAGGAAATGGTCCTCATTTAAATGGAGGAAATTATCGTAATGCAAATGGTGGAAATGTTTCCATGGCAAATAGAGTAAATGATCCCATTGCAAATGGAGGAAATGGTCCTGATTTAAATGGGGGAAATTATCGTAATGCAAGTGGAGTAAATGATTATGACCATAAACCTTATAATGCAATAGTGCCATTGAATAGCCCACCAGAGAAAGGAATGAATAAACCTTTACAGAATGATGATCTTTTAGCAAATTTTTCGACAACTGAAAAACTGATTTTAACAACAAAAATAATTGAATCCACAACGGAATCTGACGATGAATATGATGATGAAGATGAAGAAAATGATTATCCTTATGCTATAACAGAGAAGGGAATAAATATTCATTTACACAATGATGATCCTTTACCAAATTTTTCGAGAACAATAATTAAAACTACAACGGAAGCTGACGATGAATATGATGATGAAGATGAAGAAAATGATTATCCTTATGCTATAACAGAGAAGGGAATAAATATTCATTTACACAATGATGATCCTTTACCAAATTTTTCGAGAACAATAATTAAAACTACAACGGAAGCTGAGGATGAATATTATGATGAAGATGAAGATGATGATGATGATGAAGAAAATGATGATCCTCATGCTGAGAATGGAAAAAATATTCTTTTACAGAAAGATGATCCTGCTGCAAATGCAGGAATTGTTCCTATTGCAAATGGAGGAAATGGTCCTCATTTAAATGGAGAAAATTATCGTAATGCAAATGGTGGAAATTATCATAATGCAAATGGTGGAAATGTTCCCATGGCAAATGGAGTAAATGATCCTATTGCAAATGGAGGAAATGGTCATCATTTAAATGGAGGAAATTATCGTAATGCAAGTGGAGTAAATGATCCTATTGCAAATGGAGGAAATGGTCATCATTTAAATGGAGGAAATTATCGTAATGCAAATGGCGGAAATGCTCCTGTAGGAAAAGTTTCTGTAGGATCTGATAATGCAAAGGAAAAGGAAAAAAAGTGTTATTCTGTTATCATTGAGAATGACTCTGATGAATCATCAGCATTATCCTCTTCATATGATGATGATGATGATGATGATGATAGTGATAATGATAGTTATGATGATAGTGATAATGATAGTAATGATGACAGTGATAATGATAGTTATACTGATCATGATTCTGATAATAAGAATGGAGACATTTGTTCTGGTTACAAGTATTACTATTGGATGTAAAATTTTGTAAAATCATTTAATTTTTATCGACTCCCCTCCACAAAAAAGCGACACATAACCTATTAGTGTGAAAATTTCATTTTAAAGAATTTTGTCACTCAAAAATTTACATTTAACCGAATTATTATTATTTTCGAATATTATATAATTAGAGTGTTAAAAACTTTTTTTTTTATCTCAATAAGAGAAAAGAGGACAACAGATATGCTGGCGACATGGTTGGATAGTCAAAATTATTGAATCATTTAGTGCCAATGTACAATAGACTCTCAGGGTGCATTCACAGCTCAATATTTTTGAGGAGGGTCGTTATGATAACGTATAAGAGAGAGAAACAATGTTTTTATTTCTTTTACTCTCATACGTTACCATAACGACCCTCCTCAAGTAATTGAGCTGTGAATGCACCCTAAGAGTCTATTGTACATTGGCCCTAAATGATCCGATAATTTTGACTACCCAACCATGTCGACAGCATATCTCTTGTCTTCTTCAAAATACACATTTATAATAATTTTATTAGTTTAGTCTAGTCTAGTAATAATCTAGTAACTTTAGACCGATCTCTCCCTCCATTTTGATTTTTCTCCTCTTTCTAACATGTTAATTGAAGAGAGACAAAGAAGGAAAATGGAGTAAGAGATCGGTCTCTCACCAGATGGCGTATTGTAGTTTAGCAGTTCACAATATTCGGTTTGACGACATTTTTAAATGACGTGACACTTCTATATTAATTTTATTAATTTATGGCGAATGGAAAAAAAATACAAAAATTGTCATAATTCTCGGATCAACTACCGCGCCCTGCTCTAGTGAAAATTTAGTGACTTTATATATAGTTAAAATTAAAAATTACTATAAAGTTACTAAAATTTCACTAGAGCAGGGTGCGGTAGTTAATCGAGAATTATAACAACTTTTGGGTATCTTTCTGAATACGCCATAAACTAACAAAATTATTATAAAAGTGTCACGAATTTTCAAAATGCTGTCAAACCGGAAGACAAGTAAATTTTGCAATTGAGTGTAATAATAAATATATTAGTTATAGAGGGCGCATGAATATTTTATTATTGAATTTTCAAATTAAAATTTGACAAATTTTTTTTTTTTATACAAAATGGACAAAAATTGACAGATAGATTTTGGCGCATTTTTTTTTTTTTTTTGAAAATTAACCAATTAGAAATTATCGATGAAAATTGTGATTGGTCAATTTTCAAAAAATTGTCGCTAAAATCTTTTTTGTCGATATTGTTTTTGTGTATGGTCATTTGTAAATTCGGACAAAAATGAAAATTCAACGTCTTTAAAAGTGTTATTAATGAAAAATTTTGTAAAAATAAAAATTCAAACAATTCTGTCGAATTCTAATTCGAAAAATTAAAATTTGTCTATATAAAATAATTATTTCTAATAAAGAAAATAAAGAAATTTATGTAATAAAAATTTCAAATTAATGATTTTTATGGAATAATCATGGGCCCTTAGATTATTGAAAATTTATTAATTTTATTATAATGTAAACTAAAAAAATTAATTATATGTTATATTAATATTAAATTGTAATTAATAAATAAATTTTAAAAATTAATTACTTATTATTATTATTATTTAAATATTACTAAAAAAAAATTCAGAAAAAAGAATTTTACTTTTGTTTGTTTTTTTGATATATTTAAAAAAAAAATCGAAAAACAAAATAAGATAATTTTAACCCTTTCTACAACACTGTCAAAATAAAAAAGGTTTTAAATTATCTAAATTTTGAAAATGATTTTTATATTATTTTAATAATGATGAAATTTTAATTAATTCTCAATTGTATTTTGTGATAATAAAAAAAAAAAAAAGATAAAAATTATGGACGAAGATATGAAAAGAATTCTTTTGAAGGTATTTAACTGAATTTTATTTTTGTTAAAATCTTTAATTTCTCAAAAAATAATAATCTAAGAATTATTTTTTTTTTTCATAATTTATTTTTAAATAATTTTTTACTTTAATATAAAATAAAATTTCATTATATTATTATTATTAATTATAGCAATTAAATGAAAATAATTTTTAATATTTTGTAAATATTTGAAAAATGTTTAAAAAATATTGAAAAATTTTTTTTTTTTTAAATTATATGATTTATTAATTTAATAATAATTTATATAAATTCTTTATTCTATTATAAAATCTTTAAATTTATTTCTTAATATTATTTTAATTTTTAATATATTTATTAATTTATAATTTTTCTCAAATAATTTTCAAATAATTTTATAATTAAAATTTTTGACTATTAAACTATCATTTCAATTTATATTAAATTAATTTACCTTATAATTGGCCTTTTTTTTTTTTTTTTTTGAAAATAATTTTTCTCCACATTAGTTATCCATTTATTTGGGATGGTTGACAATTTCCTATATTTACATAACGGACGGTGGTACAAGTTCCGTTTCTGATCCAATTGATGAGACCGGATGGGTTCCCGATGGAGCTTTTGCAAAATTACTCATTGGTGGCGATGATGAAAATTAATAAAGTCTCAAAAAATGGAAAAAAAAATTTCAATTTTTCATTTTTCAAAGCTAAAACAAAACAAAACAAAAAGACAAAAAAATTAATTAATTTAAAGAAATATTTGTAAACACAATTTTTTGTACAAAAAAAAATTTTTATAAAATAAACAAAAATAATATTTTTATAACAATTTTTTTTCTATAAAAAAAATTGTTTTGTTTAAAAAAAAAAAAAAAAACAGTGAGAGAAAAATATCAATTTTTTTTTCTTAATAATAAAGAAAAAATAGAACCTATTTTTATTTCTTTTTTTTTGATTTAAAAAAAATATTGAAAGCAGAATTGAAGAATATTTTTTTTTTTTTTTTTTTTTATTAACATTTACACCAACAATTATTTTTAGAAAAAACTATTTTCTAGTTCAACATTTTTCGTTTATATAACAAGTTGTTTCGATTCTAATTTGTTATTTATATAAATATTATATGCGTAAAAAATAAACAATTAATTAATTTACAATCGATTATACAATTCAATTGAATTAAATAAAAAAAAATCTAGAAAAAAAAAAAAATTCAGTTCATTATCTTCTTTTTTTTCTCCTCTTTTAATAAAAAGAGAGGGGGAAAAAAAATTCTTTTTTTACTTTACTCTCACCTCTCTTTTTATAAAAAAATTTTGTTTTCTATTTTTTTTTCTCTTTTTTCAAATTTTTTCTTTTTCTATCTTTTTGTTTTTTTTTTTTTTCTTTCTTTTATTTTTTCTCAAAAATTTTATTTTTTTTTTCGTCTCCACATGAGAAAAAAATTACAATAATTTTTTATCATTCAAATTTTGTTGTTCACTATTATCATTATCATTATTATCATTATCAATTGTTGACGTTAATGAATCTTGATTATTTTTCAATTGTGATTCCCACATTTTTTTATAGACACCATCAAATTGAATGAGTTCATCGTGACGGCCACGTTCAACAATTTCACCTTCTTTTAATACAAGAATTTCATCGGCATGAATAATTGTTGATAAACGATGTGCAACAATAATTGTCGTACGATTAGCGCAAACTTGATTTAATGCCGATTGTATATTGCGTTCAGTTTCCGTGTCCAATGCACTTGTCGCTTCATCGAGAAGAACAATTTTTGGCGCTTTCAATATTGTTCTTGCAATAGCGACTCTTTGTTTTTCACCACCACTTAAACGTAAACCCCTCTCACCAACCTAAAAAAAAAAAAAAATTCCCACTTTATTTAGCCAAATTTTTAATTAAGCCAAATTTTTATTAAAAAAAACAAACAAACATTTAACCAAAATTTGATTTATCTTTTTTATTAAATTAAAAAATTATATTAAATTTTGCAATTGAATAGAATTTTTTACATTATGCCGAAATTTTCAATAAAACAAAAGTTCCATTTAGCCGAAATTTCAAAATTTATTTTCAAAATTTTTACTAAAACGATTTTTTATTACACTGAATTATTTTTAGTCAAAATTTTATTTAACATAATATGGGAAAAAATTTTTTATTGAGCCAAATTTTAATTGAACGTATTTCCATTTAGCCGAATTTTCTATTAAATCAAATTATAATTAACCAAAATTTTATTTAACAGAATTTTTCATTAACTGAAATTTCAATTAAACTGAATTTTTTTAAGATAAAATTTTATTTAACAAATTATTCAGCAAAAGTTGTATTAAGCCAAGTTTTAATTTGTTATTTAACTGAGTTTTCAATTAAACTGATTTTCTATTAAGCTAAATTTTATATAACAGAATTTTTATTTAGCCGAAATTTCAAATTTTTTTGTAAAATTTTTACTAAAACGATTTTTTAATTACACTAAATTCTATTAAGCCGACCTTTTTTTTAAAATTAAACTGAAAATAATATTCGGCCAAATTTACTAAATTTTTTAACTAAAACTCAAAAATTACATTTAGCCAAATTTCCGTTAAGTTTAATAGTATTAAGCCAAAGTTAAGTATTAAACGAAACTCCAGCCTAATTTTTATTCAGTTAAATTTGTAGAAAAAAATTAAAATTATATTTAGCCAAAATTCATATTCAACGGAATTTTTGATTAAGCCGAAATTTCAAATTTTTTTGTAAAATTTTTACTAAAACGATTTTTTAATTACACTAAATTCTATTAAGCCGACCTTTTTTTTGTTTATTAAACTGAAAATAATATTCGGCCAAATTTACTAAATTTTTTAACTAAAACTCAAAAATTACATTTAGCCAAATTTCCATTAAGTTTAATAGTATTAAGCCAAAGTTAAGTATTAAACGAAACTCCAGCCTAATTTTTATTCAGTTAAATTTGTAGAAAAAAATAAAAATTATATTTAGCCAAAATTCATATTCAACGGAATTTTTGATTAAGCCGAAAGTATTGAAAAACTCAATTTTACCAAAAGTTTTATTAAGCTGATTTTTTTTAAAAAAATTCAAAAAATTACATTTAGCCAAATTTTCATTAAACTAAACTATATTTAGCCGAATTTTTTCAAAAAAAAATTATTTAGCCGCATTTTAAATTTTACAAAAATTCTATTTTATTAAGCCTTATTTGCATTAAACAAAACACTATTTAGCCGAATTTTCATTTAACCTATTTTTATTTAGCCGAATTTTATAAGTAAAACAAAATTTCTTTAAAGAAAAATTATATTTAGCTAAATTTTTTATAAAACCAAATTTTTATACAGCCGTATATTTATTTAACTGAAATTTCAATTACACTGAATTATATTTAGCCAAAAATTTTATTTTCAGAGTATACATTTTTATTTAGCCGAATTTAAATTTTTTTTTAAATTTCTTTAAAGAAAAATTATATATTTAGCTAAATTTTCTATTAAACCAAATTTTTATATAGACAAATTTTTATTTATCTAAAATTTCAATTACACTGAATTATTTTTAGTCAAAATTTTATTTAAGATAATATGGAAAAAAATTCTTTATTGAGCTAAATTTTAATGGAACGTATTTCTATTTAGCTGAATTTTCTGTTAAATCAAATTATAATTAACCAAAATTTTATTTAACAGAATTTTTCATTAACTGAAATTTCAATTAAACTGAATTTTTTTAAGCCAAAATTTTATTTAACAAATTATTCAGCAAAAGTTGTATTAAGCCAAGTTTTAATGAAACGAATTTCTATTTAGCCGAATTAAATTAATTTTTTTTAATTTTCTTTAAATCGAATTTTTATTCAGTTAAATTTTTATTAAACCAAATAATATATTTAACCAAATTTGTTATTTAACTGAGTTTTCAATTAAACTGATTTCTATTAAGCTAAATTTTATATAACAGAATTTTTATTTAGCCGAAATTTCAAATTTTTTTTCAAAAATTTTTACTAAAACGATTTTTTAATTACACTAAATTCTATTAAGCCGACCTTTTTTTTAAATTAAACTGAAAATAATATTCGGCACAAATTTACTTAATTTTTAACTAAAACTGAAAAATTACATTTAGCCAAAGTTTTAATTAATTTAAAAAATTTTATATAGAAATATAATTGTATTAAGCCAAATTTTCTTATTAAACGAAACTTTAATTAGCCAAAATTGTATTAAACTAAAATTTATATTAAACTGAAAATTACATTTAGCCGAATTTTCATTTAACCTATTTTCATTTAGCAGAATTTTAGAATTAAACTAATTTTATTTAACAGAATTTTTATTAAGTCGAAATTTCACCTAATTTTTAATTAACTGAATTAAAATTTAATCAAATTTTTATTTAACGGATTTCCATTGAGCCGAAGTTGAAAATTTCGTTAAAAATTTTCTTTCATGAAAAATTTTGTAAATTTAGCAAAAAATTTTAACCTATTTTTATTTAGCAGAATTTTAGAATTAAAAAAAATTTCTTTGAAGAGAAATTATATTTAGCCAAATTTTCTATTAAACCAAATTAAAATTAACCGAATTTTTTTTATTAAATTAAATTTTATTTAAACTGAATTTTATTAAGCCAACATTTTATTTAACAAATTATTCAGCAAAAGGTTAATTAAGCCAAGTTTTAATGAAACAGATTTCTATTTAGCTAAATTAAATTAATTTTTTTTTTAAATTTTCTTTAAATCGAATTTTTATTCATTTAAATTGTTATTAAACCAAATAATATATTTAACCAAATTTTCATAATTTTGAAACTTTTTTCCCATTTAACCAAATTTGTTATTTAACTGAATTTTCAATTAAACTTATTTATATTAAGCTAAATTTTATTTATTTGAATTTTTATTAAGCCGAAATTTCACCTAATTTTTATTTAACTGAATTAAAATTTAGCCAAATTTTCATTTAACAGATTTCCATTGAGCCGAAGTTGAAAATTTTGTTAAAAATTTTCTTTGATGAGAAATTTTTTGTATATTTAGCCAAATTTTTAACCTATTTTTATTAAACAGAATTTTAAAATTAAAAACAATTTTCTTTGAAGAGAAATTTTATTTAGCCAAATTTTCTATAAAACCAAATTAAAATTAACCAAATTTTTATTTAACCGAATTTTTTTTATTAAATGAAATTTCATTTAAACTGAATGTTATTAAGACAAAAATTTTATTTAACAAATTATTCAGCAAAAGGTTTATTTAGCCAAGTTTTAATGAAACAAATTTCTATTAAGCTGAATTAAATTATTTTTTTTTTCAATTTTCTTCAAATCGAATTTTTATTTAGTTAAATTTTTATTAAACTAAATAATATATTTAACCAAATTTTCATAATTTTTTCCCATTTAACCAAATTTATTATTTAACTGAATTTTTAATTAAACTGATTTATATTAAGCTAAATTTTATTTAACAGAATTTTTATAAACCGAAATTTCACCTAATTTTTATTTAACCGAATTTTTTTATTAAATGAAATTTCATTTAAACTGAATTTTATTAAGCCAAAAATTTTATTTAACAAATTATTCAGCAAAAGGTAATTAAGCCAAGTTTTAATTAAACAAATTTCTATTTAGCTGAAATTAAACTGATTTCTATTAAGCTAAATTTTATTTAACTGAATTTTTATTAAGCCAAGTTTTAATTAAACAAATTTCTATTTAGCTGAAATTAAACTGATTTCTATTAAGCTAAATTTTATTTAACTGAATTTTTATTAAGCCGAAATTTCACCTAAATTTTTATTTAACTGAATTAAAATTTAGCCAAATTTTCATTTAACGGATTTCCCTTGGACTGAAGTTGAAAATTTTGTTAAAAATTTTCTTTGATGAGAAATTTCGTATATTTAGCCAAATTTTAATTAAAGAAAATTATATTTAATCAAATTTTCGAAATTTTATTTAGCATTTTTTTTTTTTGTTGAATGGCAAAATTTTGATATTTTCGATTAAATTGTGAATCAATTATATGAAAAAAAAAAATTGAAAAAAAATTGAAAAAAAATTTATTTAACAAACCTGCGTTTCGTATCCTTCCGGAAATGATGAAATTCTTTCGTGAATATCCGCATATTTTGCAGCCGCAATAATATCAACATCGGGCGCATCAATTCTTCCATATTGAATATTATATTTTATTGTATTATTAAAAAGTACAGTGTCCTGGGGAACGACTCCTAAAAAAAAAAAAAAGTAAATAAAAATAATAAATAAATTTTTTAATAAAATAAATTGAAAAAATAACTATATTTAATATATAAAGTTAAATATTTTATTAAAAATAAAAAAGAAATATAGATTGAAAAATAAATTATTTTTAATATTATAAATTATCGAGAAAAAAAAATTTAATAAAATTGTTTTTGAATTTTTCTCTTTTTTTTGTTGTAATAATTTGAATAAATAACAAACCAATTGCCGAACGTAATGAATCTTGTTTGACTGTTTTCAAATCTTGTCCATCAATTGAAATTGAACCATGTTCAATATCGTAAAAACGAAATAATAATCTCATTATTGTTGATTTACCAGCGCCCGATGGACCAACAAATGCAATTGTTTTACCCGATGGTACATTAAAATTAATATTACGCAATACAATTCTCTCTTGATTATAGCCAAATGTGACATTTGAAAATTCAACTTCACCACGTTTTACAATTAATGGACCAGCGCCTGGTGCATCGATAACTTCCTCTTCCTCGCGCAATAATTCAAACATATTTTCCATATCGACAAAATTCTTTTGTATCATTCTGTAATGGGGATAAAATATTTATTTTATTATCCACAAAAAAAAAAAATGAAAATTAATTAATTAAAATTTTCACTATGTTTTTTATAATACAAAACACAAACAAAAATATTAAGTTAATATAATAAAATAAATAAATATCAAAAAAAAATTTTTTTTAAAGTAATAAATAATGAAAAATATATTTAATTTACCTGTAATAAGTGCCAAACCAATTGAGAGGAACGTAAAGTTGAATTATATAACTGGCAAACAAAACATAGTCACCGATCGTTAATCCTTCTCCAGAAACGACCTTTAATGTTGTTTGATTTTTTTTTTTTTAGAAAAAAAGAAAGAAAAAGAAATAGAAACATAATTTTTGAATATTTAAAAAAAAAGAATAGAAATATTTTTTGTATAATTAAATAGAGTTTTTTTTTTAAAAAAAAAAAGAGAAAAAAGGAAAGAAAAAATAAATGTATTTCTTTTTTAATATTAATACGAACCATGTGAAGACAAAGAAGAGAACCAATGAGTAAACCACTGCAAATAATAATATTTTGCATTGTATTTAAAATATTTAATGTGAACATTGATTTCCATTCTTCAATTTGAAAATTAATAATTGCATCTCTATATGAATTAACTTCATAATTTTCAGCTCCATAATATTTTACTGTTTCAAAATTTAATAAACTATCAACGCTACGCGTTTTCATTGCATTATCAGCTAAATTCATTCGTCTTTGATATTTTGTTCGCCATTCGGTGACTGATATTGTTGCAACTGAAAAACAAAAAAAAAATTTCCATTTATTTAAAATTACATTATTTTTTCAAACAAATATATACTAAATAATTAAATAAAAAAAAAATACAATTAAATTATCATTTTCTCACCGATATAAAGAACCATTGTGGAAAAAACAATGAGGCCAAACCATTTATTAAAAACGCTAATAAAAAAAATCACGGCAATTATAATGTCAACGATCGTTGGTACAATTGAAAAGAGAATGTAATTTAATAAATTATTTATTGAATCATTGCCACGATCAACGACACGTAAAACTTCACCTGTTTTACGTCCCAAATGCCATCGAAGACTCAAATTATGCAAATGTCTGAAAATAAACAAACAATTATTATTTGCAAAAAAAAAAAAAAAAAAAACGGAAAAAATTTTCTGATTATAAATTATTATTATTTACAAAAAAAAATTGTATTTTTAGTTATTTCAAAATATTCGCGAAGAAAACAAAAAAAAAACGGAAATAATTTTCTGGTAATAAATTATTATTATTATTATTATTACAAAAAAGAAATTTATTTTTGATAATTTTTTGTAACAAAAAAAAAAAAATTTTTTTATTTATTTATTCATTTTTTTTAAAACTATTTTGCGAAGAATAAAATATTTTCTCTTACCGAAAAAGTTCGACTTCAACTTCTCGTGATGTATATTGTTGAACGCGAATCCAAAGAAATGAACGTAAATTATTTAAAAAACCCATTCCACCGGTACCGCCGCCTTGAAGAAATTTAAAGCCAACGTAAATTAACACCAGATCCCATCTGAAAAAGAAAGGGGGAAAAATATTAATTATCTTTTTTTTTTTTAAATAATAAAAAAAAAAAATTATTATATAATAATAAAATGCTTGGTCTGTCCTTCTGTCCTAACTTGAAGTTGGCCATTTCTGATTTCACGTGTTTTTTTTTTTTTTTTTTTTTTTTTTTTTTTTTTTGAATAGTAATCATATGACGTGTCAAATTTTGACAATTCTTTTTCTTATTTTTTGCCAAAGTTGTATAATTGTGTTTCCAAATTTCGGAATAAGTTTCTTTCAAAATTCCAAATTCGAAAATTCAATTCACGAAGCTGAAGTACACAACGTTAACACAACGAAATTTTTTTTAAACTTGTATATTGATTCAAAAATTGTATACAAATACAAAAAATTTATGATGAGACAAAAGATGCGCCAGGAAATTTCGTACAAGATAGTAATTTGAAAAAAATTAATTTTTAAAAATTAATTTTTAAGGTACCAGGGGCCAACGAATACCTATTAAATATTAATTATAAAAATACAGGCCTCGAATCAACTTAAAAACACAAAAAAGTCGTTTCAGTCGATTTATATTCCAAAAAAAAGTGGATTTGTTTTTTATTTTAACAAAAATATTTTACAGATTTTTAAATAAATTTTTTTTTTTAATAATAATCCTTTTCGAAGGGTTAAAGTTGAAATTTTTAGAAATAATTAAATTTCAAAAGAAAATTGTTAATTTTCAAACAATTATTAAATTTTACAGAACTAAAAATAATTCAACAAACAATTTTTGGAAAACATTTTTTAAATTTAATTGAATTTTCAAAGATTTAAAATTGAGATTTTTGAAATTAATTGAAACTTTAAGTGATTTTTAATTAAAATTTTAGATGATTTCACTAAAAATTTATTAGAAAATGCGGACAAAATACAATAATTTGAAAATTATTTTTAATTGAAAAATGGTTTCAGATAGTTGAATTTTCAAAGAATATTATTAAAGTAGTTAAAAATAATTGAATTTCCTTAGAATTATAATTGAAATTATTAAATTTCAAAAAAAAATAATTTCTATGGAAAATTTTAGAAGCTTTAAAATTCAAATTTTTAAAAATAATTGAATTTTAATATGAAATTTTGGATAATAATTTAATTTTAGTTGATTTTTTATTGAAAATTTTAATAATAATAATTAATTATGAATTGAAATTTTTGTGAATAATTGAATTTTAGTTGATTTTGAATTGAAAATTTGGAAAATAATTGAATTTTATTTAATTTTGAATTGAAAATTTGGAAATGAATTGAATTTTAAAAGATTTGCAATTGAAAATTTTGAAAATAATTGAATTTTCATTGATTTTGAACTGAAATTTTTGGAAATAATTGAATTTTAATTGAAATTTTAGATAATAATTCAATTTAAGTTGATTTTTGAATGAAAATTTTGATAATAAATTTTAAATTGAAATTTTTTAGAATAATTGAATTTTAGTTGATTTTGAATTGAAAATTTGGAAAATAATTGAATTTTATTTGATTTTAAATTGAAAATCTGGAAAATAATTGAATTTTAGTTGATTTTGAATTGAAAATTTTGAAAATAATTGAATTTTCTTTGATTTTAAATTGAAATTTTTCAAAATAATTGAATTTTAATTGAAATTTTGGATAATTTAATTTTAGTTGATTTTTGATTGAAATTTTTGATAATAATTAAATTTTAATTGATTTTGAATAGAAAATTTGGAAAATAATTGAATTTTATTTGATTTTAAATTGAAAATCTGGAAAATAATTGAGTTTTAGTTGATTTTGAATTAAAAATTTTGGTAATAATTGAATTTTCTTTGATTTTTAATTAAAATTTTGGGAAATAATTAAATTTTCTTTGATTTTGAATTGAAATATTATGAAATAATTGAATTTTAATTGAAATTTTAGATAATAATTTAAGTTCATTTTTGATTGAAAATTTGGATAATTAATTTGGAATAGAAATTTTAGAAAATAATCGAATTTTATTTCATTCTAAATTGAAAACTTGGTAAATAATTAAATTTTAAATTGAAAATTTTGTGGATAATTATTGGATTTTTAATTGATTTTGAATTAAAATTTCTTGTAATAATTGAATTTTAGTTTATTTTGAATTGAAATTTTTTAAAAAATAATTAAATTTTATTGTGATATTTTTTTTTTTAATTATAAACAATTGTTAAATTTCATAAAAAATTTTAATTGAAAAATAATTTTAATATAATTGAATTTGTGATGTATTTCATTAAAATTATTAAAAATAATTAATTTAGTGAAGAATCATTTTAGTTGAAAATTTGTTAAATAATTGAATTGAAGATCTGAAGAAGATATAAATTTTATACTAAAAAAATGTATTTTATTTACATTTTTTTTCAAATGTAAAAAAAAATGTCGCATTTTATTAAAATAAGTCGATAAAAGTCGTATTTTTGAAAAAAAAAGTCGGAAAAAGTCGTATAATCCGAGGCCTTTAAACATATAATTTTCATTATTATCATTTAATATGTAATAATATTCTACTAAATTAAATTATTATTGATAATATTAATCTTCAATTTCTTTATAACAAACAATTAAATACTCAATTTGGCGCGCGTTTAATTTTGCTAGTTTATTGAATAAATAAATATAAAAGTAAATCAAACACGGTGGGCTTGGATTAAGTTCAACCCAAAAGTCTTTGCACATCACCGTTTTCTTTTGGAATTACTTCGGGGATGTCTTCTGATTATTTTAAGACAAAAATGAAAATAATCGGTGGAGGGAAACTGAAATTATCTTGATTTTTCATTTTTTTTATAGGTTATTCTATGTAATTTCTTTAAAAAAAGGTTTCCTTCAATTTTTTTCTACAAAAGTTGTATTTCGGATTCAGTAAAGAATCTCTATGATAGTTAATGAATTTAAAAAATTTGAACTATTAAATTTGTTAATAAATAATGGAAGAACATGGTTTTTCATTCGTTTTTTGAAATTAACTCGTCTTGTAATTAATTTACACCAAAATTTTTCAAAGATAATTTGAAGTACATAAGATTATCTGTAAAACTGAAAAAAGAAGACTGTTCTACCTATTACCGTTCCTTAGATATGACACGTTGAAGTTGCTATTCAATGAAAAATTTAAACTTGGGAGCTCATTATTCGATGAATAATAATAATAATAATAATAATTTATACTACTGAAGATAAATTAATTTTATCTATCGCAAATTATTCGAAAAAGAGTCCTCTTAATTATGTTTTATTATAATTGTTATATTAGGATATTAAATAAAAGAATTCATCGAATAATGAGCTCCCAAGTTTAAATTTTTCATTGAATAGCAACTTCAACGTGTCATATCTAAGGAACGGTAATAGGTAGAACAGTCTTCTTTTTTCAGTTTTACAGATAATCTTATGTACTTCAAATTATCTTTGAAAAATTTTGGTGTAAATTAATTACAAGACGAGTTAATTTCAAAAAACGAATGAAAAACCATGTTCTTCCATTATTTATTAACAAATTTAATAGTTCAAATTTTTTAAATTCATTAACTATCATAGAGATTCTTTACTGAATCCGAAATACAACTTTTGTAGAAAAAAAATTGAAGGAAACCTTTTTTTAAAGAAATTACATAGAATAACCTATAAAAAAAATGAAAAATCAAGATAATTTCAGTTTCCCTCCACCGATTATTTTCATTTTTGTCTTAAAATAATCAGAAGACATCCCCGAAGTAATTCCAAAAGAAAACGGTGATGTGCAAAGACTTTTGGGTTGAACTTAATCCAAGCCCACCGTGCAAAGACAATATTGAGAATTTCAATAATTTTTTTTGTTTTTTCACTCACCTAAATTGAAGTGGAATAAATGTGACGCTATCGACAATTTTTTTATTATAAATTGGCACATAAAGATTAATTAATCGTCCCAATGCAAGTAAGCCAAAGCAAAAAATCACACGCAATTGAAGTAAAAAATCTTTCTTTGGCCATAAAAATGGTGCGAGTGTTTTTAATTTATACCATGCATTTTTCCATGTCGATGTATTATCATCTTGTCGCTGTAATTGAAATTAAATATTAAGTAAAAAAAAAATGAAAAAAACAAATTATTAATAGGCAAATTTTATATTGATTTATTTAAAAAAAAATTTTTTTTAAATTATTAACTAACATTTCAGTAAAATAAGTAATAAATAAATTATTTTTTATTATTAGCTATTATTGTTATTTTTTTTGGAAATTATAATTATTATATTTATAATTACAAATTATAATTATTATATTTATAATTAAAAAATATAATTATTATATTTGTAATTACAGATTATAATTATTATATTTATAATTAAAAAATATAATTATTATATTTGTAATTACAAATTATAATTATTATATTTATAATTAAAAAATATAATTATTATATTTGTAATTACAAAGTGTAATTATTATATTTATAATTAAAAAATATAATTATTATATTTGTAATTATAAATTGTAATTATTTTATTAATATAAATCGAAAGTTTCATTAGTTAATAAATAATTAATTAACTAAAAATAATTTTTGCTTTTTGACTGTATATAAATATTATATTATTATTTTTATTTTTTTTTTGTAATGATTTTGTAAAAATAACTGTATTGATGTTTATTTAATGATTTATTTATTTAATATAGAAGTTAATTTGATTTTTCAATAAAAAAAAATTTTAATATTTTTAAATAAATTAAAAAAAAAAATGTTTGTCAAAGAAATTCGGGAATAATAAACACTTACCCCTTGATAATATTGACTACGTGAATGTTGTTGATTTTGAAGATTTTCATAATCAAGCCAAACATTACCAAAAATTCCTGGCGCACGAAGACCAATTGCAAAAATAAGAAGACTACTGACATAGCGAAGCACAAACAGTGACATTTCTATTTGATCAGTGAGTCTGTGTAATTAAACAAAAAAAAAATTAATCGGATTACATTTTTTTTTCTACTTTTGTTTGTTGAGAAAAATTATTTTAATCAAATTTTAAACTATTTAAATAACAAAAAATTAATCAATTAATAAATTAAATTAAATTTTCTACTACAAAAAAAAAATCGAAATTTATTAAGTAAATAAATAAATTAATTTACATAAAAAAAATGAAATTTATTTACCGAATAAATTTAATTTATTTACAAAAAAAATGAAATTTACCGAATTAATTCAATTTATTTACCGAATAAATTCAATTCATTTACAAAAAAAAAAATGATATTTATTTACAAAAAAAAATGAAATTTATTTACCGAATAAATAAATTAAATTTACAAAATAAAAAAATTGAAATTTATTTACTAAATAAATTAAATTTATTTACAAAAATTAATGAGAGAAATTTTTTATTTAAAAACTAATGAAATAAATGAAATTTAATAAAAAAAATTCATTTTTTAAAAAAAAATAATTAATTATAATTTTTTAAATAGGAAAAAAAAAATTTTTTTACTCACGTATTTAAATGAAACCACCATTCATTTTTGCCAATATTTATAAAGACCAAATTTTCAAAGCAAAATGTTAATGTCCAAAATCCTAAAAGTACTAAACCATGACCACGTGGTGGTACACTTGGAAGTAATTTATGACGTTCCACACGTAAAACATAAACCGAATACGGATAAACAATTATTGTTAAAATTGTATTATAAAGCTAGAATAAAAAAACCAAAAGAAAATTTTTATTTTTAACTTCCTAGAAAGAAATTTTTAAAAAATTAATATTTATTTTTTATTCAAATATTAATATTCTATTATAATAAATATTAATATTCTATTTAAATTAATTAATAATTATATTAATTATTATTAAATATTAAATTATTTAAAAAAAAAAAACGATAAAATATTAATTGATTTTCATTTTCATATTTCCAAAATTAATTTCCATCTAATGTCAATTTAATAATAATAATTAATATTATATATTAATTATTTATTTATTTAATGAGTTATAAATTATAAAAATTTATAAAAATTTTAAATTATAAAATAATTTCATTTTATGGAATTTCATTTGTTAAAATTATTTTTGAGTCGAATTTTTATTTACTCGAATTTTCATTTAAAATAATATAGGCATTTTAAAGAATTTTTATTGGCTAGAATTTCATTGCATAGAATTTTCATTTAAATTATTTCAAATGAATTTTCATTTGTTGCGAATTATTATTTGATTGAATTTACATAAAAAAACGATTTTTCTGCTGAATTTTTAACCGAAAAATCATTTAACAGAATTTCTTAATTGATTTGAATTTTCATTTGTCCGAAATTGGTAATTGACCGAAATAATAATCGATTTTTGGCGCAATTTTTAAATTAACAACCAATCACAATTTTTTTTTTTGGTTATTTTTTTTAATTGGTTGTTAATTTAAAAATTGCGCCAAAAATCGATTATTATTTCGGTCAATTACCAATTTCGGACAAATGAAAATTCAAATCAATTAAGAAATTCTGTTAAATGATTTTTCGGTTAAAAATTCAGCAGAAAAATCGTTTTTTTATGTAAATTCAATCAAATAATAATTCGCAACAAATGAAAATTCATTTGAAATAATTTAAATGAAAATTCTATGCAATGAAATTCTAGCCAATAAAAATTCTTTAAAATCTCTAAAAAAAAAAAGTTATGTTAAATGAAAATTTGAGTAAATAAAAATTTCGAAATAAATTAAAAATTTTGTCAAATGAATTTTTGATTGTTGTAAAAAGTTCTCTAATATAGAAAAAAAAACGTTTTTAATGAAAAATTCTGCATAAATACTAATACTAATACTAATAATTAATACTAATTGGAAAAAAATAAAAAATTCGGCTCAAAAATAATTACAAAGAAAAAAATGAAATTTCATAAAATTAAAATTCTTACTAATGATTTTTAAAATGTAAAAATCATATGTACTCCAAATTAATTGAATATTCAATATTAATTCTATTCTAATTTTATATTCTTTTTATTTATTTATTTATTTATTTTTTGTTTTTTTAATTAAACATACCATGTAGCCGTAAACAGTTTTATCATCCAATACAGTCGCTTGTAAAATAAATCTCGTGAGACTGAGAATTGGCACTAAATAGAGGCATATTTTTTGTAATATATATAAATTACTTTTTGGTATTGAATTAAAATCAATTTCCGTGCCATATTGTCGATAAATCCATAATTGTATTGTTCCAAATATTAACATATAAAGTGAAATAATTGTCACTGTTATTGTATCAACAAAACATTTTGACATTCCATGATTAATCCATATTTCATTGAATGTTATATTTGGCGGACAAAATGTTTGGCAAAAATTCACCGTTGTATTATTCATAATTTTTTTTTTTTTTTGAAAATTAATTTTTTCAATTTTCTTTATTATTTTTTTTTTAAATTAAGAATTTATTTTTTTAAAAAATTCAATAATAATTAATATTTTGTAAAAATAAATAAATATTTTCTAAAATTAATTTTCTTTTTACTATTTATCACAGAAAATTTTTTTTTTTTTATTATTATTATTATAAATTCTCTTTTTTCTTTGTTATTTGTTAAATTTTTCGATTCCTGAAAAGAAATAAATTTTAGTCATTAAAACGTAATTGCCTGTAAATTGCAAATAAATAAATAAAATTGAATTAAACCATTTTTTTTTTTCTATTAATTATCGAACTATTTTTTTTTTTGGAATGAAAAAATAATTATAAAAAAAAAAATTATAAAAACGTTATTTAATAAATTGAAATTTTTTAATTAAAAAAAAAACGTTATTTAATAAATTAAAATTTTTTAATTAAAAAACTGTTTTTAATAAATTAAAATTTTTTAATTAAAAAAAAATGTTTTTAATAAATTACAATTTTTTTTTTTTGAAAATAAATTAAAACAATTTTAGAAAAAAGACAAAAGTAAAATTAATAAATATAATAAAAACCAAAGAAAATTTTTATTTTTAACTTCCTACAAAGAAATTTTTAATTAATATTTATTTTTTATTCAAATATTAATATTCTATTTAAATTAATTAATAATTATATTAATTATTATTAAATATTAAATTATTAAAAAAAAAAACGATAAAATAATATTAATTTATTTTCATTTTCATATTTCCAAAATTAATTTCCATCTAATATCAATTTAATAATAATTAATATTATATATTAATTATTTATTTATTTAATGAGTCAATTATAAAATAATTTCATTCCATTTATTTTACAATTTTTTTTTTGAAAATAAATTAAAACAATTTTAGAAAAAAGACAAAAGTAAAATTAATAAATATAATAAATTAAAAAACAAAAATAATAAATAATAATAATTATAGAATATTAATATTTATTTATTATTTACTACAATATTATTTTTATTATTAGTATATAATAACAATAATAATGATAATATTAATAATAATAATAATAGTAATAATAATTTATAATAATAAATAATAAATAAATAATAAAATAGAATTTATTAATAAATAAATAATGATAAAAAAAAAAATAGAGAAAAATTTAAAACGAAAAAAAAAAGAAAAATAAATATAAAATTCTTGAATTAACTTTTTTTTATATAAGTGAAAAAATTTAATTAATAAAAAAATTACACACAAATTAAATAAATAATTAAAATTTATAGAAAATAAAATGCAAAGTCGTAGAAAAAAAAAGAACAAAAATAATATAAATTAAAAAATTAAATTCACATTAATTTCTTCTATTATCGAAATTGATAAAAAAAAAATAAAACAAAAGATAAGAAAGTGTAAAAAAAATTAATTACTTGATAAATTTAAATTACCAATGCAATTAAATCACAATTATATTATTGTTTATTAAAAATATTTTTGCCTTACAAAAATAAAAACACGAAATTAACCTCAAAAAGGGAAAGAAAATTTTTTTTAATTTTATAACAAATAAATTTTTCGTTTATATCGAAAAATATATTTTTAAAAAGAAAAAATAAAACGAAATTATAACCTCAAAAAAAGAATTTTTTTTTTTTGTAAATCATCAAATATATGTCATTTTAAAAATATTCAAATAAAATCGAAAAACAAAATTATAATTAAAAAAAAAGTAAAGAACACGACTCACCTTGATTTTTAATTTTTTGCTTAAAAATTAAATTCTTGCATTTTTTTTTCACATTATCGGCGAAAAATAAACTTGGCGGACAAAATTATATTATCTCTTCAAAAAAAAAAATGTTATATTTTTCACTAAAATTTTTGCACAGTCACACACTAGACGAAGTAAATTTTACAATAGAAATAACGTATATATACATATATATGTAGCAATAAAGATAATTATAATCTCGAAAATTTATGTATTTTTAATAAACTTCCTTCCTAACCTATAAAAAAAAATCACATCTCTTTGTTGTTCTAACCTATATAAAGAACTTGAAATATAATTAAATTTTATCCTTTTTTGTCAAAAAAAAACTAACAAAATTAAATCATTTTTTTTTTCGCGCTATTTGACTCATTTTTTTCCCCTCCCACGAGGATTATTAAATGCGGTCAAAGGTTTTTTTTTTTTCTACGAATTTAATTATATTTTTAAAACGTCACTTACATTCTTAGATCAGCTGACACTTGTGTATGTGTGTGTGTGTTGTATTTTTTGACGCGAATTACTGCGCGGATATAAATTTCACTGTAATATTATATATTTATTTTAAATGAACGTTACGAAATTTATTTTTTTAAATAAATAAACAAATATTATTATTATTTTTCTTATTTTCTCAATTGAAATCAAAAATCGATTGGTTATAGCAATCGATTAATTGAACTTATGCGTGCGCGCGCACAGTGGCGGGAAATTTTGTTTCTAACAAAAATTAATTAATTCATTAAATTATTTATCAATTAAGCGGCAAAATTATTAGAAATAAATTAAAAATTAATGAGTATAAAAACAAAAAAATAATAAAATACATAAAAATTATGTTAAAATTGCTGCCGTATTTTTTTTTAATTATTTACGAAACTAATGATTGAATGAATTTTGTTATTTTTCTTTATCGATTAATCGAAAACATCGATATTAAATATTTGAATTTGAATAGTTAACTCAATAAATTGGGAAATAAATAAATTTAATTAAATAAATAAATGTAAATAAATAAATGTAAATAAATAAATGTAAATAAATAAATAAAAATAAATTTAATTAAATAAATAAATAGATGATAATAATAATAAATAAACAAATGTAAATAAATAAATAAATTCTAAATTACTATTATGAAAATTCGATTTAATTAAAAATTAAACTAAATTCAAATTTTTTAAAATATATAAAATTAAATTCAAATTAATAATTGATTAAAATAAAAAATTTTAATTAAATAATAAAAATTGTACTAAATGAAAATTTATATTAAATTAAAAAATTCTGTTTAATGAAAATTTATATTAAATTAAAAAAATTCTGTTTAATGAAAATTAAATTCAGAGAATTTTCAATAATTTTTTTTGAATATTTAGATAAATATACTACACATTAGCATTATTTTTAATTGAATTAAATTTTAAATAATAATTAAAAATTTTTAATAAAAATTATAAATTCTCTCTAAAAAAAAAAAAAATATTATTTTTATGCACTTACCTTGTTATAAATTCCAAGAAATTGTTACAATAATAAATATTCTTCTTTCACATTTAATTTAATATTTTTCTTTTATTATTACGAATTTTTGAAAATTATTATTATTATTATTATTAAAATTCAATTAATAATATAAATTATTGTATTTTGTATAAAAATAGAATTTTTGACAATTTTTTTTTTTGTTAACAAAAAAAGAGAAGAAAAATGCAAAAAAAAATTTCTTGCAAATTTTGAATATTAAATTAATAAAAACAGAAAAAAAAATTAATTATTAAATAAAAAATTTTATTTATTTTTTTTGTTAAAATTTTTGTTTTTCATTTTTTTTGTCAAAAAAAAAAAAAAATTAATTAATAATATATTGGATTTTTTTGATTGTAAATGAAAATTTAAATCTTGAAATTTTTTTTTTATGTTATATATTGTTACATTATTTTACATAATGTGAAGAAAAAAAAATATATATATAAATTGAGAAAAAAATTTTTTTTTTTTTTCAAAATTATTTTCGTTGTGAACCTCTTGAATCTTGTGGATTCATTTGACGAGAATGATTGTCCTTATCGGCCTTTGTTCCACTTCCATGATAACCGGCTTGATGTCCTGGTCCACTCGGTGTATGAGTTGGATTACACTGATTAGTGCGATTTCCATCTTGTCTGCCAGACATATTCTGGAAAAATAATTTTTAAAAAATCATGAAATTTTTTTTTTTTCTAAATATTTTTTATATATTGGAAATAAAAAATTTTTTTTTATTTTTTTTGAAAATAGAATTAAAATAAAATTAGGTGCTTATATAATTTTTTAATTATATAATAGATTTAGAAAAAAAAAAATATTTTTTCTTAACAAAAAAATATTTATTAACCAATTTTTTTTATATTATAATAAAAAAAATATTAATTAACCAATTTTATTATAATAAAAAAAAATATTTATTAACCAATTTTATTATAATAAAAAAAAATATTTATTAACCAATTTTATTATAATAAAAAAAATATTTATTACCAAATTTTATTTTATTAACAAAAAAGAATTATTAAAAAAAAATTTTCTTTTAATACAATATAAATAACAAAAAAAGAATAATTTAAAAAAAAATACACACACAAACAATGAAAAAAAAAGTGGTAATTTTTTCTCAAAAAGTCTCGAGTCAAAAAACTTAAAATTTTTGTCTTCAAATTTTTGATTAAATTATTTTTTATTAATTGTAAATTAATTTTGAAAAAAAATTATACAAATTAATTTTAAAACAAAAATTATATATTATTATTTTATTAAAATATTTGTTATAATACTATTACGAAATTATTATAAATTATATTAAAAAAAATTATTATAATTATAATAAAAATCCCATCAATTTAACAAATAAATAAAAAATAAGTAAAAAAAAAAATAAAATAAAAATATTATTAATCTATAATTATAAAAATAAAAAAATTTCGTAAAAAATCCTAACGACAATTAATTAATAACGTCAAAAATAATTAAATTCAATTTCACTTTTAAATGTAAAATAATCAAAAACTTTAATTGCGTCGGACCACATGCCGAAAAAAATAATTTCGAATCTAATGTTTCCAAGTTTCACGAAAAGAATAAAATAAAAAATTTAAATTATTAAATTTTACTATTTGGTAATTTAAAAAATTTCAAATTCAAAGTAGATTTATTAAATTATTTTTCAAAAAGGAAAAAAAAAAAATATTTCAAAATTATATTTGTAAAATTAATTTTATTATTTTTTCAAGAAAATTATTTTTAAACTTTTGAAATTTTTAAAATGAGAAAAATATGAAATTTATTCATTTGAATTTTTTTGTAATTAATTTCAATATACTCACTTCTTTTTTTTCTTTTAATTTGAAGAAGTTTTTGACTTGAACACGTTGTGTCAAAGAAACAAATGTAATGCCATGGGGAAATTTGTGGTTTTTATATGTACTGCTTGTGTACCCCCCCCCCCCCCTCCACTTTATTTTAGAAAATTAAAGAATTCGGTGATTCCCATCCTTTGATAATGTGATTCACACCAGCAGTGTTAAGCTCCAATCACATGTTACTCGTCGTAGGCATAAAGGCACATTCACAATACTTTTAGCGAGATAAAAATTATCCAACATAATTTACACAAATTTCATTGGTTATTTCTAGTAGAACATTTAATTCATTAGTTCTTTTGTTTTTAAATCTTTCTCATGTACTTCTTTTTCTTTTTGCTTGTTTTAATTTATTTTTAAGAGTAAGTCTTAAAAATATTCGAGAATTAAATATTTTCAGTCCCTGTTTTTTATTTATTTTTTTTTTTTTTGGTAATATAATATATTATAATTAAATTTATTATTAATATTTATTATTTTAAAAAAAGAAAAAATATTGTAATATTAAAATAAATAATATAATAATAATATATTATTAATTATTATATAATATATGTATATAATTATTTTATATTATATTTGAAAAATTAAAATTATAAAATTATATTTTTAATAAAAATTATTATTATTCTGAGGAATATAATATATAAATAATTTCAAGTTTTTCGTCTATGAAAAAATTTGTTTTCTTCTTTATTTATTAAAAAAAGTTTATGATAAATTAAAATTAGAATATTTATTTAAATAAAAAAAAAAAAAAAAATTTTATACACCTAAAAAGAAATTAATTTTTGTAAAATTTTTCTCTTTAATTGTATATAGTAGATTTTATTAGAATCAAATATAAGAGAATTATGTGATGTCATTTTAAATATAAAATTTCGAGAAATATTTAGATAAAAATTTTTCTCAGATAATTCCTTATCGCATGTTTTTATTTTTATTTTTTTTTTTTTTAATTTATTTGTACAGACAGCCCTCTGTTGAGTAAATAATTTATATTCTCATTTTTTTTTCTATTTATATTTTATAATAAATATTATAATAAATGAATGACAATTTATTAAAGTAGAAAACAATTTTTTATTTTATCTTTTGGTGAATATTTTTTTTTTTTATTTCAATTATTTTAAAAAGTAGTTTTTTTTTTTAAATTTAACTTTAAAAGTATTTTTTTGATATATTTGGGGAAAATAAATTTTTATTTGGGTTCAAATCAAAATTTTTTTCTTTAATTTAAAAAAAATTAATTTTCATTTTATTTTACTTATTAACATTAGCTAATTTTTGGAATATATAAAAAGTATTATTTATATAAATTTATGTTTTTTTTTTTTTTTATTTTTATTTTTGGGGAAAATGAAATTTTTATTAAAGAAAAATAAAATTTTATTTGGCTCAAATGAAATTTTATTTAACAAAAATATAAATTTTTATTTGGCAAAAATGAATTTTTTTTCTTCAATTTTTTATTTTTATTTTTTTTGCTTAGTAACATCAGCTGCTTTTGGGAATATAAAAACTACTATTAAAAAAAAGGGTAAAGATTATTTGCAAAGAAAAAAAAATAAAAACAAATGGCAGTGTATTATTCAGAAGAAATAATTTTTTTGAGGTCTGCGGTTTTAGAAAATAAAATTTTATTCCATAAAAAATATATATAGAGAAAAAATTCTGTAATTTATTTATTTTTTTTTTTTTTATTAAAATTCATTAAATTAAATTTATATAGAATTTAAATTTTTTTTTTAAAAATATTTTAAATAAATTTTTTTTTTTTAATGTAATTTTTATTTAATTAAATCAGAAAAACTTTTTTGTGTAAATAAATAAATATTCTTTTATTTTGTGAAAATTTATATTTTTGCATTTTTTAATTTATATTTTATTTATTTATTTATACAAATTTCAAATTTTGTAAATTTATATTTTATAAATTTCTATTTTGTTAATATATATTTTATAAACTATTTTGTGAATTTCTATTTTAATATTTTTTTTGAAATTACATTTTTTGTTAATTTTTATTTCGTAAATTTACACATTGTTTTTGAATTATTCCAGAAAAAATCAAGGTAAATAATAAAATCACAATTTTCATTTATAATTTCCAAAAAAAATTCCTTTTTTCTTAGCAATAAAAAATAATAATTATAATTCCACATTTGTCTCACGATTATATAACAAAGAAAACAATATTTTAAGTTTTAAATTCTTTAATAATTTGACATTATATTTTATTTTACTTATATAATAAAATTTATATTAAATAAAAAAAATATATACTTTCAAGTGTGTGAATTTATCAATAAAAAAAAAAAATTATTTTTCTTAATACTTTATGAAATTAATATAATTTTTGTTTTTTTTTTTTTTTTCATTTTTCTCTCACTTACTTTTTAGATTGATAATATTTTAATAATGCTTGTTTCGATGCCGCGGATTTTGCCTGCTTTTTATTAGCGCCAAATCCATGGAATAATATTCGTTTTCCCTCGACAATAATTTCTAACGGTATCATTATTTGACCAGTTGCTTCTACTTTCGTTGCTTTTCTAATGGAAAAAAAAAAAATCAAAATTTTATTACATATTTTTTTTATAAAAATTTTTTAAAATTGATTTTATAATTTTTTTTTTTTTTTAATAAAAATAGAATTTAAAAAAAAAATTTAATAAACCAAAAACAAGAAAAGAACAAATAATTTTATCTGATACCACAAAAACCGAAACAGAAAAATATTAAAATTCGTTATTTCGAAATCAAAATTTTTATTTTATCAAATTTAAAAATAAAATTAAACAAAATTATATACGAAAAAAAAATAAATTAGCTGCGAAAAATCACTGTATTAATTAAAATAAAATAAAATAAATAAGTAAATTAATTAAATATTCTATTGAATAATAAAAATGTTTCTTACAAAAATCTTGGTTTTAGTCCAGTTTCATAAATAACTCTCACCGGTTGTTTTGGAACATCAGCACAAAATAATTCTGAAAAAAATGAAATCGAAAAAAAAAACAAATTCACAATTTTTTTCTAATCTCAATAATTTCACATTGAAGAAAATTTTTTAAGAAACAAAATAAGTGAAACAAAAAATTTCTTTTTTGGAAAAATGAACAAATAAATAATTATTATTTTTTTTTTTTCGATAAAATAAGAAATGAAATAATTTATTTTTTTTTTTTCGATAAAATAATAAGAAATGAAATAATTTTACCAAATTCTTTATGCATCATTGTGAATAAAATTTCCCAAACTTTTTGCAAATTTTTTCCCGAATCAATATAAATAGCACCAATTAATGATTCGAAAATATCGCTCAATACTTTTGGTCCATCAACATGTTCAGCTAAATTACATTCATCTTCCTCAAGTAAAGTCCAGAGTAACTGAATAAATTATTTTTTTTTTTTTTTTTTTTTTCTTTTTTTTTTGGGGAGGGAGTAAAAAATTAAAAATATATATATATATCTATTTAAATTTTCTTTCTCACCTCAACATCAACGACGTGATTTTTTTGTTCTTGATATTTTACAAATCTATTTATTGTCTCATGTAAACTTGGTATGTAAGACAATAGTGCAATATGTAATCCATATCTCACCGAGATACAAGCAAATGTTATATTATTTACTAATGCTGATCTTAAATCCGTAAGATCGCCAGGAGACAATTCTCCACAATATTCATATATATAAACGGTTATAAGAAAATCTATATATATATAAAAAAAAAAACGAACAATAATTATACTATAGTAAAGATATTAAATTTTTTGTTAAAACGGTTCTTTTTTTAAAATTTAAATTAAAAAAAAAAAATTTAATTTTTCTAAAAATTTTATTTCTAATAAATTTCAAATTCTAAAATTTTTTTATTCTAATTGATTTTAAATTCTAAAATTTTATTTCTAATAAATTTCAAATTCTAAAATTTTTTATTCTAAAAGATTTTAAATTCTAAAATTTTATTTCTAATAAATTTCAAATTCTAAAATTTTTTTTTGGTCTAATAGATTTTAAATTCTAAAATTTTATTTCTAATAAATTTCTCAAATTCTAAAATTTGTTTTCTAACATATTTTGTGAATTTCTAAATTTTTTTTTCCAATAGATTTTAAATTCTAAAATTTATTTTCTAACATATTTTGTGAATTTCTAAATTTTTTTTTTTAAATTAAATTTATATTAAAAATGAATTTAAATTTATATTTAAGTTCAGTTTGAAAAATTAAATAGAAATCATTTTTTGTTATTAGGAAGCAACTTCGAAGAAGTCTTATCAGTATTTTTTTTTTTTTTTACTATATACAAAAGAAGTTGAACGAAAGATTATATACTATTTTTGTGTCCATTTTATGTTTATGCTGCAAACGAAATACAAAACTATCTTCAGAAATGTTGGTCATAAGATAATATTTCATGAGCAAATAGAATTTTAAATAATATTTTTAGAAAAATTAATTATTAATTTTAGAAAAAAAAATATATAGGTAAATTATTAAATTTGATAAATTAATTATTAAATTTAGAAAAATAAATAAATTATTAAATTTAGAGAAAAAAATAAATTATTAAATTTAGAGAAAAAAATATTAGAATTTATTAAAATTAAAAAAATAAATTTATCACTTTTAGAAAAATTACAAAAAAAAAATTTTAGAAATATATTTTTTAGAAAACGAACTTTATTAGAAAAATTTTTTTTTTTTTTTAAATAGAAAAACTAAACTCAGGCCTCGGATCGACTTAAAGGCACAAAAAAAGTCGTTTTAGTCAATTTATATTACAAAAAAGAAAAAGTCGATTTTTTTTTATTTTAATAAAAATATTTTACAGATTTTTTAAATCAATTTTTTTTTTTAAAATACTTTTAGAAGAATTAAAGTTGAAATATTTAGAAATAATTGAATTTTAAAAGATTTTGTTAATTTTCAGACAATAATTAAATTTCACAGAACTAAAAATAATTTATCCAAATAATTTCAGATAACATTTTTTTTTTTTTTTTTTTTAAATGTATAATTGAATTTACAATTGAGATTTTTTGAAATTTATTGAACAAAAAATACAATAATTTGAAAAATCATTTTTAATTTCAAAAATGGATTCAGATAGTAAAATTTTTTAAAGAATATTATAAAAATATAGTTAAAAATAATTGAATTTTCTTAGAATTATAATTAAAATTGATAAATTTGTAAAAAAAAATTTTCGATCGAAAATTTTAGAAATAATTCAATTTTAGAAGCTTTAAAATTTAAAGTTTTGAAAATAATTTAATTTTGAATTGAAATTTTGGATAATAATTTAATTTTGAATTGAAATTTTGGATAATAATTTAATTTTAGTTGATTTTGAATTGAAAATTTTGAAAATAATTGAATTTTAATTGAAATTTTTGAGAATAATTGAATTTTAGTTTATTTTGAATTGAAAATTTTGAAAATAATTGAATTTTCTTTGATTTTTAATTGAAATTTTTGAAAATAATTGAATTTTAATTGAAATTAAAATCAACAAAAAATTCAATTATTTTCTAGATTTTCAATTTAAAATCAAATAAAATTCAATTATTTTCAAAATTTTCAAATAAAAAATCAACTAAAATTAAATTATTATTCAATATTTCAATTAAAATTCAATTATTTCTCAAAATTTCAATTAAAAATCAAAGAAAATTCAATTATTTTCAAAAAATTTTCAATTCAAAATCAACTAAAATTCAATTAATTTCCAGATTTTGAATTGAAAATTTTGAAAATAATTGAATATTATAAATTTCAAAAAATTTTCGATGGAAAATTTTAGAAATAATTAAATTTTAGAAGCTTTAAAATTCAAAATTTTGAAAATAATTGAAATTTTTGATAATAATTTAATTTTAGTTGATTTTTTTATGAAAATTTTGATAATAATTAATTTTTGAATTGAAATTTTAAATAATTATTGAATTTTAATTGATTTTGAATTCAAAATTTTTGGTAATAATTGAATTTTAGTTGATTTTGAATTGAAAGTTTTCAAAATAATTGAATTTTATTTGATTTTGAATTCAAAATTTTTTTTTTAAATTTTATTTGATATTTTTTAAAAATTATAAACAATTGTTAAATTTTATAAAAATTTTAATTGAAAAATAATTTTTGAAATAATTAAATTTATGATGAATTTTATTAAAATTATTAAAAAATAATTAATTTAGTGAAGAATTTTAGTTAAAAATTTGTTAAATAATTTGAAATAAAGAAGATCTAAATTTTATACTAAAAAAAAAATATATATTTTATTTCAAAAATTTTTTTTTTAAAAGGTAAAAAAAAGTCGTAATAGTCGCATTTTATTAAAATAAATCGAAAAAAGTCGTATTTTTGAAAAAAAAAAAAAAAATTGGAAATAGTCGAAAAAGTTGTATAATCCGAGGCCTGTAAACTATATAAAAAAATTAAATTTTTAATTATTAAAATTTAATTATTATAACATTTGGAAAGTATAAAATATATATATTTTAAAATAAATAAATAAAATTGGGTTTTTTTTTTTTTTACCTAAAACTGCATCGCCAAGAAACTCTAGTCTTTGATAACATGGAGTTGAACCATTAGCCGAATACGACGGATGAGAAAATGCCTGAGAACAATTTTCTTTTTTTCAGTTATGTAATGGATAAATTTACAAAAACAAATAATATTGTAAATTATAATTTTTATTTTATAATTTAATTTTTTTTACCGTTTTTTAATTTTTCATTTAACTATTTTCTATTTTTAACTATTTTTAACTATTTTAAATTTTTCATTTTTTTTTTTTTGAAATATATTTAAATACTTTTCAACTAAAAAGACAATTATCAAAAAAAAAAAAATTAAAAAATCAAAATTACTACCTGAAGAAGTAATGATCGATCATTGAATGTATAATTTAATCTCTTTTCAATCATAGTTGCCCAGGGCATGTGATCATTAATATTTGCCGCAACAATTTCATTAAATGAATTCCTTGAAATTGAAATATTTTTCAATTCAACATTCGACAACGATGGAATTATTTGAAACCATTTGAGAATATTTAAAGCGCCTTCTATGCCCAGGGACTTGAAAAAGAGAAAATTAATTTTTTCAATACTAATTAAAATTTTTTTTAAAAAATTCAGAAATTTTAAACATTTTTTTTTTCTAAATAGAGAGACAATATTAAAAATTGAATTTAAAATTAAATTGAAAAAATTATATTTAATAATTTACAAATTTATAATTACAAAAAAAAACTTAATTTTTTTTTTTTTAACTTTTTATATCGATACAAAAATTAAATAGAATTATTTAAAAAAAAAAAAATTTTATTAGAAATAATTATTTTTTAGACGTATTTTCAAATTTTCAAATTAAAATTTCAAGAATTTTCTTTTTATACGAATTTTTTTTAACAAAATTTTTATTTTCTTTTTATTTTAATATTATTGGAAATTAATTATTGGAAAAATTAAAAAAAAAAAAAAAAAAATTAATACTTACACAAAGGCAAGCACCAATAATTGATTCAACACAATCGGCAACAATTTTATCAGCAATATTTTGCCTTCCTAAAAAATGTTCCATTATACAATTTGTTGGTTTATCATTCCAATTTAAAATTCTTTCCTCAATATTATTTAGAGTTGATTCAGTTATAAAACCATTAATTTTCTCCTCATCCGGTATATGTAATTCATATAATACATTTGAGGATATCTTAAAATTATGAATAAATTATTTTATTAATTTTACATTTATTTAATACCTAATTTTAATAATAATAATAATAATAATAATAATAATATAATTATTATTAATTATTAATAATAGTAAAATTATTATTAATTAATAATATAATATTATTAAATACCTCATTGTCAATTAATATTTGTTGAATTGCTCTATCGGCAGTGAAAGAAGGAACAATAAAATTATTACCAGGAATAAATTCCTCAATTTTTATATGTCCTGGAATTTTTTTATTTAAACCACAATAATATAGATTTCTATTACCAATTAATTTCCCCTTTAATGCCGTTAATTGGCCTTCATTGAAATTTTTATATGTTTCATATAAAAATAAAGTGACAGCAAATTTTAAAAATGAATCACCCAATGTTTCCATACGTTCAAAATCAAAAGCATCGTTACTTAATTTACTTGTTAGAGCCTAAAAAAAAAAAAAAAATTAATTAAAATATATGAAAAATTTTGAAACAATACTATATATTATTTTTGTAATTCCCAAAAAAAAAAAAAAAATAAAAAAAGATAATACCTTCATTAAAATAATATTATTAAGCCCCTCTGAATTTTTATTTAATAATAATTTTATCATCGGCACTTTTAAATTTGGCCGCAAATTATAATTATTAATAATTTTTGTATTTTTCATAATATCTTCATTTTTTTCATCAATATTCATAAATTTATAATACATTTCAATGTCAATCATTTGAATTTTATCCGCATCGCATATTAAATCCAAAGGCTCATCTTTTTTTAACCATGGATATTCGGTTTTTATATTAAATACTGAAATTTAATTTTATATTTAAAAATCTTTTTTTTTGTTTCACTTATATATATATATATAGTTAAAATTAGAAATTAATTTTTCTAATCTAATTATTTTTTCTAAATTCTCACATCAAAATTAAATAAATAAATATTTACCATTAAATTCTGTGCCTTCAATTTCCATTAGTTCCAATTCTGTTTCATCAATTTCTAATGATTCATCAAATATTGTTTCTATTATCTCTTTTTTCTCCTCAATATCATTTATTGTCAAAATTGATGATTTACAATAATTTACTTGAATTTTAGCATTTTTTTCAATCTCCCGTTGTAATTCATCGGCAATTAAAAATTGCATTATTCGATGAAGAATTGATGGCAATGCCGTTGCTTTTAACCAATATAATGCGGGAAAATTTATAATATCACAAAGTTCAGGTACAAGATGTTCTTCTTTTTCAATATTTTCCCTCGTTTTTTTGCTACTGTTTCTATTATTCAAAAAAAAAAAAAAATTTAGTAACACAGAAAACAATTTTTCTGATGAGAAAATAAAATAGAAAGAGAGGCGCATGATTTTTCCCCCCCCAAAAAAAATTAAAAAGGTCGAAAATTTAATTGATCGAATTACGCATTAAGTCGATATTTTATTTATTCGAAATTCTAAATGATCGCCCTCATAACAAAAGGATATCCCTAGGATATCCATAGGATATCCATATCAATGGTCGATATCCTAGAATGGTGCCCAGGATATCTTGGGATATCTATAGGATATCTAGGGATATCCATAGGATATCTAGGGATATCCATAGGATATCTAGGGATATCCATAGGATATCTTGGGATATCCATAGGATATCCAAACCGCCGGTCAGTGGGACATCAACAGGACATCCATAGGATATCCACAGGATATCCCTAAGACATCCACGAAATATCTATTGGATATTATATCGCAGGATATCCATGGGATATCCTCAGGATGTCCGTGGGATATTCTTAGGATATTCACGGGATATTTAATATCTCAACATATATTTTTAAAGGTTAAAATTGTTAAGCCAATATAATGAATAATAATATTCACAGGATATCCACAGGATATCCCTAAGACATCCACAAAATATCTATTGGATATTATATCGCGGGATATCCATGGGATATCCTCAGGATGTCCGTGGTATATTCTTAGGATATTAACGGGATATTTAATATCTCAACAAATTCTAAATGATCGCCCTCATAACAAAAGGATATCCCTAGGATATCCATAGGATATCCATATCAATGGTCGATATCCTAGAATGGGCCCAGGATATCTTGGGATATCTATAGGATATCTAGGGATATCTATAGGATATCTAGGGATATCCATAGGATATCTTGGGATATCCATAGGATATCTTGGGATATCCATAGGATATCTTGGGATATCGATAGGATATCTTGGGATATCCATAGGATATCTTGGGATATCCATAGGATATCTTGGGATATCCAAACCACCGGTCTGTGGGACATCAACAGGACATCCATAGGATATCCACAGGATATCCCTAAGACATCCACAAAATATCTATTGGATACTATATCGCGGGATATCCATGGGATATCCTCAGGATGTCCGTGGTATATTCTTAGGATATTAACGGGATATTTAATATCTCAACAAATTCTAAATGATCGCCCTCATAACAAAAGGATATCCCTAGGATATCCCTAGGATATCCATATCAGTGGTCGATATCCTAGAATGGGCCCAGGATATCTTGGGATATCTATAGGATATCTAGGGATATCTATAGGATATCTAGGGATATCTATAGGATATCTAGGGATATCCATAGGATATCTTGGGATATCCGTAGGATATCTTGGGATATCCATAGGATATCTTGGGATATCCATAGGATATCTTGGGATATCCATAGGATATCTTGGGATATCCATAGGATATCTTGGGATATCCATAGGATATCTTGGGATATCCAAACCGCCGGTCTGTGGGACATCAACAGGACATCCATAGGATATCCACAGGATATCCCTAAGACATCCACGAAATATCTATTGGATATTATATCGCAGGATATCCATGGGATATCCTCAGGATGTCCGTGGGATATTCTTAGGATATTCACGGGATATTTAATATCTCAACATATATTTTTAAAGGTTACAGAATATTCTCACTCGTAGTCTCATAATGACTTTAAAAACAGTATCCTGAAAATATATCTTCTTGACATCCAGAAGATATACTGAGAATATCCTGAAAATATCTGTGGGATATCCTGACGATATCTATGTGATATCCTGATGATATCTGTGGGATATCCTGACGATATATATGTGATATCCTGATGATATCTGTGGGATATCCTGACGATATCTATGGGATGTCTGGAGGACATTTATGAAAATCTATAGAGATATCCAGAAGATATCCAAAGGATATCCTCAGATATCCATTGGATATCCATGGGATATTCGAATTTTTTTTTTAATTTTTCGGGAAAAAAATCAATGCGTCTCAATAGAAAAAAAAAAAATTTACCTACCGAGGTACAATAAAATTAATATTCGTTGATATTGATTTTACTTCTAAAAGTGATTGTTTTCCATTTTTTATAAATACATTGTGACGATCTCTATAATAATCAATGTAAGAATCAAATTTTCTATCCGGAAAATTAGAATCAGCTTTAATATCATTACAAATCATTGTAACAATATAAATTTTTTGAATTTCCGACACATTACGACAATAATTTTTCTTTACCAATGCAAATTCATAATTATATTCATTAATTTTCAATGGCAATGGTGGAATTTTATTTTCAATTTTCTGATACGTTTCAACAATATTCCAATCGATTTCAAAATTTTTATTCACTAAAAAAAAAAAAAAAATCTAATTTATATTTACCTTATAAAAAAAAGGAAATAGCTGAATTTATTTTAAAATTATCCGAAATTGCAAATTACAAAAAAAAAAATTTCAGCGCGAATTTTTTAAATTCAATAACAAATTGAATTTTCAAAATTTCCCGCCGAAATTTTATTTTCAAAATTTCAACAAACCTGGAACAATTGCAAAACTATTTTCCAAATTATTAACATCAAAAATCATAAAATCATGAATAAGATTTAAAATTTTTTGAAATAACATTAAATGAAAAATTTTTAATAACTTAATTTTTTCATCATCTAATTGTATTTGTTTAAAATTAACATCCACATTAATTTCAATAGGTCCAATATTCATAAATATTGGAAAATTTGGTAACTGAAAATTAATGTTAAATTTATTATTATTTAATTTAAAATGTATTAAATTAATCGTTAATTAAAAATAATTCTCTTACTTCAGGTAATTCGGTAGTTGTTAATATTCCATAACTTGCATTGTCTTTTAATAAATTATAAAATACTAAATCTCGATTATCTCTTGACTTGTATTTTGGTGTCATTTTTATAATATGAAGAAATAAAATTTTATTTATCTGCGGAAATGCTCCATAAAAAGTTTTTGGATGCTAAAAAATAAATTTTTTAATTTATATAATATGAAGAAATAATTAATAATTAAAAAAAAAAAAAAAACGTACAATTAAATTATGTTTCCTTTTTTTACTGTAACTTCCCGGTATTTCGTTATCATTTATTTCTTCATCGATCCAATTTGGAAAAAGATGATTGACATTTTCTTGAATATCATCAGGTCTAATTGGATTTAAATTATCATTTAATTCGCCAATTTCTTTTAATTTAATACACGTTTTCATTGCAACTGATCGTTTTGCATTTTCAATTGAATCCATCCAATCGCCAAGAATCACTTCCTTCAATGGCGAAACAATTGGTAATTTCAGTGATACCTTGAATTAATTAAATTTTTCTTTTTTTTATGGAAAATATTTCAAAAAATTTTTTTTTTATTTTTTAACACTTTTTTTTAGAAATTAAAACAAATTTCAATTTAACAGAGACAAATTAAAAAAAAAAAAAATATATTATACCTGATAAATTATCGTGTGATTTTTGTTTTGACTTTTATGTAAAGTCCAAGTTGGCGTTAAACTGACAAATTTTGATTTATATAAATTTGCACAATATCTATTTAATAAATTAATGGCAGATTGTTCAGTTATTGCACATGTTTTACCCTCCGCATTAATATGCAAATAGGGTTCAATTTTATAATTATACAATTCATTTTCAATATCTTCAATTTTTGGCAATGTACGAAAATCAGTATGTCCAACTAGTATCTATTAGAAAAAAAAAAAAAAAATTATATTTTATGTATTATCTAATTTTTTTTTTCTTTTCTATACCAAAATCCTTACTTGTTGAAGAAATTTTTCAGTTTGTTGAAATTCAATATATTTTGATTCAAATTTATCATCACCATTTGGTACAAGCATTGTATATTGACTCGATGAATGACGAGCTCTACCTTTACTTTGTATATAAGATCTAAAATCCATTGATAAATCAAAACGAACAATTAAAGTGCATTGAGGAATATCGACACCTTCGTCCACAACATCAGTTGCAACAATACAATTTGATTTACCATTACGGAAACTGTAGAAATAAAAAAAAAAAATTTTTTTTGCAAAATCAATTTTTATGACAATATTTTTGAAAACCAATATCAGATTCGTAATCAGCGACCTCGAAAACCCCCGAGTAATGAATTTTAAGCGAATTCGATCTATTTAAAAAAAAATTCCGCCATATTGGATCCGCCATTTTGAATTTTTGAAAACTAATATCAAATTCGTAATTAGCGACCCCGAAAACCCCCGAGTAATGAATTTTAAGCGAATTCGATCTATTTAAAAAAAAAATTCCGCCATATTGGATCCGCCATTTTGAATTTTTAAAAACTAATATCAGATTCGTAATCAGCGACATCGAAAACCCCCGAGTAATGAATTTTAAGCGAATTCGATCTATTTAAAAAAAAATTCCGCCATATTGGATCCGCCATTTTGAATTTTTGAAAACTAATGTCAGATTCGTAATCAGCGACATCGAAAACCCCCGAGTAATGAATTTTAAGCGAATTCGATCTATTTAAAAAAAAATTCCGCCATATTGGATCCGCCATTTTGAATTTGTGAAAACCGATATCAGATTCGTAATCAGCGACCCCAAAAACCCCCGAGTAATGAATTTTAGGCGAATTCGATCTATTTAAAAAAAAATTCCGCCATATTGGATCCGCCATTTTGAATTTTTGAAAATCGACATCAGATTCGTAATCAGCGACCCCGAAAACCCCCGAGTAATGAATTTTAAGCGAATTCGATCTATTTAAAAAAAAATTCCGCCATATTGGATCCGCCATTTTGAATTTTTGAAAACCGACATCAGATTCGTAATCAGTGACCCTTAAAACCCCCCGACTAGCGAGTTACAAGCAAATTCAATAGATTTAAAAGAAATTTTACATTTTTTTCGCCATATTGGATCCGCCATTTTGAATTTGTGAAAACCGATATCAGATTCGTAATCAGCGACCCCGAAAACCCCCGAGTAATGAATTTTAGGCGAATTCGATCTATTTAAAAAAAAATTCCGCCATATTGGATCCGCCATTTTGAATTTTTGAAAACTAATATCAAATTCGTAATCAGCGACCGCGAAAACCCCTGAGTAATGAATTTTAATCAAATTCGATCTATTTAAAAAAAAATTCCGCCATATTGGATCCGCCATTTTGAATTTGTGAAAACCGATATCAGATTCGTAATCAGCGACCCCGAAAACCCCCGAGTAATGAATTTTAAGCGAATTCGATCTATTCAAAAAAAAAAAAATTCCGCCATATTGGATCCGCCATTTTGAATTTGTGAAAACCGACATAAAATTCCTAATAAGTAACCCTTAAAACCCCCGACTAGCGAGTTGCAAGCAAATACAAAATCAGATCCTGATTTATCAATCGATAAAATTTCACCTGTTTTTTTTGGGATACATATAGTTTCTAATTTTAGAAAAAATTTGTTTGATTAGAAACATTATTTCTCTCACATAAATCACAACTTAATATTCTATGCCTTATTATTCAAAGTTTATAAAATTTTGCATTCTCAGCTTTTTTTCAACAATTTAATAAAAAAAAAAAAAATTAATGACTAGCTCTCTTAATTACCTTCTTAATACCTCCTGATTCCATTTAGCAGTACACATGCTTTCTCTAGTATTTTTAAAAGAATCACTATGTGATCCCACCATATATTTAGGCATCAAAAAATTAAATTCATTATTTGACTCTTGAAGATTCTATAGAAAGAAAAAAATTGTTACTCAACTTTTTTTTTTTTTTAAATTCACAATCTAATTAAAATGTTTTTGTTTTTTTTTTTAAGTCAACTTACTTTTAAAATATGATACAAAATTTGTGCAGTAAAGCGACGTTTAACAAAAATAATACAACAAAATTTTTGATTAGAATCTTTTCTCTCTTTAAATTGTTTTAGTACTGCTATTAATTTGAGAATTTTGTCCGATGAAAATCTGTACATTGAAAAATTTATTTTACATTTATTTTTAAATAAATCAAAATTTGTAATATATATATATCTTTAGAAAATCTTATATATTTTATCATTTCAACTTGAATCTAAAAACAATTTTTTTTTATTTTAAACAATAATATTAAAAAGACATACTGATAAATTTGTTCTTTTAGCGATAATCCCTGCATTTCAACGTCAAACATTTTTCGTAGAATCATTAATTTTGTGAAAATAAATTCCAAGATAAATATTGTTTGCTAAAATTGAAAAATTTATTATTATTGATATTAAATAAATATTTATTATTTTATCTACTTACTGGTTCGGTAACAACTTTTTTAATATTTTCCATTTGTATCATATGTAATAATACAGCTTTACTGCCTCCAAATATTCCTATAATTTTAAAGAAATAAAAATAATAATAAAAATTATAATAATAATAATTATTATTATTGGATATATAATTATTGTTTATTTAATGTAAATTTTTACCTGTATTCAATAAATTTTCCTTAATATCAAATAAAATATTTATTAATTTTTCGCTTCTTGATTGTGCCTTAAATACAGAAGTCGATAAATTATTATCCGATGGTTGTGGTATTTTAATGATTTTCAATATTTCCGTCACTTCATTTATAATATCATCAACTTCTTTTGGACATTCTAATATTTCATTATATTTAATACAATTTTCTCTTGGATTTGTTGAAAATCCAGCAATAATAGCTAATGATTCAATTGATGCTATTTTTGCATTAAACGTTACTTCCAGTGACTAAAGACAATTAAAAAAAATTTAAAAGTAAATTTTTTTTTAATTTTAGAATTTTTTTTTCTTTTAAATCAAAAAAAGTAAAAATACCTCAATTGTTTCTTGTACTTTATCTATATTAACATTAGCATTAAGTAAAGTTGCCGATAAACCCAAAACTCTTGGTCTTTTATCAATTGGACATTTTTCAAATCTTTGCATTATTTGCCTCATTGGATGATCAGTTACAGCTCTATGGCATTCGTCGAATATTATTAAATTTACCCCATCAAGTGACATTGCTCCACAATTAATTATATCGAGAAATATCTGTGCTACCATTACTAAAATCTTTTTTTAGAAATATTATTTTATTAGATTTCAAAATTCGGTTAAAAAAAAGGAAATTAATATAAAAAAAATATTTGCCGTTAAAAGAAAAAAAAATTTAATTTTACCGGTGTGTCTTCGATTTCGCTGCGCCATTTTTTATTATCCCAACTTTTAACACGTGTATCGCCGCTAAAACCCTTGGCATTTAAACCTGTATGCCTTGCAAGATAATCTGTTTGTTGCATTACAAGTGGTACTGTATTTACAATAAAAATTGTTCGTTTCGATCCACTACTATATTTACTGGGGGGAGGGGGAATAAAAAATAATTCAATTTTGTATATCCTTAAATATATTATTTTTATATATTTTAAAACCACCTTATATCATATATGATATAAAGTTTCCTTTGATCGCATTTCACAGCCTATGCAAGTCTATAAGATGAGTCAATCTTATATATTTTATTTTTAGTTATTATCCTCGAATTATAATTATTTATTAATCTAATTTGTGCTATTAGTCTAAAGTATATTAAAAAGGAATGTTTAATCATAAATAATTTTGGCATTCATCTCTCATACAAAGATGAGGTAAGATTTGCAATGACTGTGAATTTTCAAGTTAAATGACACCGCACAAAATGCATTGATTTTGGTTCTCGGTCAAAATGGCTGGTTTTTGGATATGTTGTAGTTTTAGTAATTCTGAACAAATGTTTCCTCTATCAAAATTCAAAAAAAAAAATGATAACTTTTAATGTTATCAGCCATAAAGGGGTTGAAAACTCGTGCGGTATGGTTCATATAAAAACATACAACAATAACGAAAAAAACAGATACAAGTTCTTTTTGTTATTATCGTTGGATGGTTGGATGAATGAATTATTCATTTAATTAATGAGTGAATCACGGAATGAATAGATGGATTGATGAATGGATGGATGGAAGACTGAATGGTTTCAGATTACCTTGCATGATTGTATGGACACCTCGGCGATTTTAGCTGGAAGTTTTAAAAGATGCAAACAGCTCGTAGCTTTATTCAGATTCCATTTTGTTTATTCTAGCATTATGAACGGTATAGAGCAAAATGATCAAAAGGTTTAAAAACCTTATTTGAAAATCTACCTTCTAGAGAAAAACTGGAAGAATGGATTTCCACTTGGGGACAAAGTGTGGTTCACTGACTGCTTTAAGATCGAAAAGGGCTCAGGTTGGGGAATGTATCAAATAACTGGTTGCATTAAAGTGAAAGTACCTCTAGGTAAATGTACCACGTTTTGGCAAGCGAAAGTCTGTGCATTTATGAACTGCGCCATTAGGTCTCTTGAAAAAGAAAAATTAGGAATCAGAAATAACATTATCGTGAATAGTCAGTCGGCTTTTGCCGCACTGAGAAAGACAACAATTGAATCAAAGCTGGTCTGAGAATGCCCATAGGTGCTAGACGTGATAGGTTCGAAAAACAAACACTCATTAACGAATATCAGGCTACACGGGAATGAAAGAAAATTGATTAATTAATTCATTCATTTATTCATTCATTCATTCATCCATCGAACCATCCACCCAACGATAATAACAAAAAGAACTTGTATCTGTTTTTTTCGTTCTTGTTGTATGTTTTTATATGAACCATACCGCACGAGTTTTCAACCTTTTATGGCTGATAACATTAAAAGTTATCATTTTTTTTTTTGAATTTTAATAGAGGAAACATTTATTCAGAATTACTAAAACTACAACATATCGAAAAACCAGCCATTTTGACTGAGAACCAAAATCAATGCATTTTGTGCGGGGTCCTTTATGACAATATGAAGAATTATTAATTACAAAAAAAAACCACAAATCTCACCCCTGTATAGCGGCACTTAGTTTTTTTACAACTTGAACAGCAATAAATGTTTTTCCCGATCCTGTGGGTAGATAAATTATCGTATTTTCTGCCACGGCCTTTTCAAAAAGATCAATTTGATACGGACGAGGTACCAAATCTTCTGCCGCATTTGTTATTGACTCCATTGTGCTAGAATTCATTTATTTTATTTTATTTTACATTATTTATTTCATTTATTTTATTTTATTTAAAAATGTGAGTTGAAAGTTTTTGCTTCTTCGTGGAGGAAGCTTTGTAGTCTTATCGTTTGTAAAAATTTTCAAAAGTGTCGGAAATAAATTTTTCTCTATATAGAAACATGTTATATGAAATCCTGATCAATTGTCCGGATGTATGTATGCATGTGTGTGTGGATCCCTTTTTTGTTTAGAAGATAACTTTAACAGGTTTTAATGGATTAATATTAATATATTAATATATTAATATCTCAAATCTGACCGAAGGATTTTAAAATATACCCAAAAAAAAATTTTATCGTCTTTCTTCCAAAAAATTTTTTTTAATCAAAAAATTTTTAAATAGAAAAATATTAGTTTACAGATGAAATAATTGTATTCCTTGCATGAAAACGAATCAAAATAATTGTAAATAATTATATATTATTTTTCATTAATATTTAGAAATTTCGGTTAAAATATGAATTTTTGATTTTTTAACTTCCATTAATTTTTTAAATTTTACTCAAATGTATAGGTACTCTAATGTTTATATTATTATATTATTTTTGTATGTTTATTTCAATGTTAATGCTTTCTTCACGAGGAAGCAAATTCTTTGGCTGATCGCAAAGTGGAAGCAAAATATTCATCTAATGAACATCTGAATTTACATCTTGTTTTCAATATTTTTTTTACATATAGATATACATTTAATAAATATGTAAAATTTTAAAGTAGTAAAAATAAGACACGTGTAGTAAATTAAAACCTTGAAAAAAATGTTTCGATTTGTCAACAACAGTTAAAAGAAAAATATTTAACGACATACAATATAAAAAAATGAATAAAATTTTTTTCTTGATAAAGTCAAACGTTAAATTTTTGAAAAATTGGTAGTTGCAAATTTTTTAAATATTTTTTTACATATAGACATTCACATACATTTAATAAGTTTGAAAAATTTTAAAGCAGTAAAAATAAAACACGTTTGAAAAATTCAATTCTTGAAACTAAATATATCGATATCTCGACAACAATAAAAATAACTATTTAACGACGAACAATATTAAAAAAAAAATTAAAAAAATTATGTTTTGATAAAGTCAAATATTAAAATATTTAACTGTCCTTTTAGTTTTCATTGCTTCGTTTCTCTATCGGAGACAATTTAATGTAGTTGTTTTGCTTCACAAGTGGTAAATTCACGGTGAGTACTATTTTTAAAAATAAAATTTTTTATTCCTTTACTGTTTTTATTACAGAAAATGGTATTACTTTCAATGTTTTAAAACTAATGACCATCAATGATTTTGTAAAATATAACCTTAATATTACCATGGGTTCAAAAATTTTAATCCAAAAATTTTTCGAAATTGAAAGTGAAAATAATTTCCGTGAATTGAATTTGAAAAATTCACTTGTAATTTGTAAAATTAAACCAATGAAAAAGGACATTTTTACTATTTTATCATTTTTTATCTTTATAAATTTTATTTACTTTAAATTGAAAATTTTCAAATTTAATTTTATAATTGATCTCTCAAAACTATGAAAAAAAGGTATAAAAAAATTAATATAAAATAATAGAAATTATGAAAATTTTCCGAGTTTTATATAAAAAACTATTAACTTATTAATAATAATAAATATAAATAATTTCATTTCATTTTATTTAAAATTAATAAATGACAGTAATTCTTTAATTATTAACAATACTAATAAATAAAAAATTAATAAACTATTTATTTTTATTTCTTTAAAAATATTTCCTTTAAATAGTAAACTAAATTCTTTTAATAATTAAAGGATACACTTTAAAAGACTTTCCTTTTGTCCTAAGAGGAAATCCTTTCAAATAAATATTGAAAGGAAAATCCGCTTATGATAAAAGGATTCTTTTAAACTTAAATAGATTGTTTTCTCAGTGCTGTATTAAGGGATGAAAAAACTTGGAAAAAATTTGTAGTAGATATATATATATATAATAGTTGAACCAATTGAAATTTTTTTATTTTTTTTTGTTTTCCAGTATTTTGTCTCGCATTTCAAAGAAAACAGACTTAAAAATCATACCAAATTTTTTTCTTATTCCCTATGACTCCCATAACAGAAATGCACTTGAATTTTTGATTTTTGTTAATTTGCTTAATAATGACAAGCTGTCTCCATTTACCCCAAAAATATAATAATTGAGAGTAAATGGGGACAGCTTGTCATTATTACCCAAATTGATAAAAATCAAAAAATTAAGTGAATTTTAGTTATAGGAGTCATAAGGAATAAGAAAAAAATTTGGTATGACTTTTAAGTCTGTCTTCTTTGAAATGCGAGAAAAAATACTGAAACAGATTGACTTTGATTTTCAAGTTTTTATACATTGAGCGATAACTTTTTTCTCTTGCTGCTAATTGTCAAGAGAAAAGCTTGGAAATAGTCAAAACCTCTTGCAGGTGATCTGAGGTAAAAAATATTGACCTTGAACTTAATTTTAAGACTATAAATTAAGCTCTAAAACCTCTTGTCCCCATTTACCCCAACTGACCCTAAAGGAAATTTTTAAAATCCGTTATATTCAGAGAAAAAATTTCTTTGACTTAACAAAATAGTATAATTAATTTATTTTATTATTTTTAATTGACAAAATTAAAAAGTTTATAGTTAATTCAAAATAAATAATTAACTTAACAAAAGAATATATCCAAATAAGATTGATAAAATTGTTTGTTTTGAATAACATATATTTTGTTATATATTATTGACGGAAAAATGTGAGTTGAAAGTTTTTTTTTCAATATTTCTTTTACATATAGATATATATTTAATAAATATGTAAAATTTTAAAGTAGTAAAAATAAGACACGTGTAGAAGACTAAAGCCTTGAAAAAAATGTTTCAAAAAGAAATATTTAAGGACATACAATACAAAGAAATGAATATAATTTTTTTCTTGATAAAGTCAAACGTTAAGGTGCTTATATACCTCAAATTTCGATCAGATGAACATTATTTCTGGACCGTGAAAATGCGTGAAAAGTCATTTTCACGGCGGGTATTTTTGAATTGTTTTATACAAAAAAGGTTTTTTTAAGAAATATAATATTAAATAATTGTTTTAATATGTAAGAACACTTTAAAATAGTGATAGAAAGATGATTTGATTAAAAAATTTAGCAAATTTTGCTTTAAAACGTTTTCTGCTACAAGAAAGTATAAAATGACGATGTTTGTGAAATGGTTTGTACAGTGTACATGTTTACATGTTTCTTTCAGTTATTCGAAACAATTAGTTGAATTTAAATTTATTTGATAAACATTTCAACTTACCGATTTATTTTCAGCACTCATTATTTATTACAAATTAAAAAGAACCGACATAACATAAACAAAACTCTGAGAAACACTCACAAGGAAGAAGCACTGTACAAACCATTTCACAAACATCGTCATTTTACACTTTCTTGTAGCAGAAAACGTTTTAAAGCAAAATTTGCTAAATTTTTCAATCAAATCATCTTTCTATCACTATTTTAAAGTGTTCTTACATATTAAAACAATTATTTAATATTATATTTCTTAAAAAAACATTTTTTGTTTGAAACAATTCAAAAATACCCGCCGTGAAAATGACTTTTCACGCATTTTCACGGTCCAGAAATAATGTTCATCTGATCGAAATTTGAGGTATATAAGCACCTTTAAATTTTTGAAAAATTGGTAGTTGCAAATTTTTTAAATATTTGTTTACATATAGACATTTACATACATTTAATAAGTTTGAAAAATTTTAAAGCAGTAAAAATAAAACACGTTTGAAAAATTAAATCCTTAAAACAAAATATATCGATAAATTTCGACAACAGTATAAATAAATATTTAACGACATAGGTACAATATTAAAAAAATGAATTAAATTTTTGCTTGTTAATGTGAAACGTTAAAATATTTAACTATCCTTCCAATTTTTATTGTTTCATTTTTGCATCGACGAAAAGTTGTTACAATTTTTTTCAATATTTTCTTTTACATGTAGAAATACATTTAATAAATGTGAAAAATTTTAAAGCAGTAAAAAATAAGACACGTTTAAAAAATTAAATTCTTGAAACTAAATATATCGATATGTCGACAACAATAAAAATAAATATTTAACGACGTACAATATTAAAAAAAAAATTAATAAAAATTTTGCTTGATAAAGTCAAATATTAAAATATTTAACTGTCCTTCTAGTTTACGTAGCATCATTCCTCTATCAGAGACAATTCGACATAGTTTTTTTGCTTTACAAGTGCTCATTCACGGTGAGTAAAATAATTCTATATAATAATTTTATTCTTATTAAACTTTCTTAAAATGTGCCTACAAGTTATTTAACGGTTATTTTATAAAAAAAAGAACAAGATTTTTTAATCTTATATTATTATTTATATCTTCTTTTTCAAATGGATCTATTTGGAAAAATAAAATTTCATACTGAGCGCTCAACCGATCGTTGCAATAAAACGCTTAATTTAACATAATGTCAAATTATTTCAGGTTTCCTCAGGAAAAATTAAAACTTCACTAAAGTGTAGAGATACAACAGCAAAAAATATATTAAAAATTTACAACAGTTAATACATTAAAAAGAAACACAGCAAAAAGCGAATCGACTCATGATGAACGACACATCTGTTTTCGTTCAACATTCACCAAACTTTCAATTTCTATCTGTTTGTCACTATATTACCACTCTCGGCGTTATCTTTTACAACAAAGGCCTAATTAGATTGAATGAGCGAAATCAGACTGTCCCTGTACTCAATACTTATTTCAAATTCCTTAATAATTCCAACAATGTAATCGAAACAAAACTCCAGCTTCTACAAACAATATTAAAAGGAACCGATCTTTACGGTGGTGACGAAAATGAAACACTCGATACAAAATACGTAGATGAAACATATCAGTACATCATCAACAATGCTCTATTTTCACACTATGGTAATATCAACGATTATTTAGCAAAAATAATCAACAAGGCAGATAATACATCTTATTTCACGTTGATGAAAACTATAAAGCAGGAATTCTTTAACAATTACACAAGTATAGATTACTGTTCAAAAACTAACAAAAGCCCGAAACTTAATTTTTTGTCAGCTAAAACAATTTTTTTGGAATATATTCTGCCAATATTTCCCGAGCCAGAAAATAAAGATATGAACATAATGGAAGTGGATTATTTATACGCAATGGCTGGTTTAAAAATTGTCAAATCGATACTTGGAGAAACTCTAAACGCTTCGTTTGGTGATTTAATTTCAATTACACGAGAGATTGATTTACAAAAGGCTTACGGTAACGAAACTTATGAAATAATGTTAAATGTTTTCTCAACACCGGCACTATTTTTTTATGCCTCTAAGGAAAAAGAAACATTCAGAGAAAAATATCAAATTTCATCAAATATAGAATTTTGGACTGAAGCTTATAAGATTTTATTTTCATATATTAATACAAGAATGAATAATTTTGTACATCAATTTTTTGACAATATTCTTCTATACAAACTTGAGAAGGAAATGAAAGAATTAAAAAATCGAAGATTATTGGCAAAAACTATACTAGAGAAACATTGTCCCATTCCTTATTTTAAAAAACATGAAAATGAATATGTGACAAACTATATGTCATATTATCATTTTTTTATAAAAATAAGTGTTCTTTCTGGTTGTTCCGTAATAAATCTACCCGAATTGCAAGTTGTCTATGAAAATCAGTTTAATAATATACGAAAGACATATAATGAAATTCAAAAAATCAGAATTAAAAAATTTATAGTAGAAAACAATTTTGAAGAAAAACTGAAATCAAATGTTACTGTGAAGGTAGCAAGAGTACTTTACGATATTTCCTTCGTTTCTGTATTCATTCATATCATCCTTCCTTCAATCACCCATAAAGTAAAAAAACAACAGATAAACAATGACATTTACGTATTATTTTCAATACAGAAGGAAAACAATAAGCCAGAATTTTACGCAATTAAAGAGGAAAATAAAAATTTAACTTTACTTACAAATAGTAGGAACGAGCAAAATTTTTCTAAAGCTGTTACTAATTTACTCTCTTTCCCAATAGAGGATGGTGAATATTATACTATTCTTGAAAAATCTAATGCAAATAGCGAAGCATTTGCTGAGCGAATTGCAGAAATAAAGACAACACAATTTGTAAATCAGCTAATGGAAGACTATAAAAATGAAACTACAAAAGAGAAGGTTTTTACTTTTGTTAAAGTACTTGTACCATTTTACAATTGTATTGAAAACATAATAGCAAAAAACATAAAAGATGCAGTTACGAGTTGTTCTCTAGATGTTCTCAGCCTGATCCCTGTAGCGGGTCTTGCTGCAAACTATGCAACAAAAATAACCACCAGCTTAGCAACTAGATTAGGCGAAAAATATGTAATCAGTACAACCCTATCAAGTGCCACTAAATTTAATTCATTATTCCAAATTTCAGAATTAATTACTAAAACCGTTGCGCAGGAAATTTTAACCAAGTCTCTGTTAAAAGATTTATCTATTACCATCCTACGAGTTATAGATCCTGGATTTGAATTAATCAACAGCTTAGGAAAGTTTGGCTACCAAAAATTGCACAAGATTTATAACACTATGATTCAAAAAATTCCAAAGATCAATACAAATCTAAAATTGTTATTAACAACTGTGTTAAAAAAGTTTAATACGAATATGAAACTGTCAACATTTAATGGTCTGATACCAAAGGTTCTGAGAGAAGAGAATAATTATAAACTCGTTCAATACTATTATCCGAACGGTGAAAATTTCTTTGGACCCACATGCATGTCATCATTTGGAAATACTGCAGAACTAAGAACCATTGAAGGAAGTTCACTTCAAGATCCCGTGTTGCCAGTAAAAGATAACATGAACAAAATCTCCTATCGTAAATATAATCCAGTAACTAATGAAATTTCTTATATAAAACTGGAAATAGGAGAAGATGATCTACTCCGCAGTAATCTACCTGATCTTGAAGATACGAAAATAATGCCATATAAAGTTAATCCGGAAACACAACAAGTAAAAGGGGGTTTGCCGACTAATGATATTCCTTCAACATCAAAAGGATTCGACCAACTTCTTTCTCCGGATACTTTGCCAAATGTTGATATTTCTGGAATGGACAGAAAAGAGCTTCTTCGGAGACTTATGCCTTATCTAAATCTAGATGGAGATACGAAAATAATAAAAGATTATCAAGTTTATCATAATACGATTGAATGGAATAAGATACCAAACAACCCAGGTACGTCACGAGAAATTGTGCCAAGTGGAAATACTCTTGATACTTCAAGGCTAGCTACAGAATTAGTTCTTAGTAACCCTCTATCTAGAGTTATGTATGGTGAACAAAAATATCGTGAAATGTTATTATCTTTAGAAGATTTAAAACCTGAAAATTGGGTTGATTTACACAAAAATAAAGACAAATTAATAACATTACAAAAAAATTTAGAGAGAATACGTTGGAATCAAGACATAGAAAAGTGCGAAATGCCAAAAGAACTGTGGTTTAAACAAACATTAGACAAACCACAAATTGTTGATAATTTGAAGGCAATGAAAGGAGATTTTTATTTTAATGATATTACCCTATTGACAGATATTCGTCCAAGTGAAATTAATATTGTTAATAAAAAATCAAATTCCATAACAGAAGTTCGTTATCACATGACAATTGATTCTCAATATGGAATTGTTGATTTAGCAGCATTTGATAAGAGTTGGAAAAACCAATTTGTTGTTTATCCAGAACTCACATTTTCGGTAGTAAATGCTGAATTCAAAAATGGAAGGGATTTCTTACTTTTAGAACTAAAACAAAAGCCAATATTGAAATTGGATTGGCAGATATATAAAATAAAGTATAATTATTTACTTCACACTAAAGAAATATCTACATTTACAAGAAGTGTAGATATCGAGAATGCTGCCAGCCTTATCTCATTAAATACTCCTCAGCATAGATTAACTGAAATGGAAGAAATGTTAAAAGGTTATATTTTAAGAATCGATCCAATTGAGACTCGTGTTCCTACTTATGAAATGTTGGCGAAGGAAATAAATACAGTTATTACACCTTCTGAAATATTTAATGAATGGAAAATAAAGAATCATATTTTTATTGACGATGTACTATTTAAAAAGTCTTTATATCAAATTGAAAATTTGGAAGATGCGAAAAAAACTATAAACTATATTTTTGATGGGATTCATTTACAGAATATTGAAACTGTGTTTGAAAGTTATAAGTTATTTCCAATTCGGCAAAATATGCGATTTGAGGATTATTATGTATTGTATTCACATTTTGCAAATACTTTACCACCAACTGCACCTGCACAAAGAAAATTTTTAGCTTCACTATACAGATTAGCCCTTAGACAGTGTGATGATAAATTTACTACAATTCCAAAAACACTTTATCGTGCTGTAGAATTAAGTAGAGAAGAATTGTCACAACTACTATTTTCTGAATATTATCTTCGTCGTTTTAAAATGAATCATAAGGCTTTTTATTCAAATGCACAAAATGCTGTAAAAAATACTCCTAGAACTAGTGATTTAAAGATAGTAGTATTGTATAAATTGGAAATTCAGAATCCATCTGGAATAGTGCACATTGATCCTTATTATTTCAAATTTATTTTTATTGTTGTCGAGATATCGATATATTTCGTTTTAAGGATTTAATTTTTCAAACGTGTTTTATTTTTACTGCTTTAAAATTTTTCAAACTTATTAAATGTATGTGAATGTCTATATGTAAAAAAATATTTAAAAAATTTGCAACTACCAATTTTTCTAAAATTTAACGTTTGACTTCATCAAGAAAAAAATTTTATTCATTTTAAATAAAGCAATAAATGTTAGAAAGATAAATATTTTAATAAATAAATTTAATAAATTAATGCATGCATTTTTCTAAATATTTTATCGTTAGGCTTCATACAGCAAAATTTTATTTACTTTTTTATATTGTATCTCGTAAAATATTTATTTTAACTATATAATTACATCTTATCTAAAGGTGTGGTAGTAAATGTAAATAGGATAAGAATTCATAAAATAATATATTTTAATTAAATAAAACAATGTAGGTACATAACTAACCGACAGTTTTTAAACGAAAAATAAAGATAACTTAGTGATAATTAAAAATGGAAATAAAACTAAATTTCAAATAAGAAATAAAATTAAAAGAAATTATAAATACCACCCACCATTGATTTTTACCACAAGTAATAATGTTGATAATAGTAACAGTGTGAATGATAATTTCAGTAGTCCACGTGCTAGATATGATTTTAGCAAAGCAGATTTGGCAAACCTGCATATTTATTTACTAAATGTCAATTGGACTAATGTTTTAAACACGCTTAATATTGATGATGCAGTCTCCGTTTTTTACAATTATATATACACTGCCTTTAACTTATTTGTACCTACAAAAATATCTGTATCATCCACTTATCCATCATGGTTTACCAAGGAACTAAAGCAATTGGTATCATTGAAGAAGGCGGCTCATCAAAATTATAAACAAACTGGTTCTCATCACGATTACTTAATTTTTTCAAAATTTCGTTCAGAATGTAAAATTAAATCTAAATTATGCTATAAAAGTTATATGGCTCGTGTTGAGAATTCAGTTATCTCAAATCCAAAATATTTCTGGAGTTTTGTCAATAATTTGCGTGGAACCTCTAGAATTCCTAATGAAATGATATATGATCAATTTGTTGCAGGCACCAATGTAGATATTGCTAATTGTTTTAAAAATTATTTTAGTTCCGTTTACACTCTACCTTCTACTAATATTTCAGCTAATGACTTTGTTATTAATAAAAATAATTCAATTACTGTTGGTCATATATCGAGAGAAACAATTTTGTTAAAACTTAAAATGTTGGATGTTAATAAGGGGGCTGGACCAGATGAGATTCCGCCTTCTCTCTTGAAATCTTGCTGTTCCTCTTTCGTCGAGCCTCTTTATATTCTGTTCAATTGGTCATTAGCCTGTGGAATTTTTCCATTTGTATGGAAACGTGGAATTGTTGTTCCCATATATAAGGACGGAAACAAGAATGATGTTGTTAATTATCGACCAATAACTATTTTAAGCACTATCGCGAAAATATTTGAAAGCATAATTCATGACGATGTATATAGACAAGTAGATTCGTTGATTATTGACAGTCAGCATGGTTTCGTGAGAGGTAAATCGGTTCTGACAAACTTAAGTATTTATTCTGATTTTGTGCTTAACAATTTTGAAAAAGGTTTACAGGTTGACGTGGTCTACACTGATTTTGCCAAAGCTTTTGATAAGGTGGATCACGGCATTCTCTTGGCAAAGCTTGAAGCTCTGGGTTTTTCTCCTAATTTAATCACTTGGATTGAAAGTTATCTTAAAGACAGAACCTTGTCAGTTAGAATTAAATATGATTATTCTAATATATTTTCCGCCACTTCTGGAGTCCCCCAGGGATCGAATCTTGGACCTCTGTTCTTTGTGCTTTTCATCAACGACATAAATTTCATTTTTAAATTTTGTAAATATTCACTATTTGCTGACGACTTGAAATTATTTATAGCAATCTCTAATGAATGTGATTATATGCAATTACAATATGACCTCAATCAGCTTTTATCTTGGTCTAAAAAGAATAAACTACTTTTAAATATCAACAAATGTAAAACAATATCCTTTTCTACATCTTCGAATTTCATTAATAATAACTATTTTGTTGATAAAAAGGTACTTTTGAGAGTGTCCACGATTGTCGACCTTGGGGTAATGATTAACGGCTCATTTTCCTTTATAGATCATATTACTTATACAATTAATAAAGCTACCCGAGCCTTGGGTTTTGTCATTAGAAATGCAAAATGTTTTCGAAATCCTCTTGTATTGAAAAAATTGTATTTCGCACTAGTTAGGCCTATAATTGAATTCGTCTCTGTATTGTGGAAACCTTATCAAAGCTACCTGTTAACAGATATCGAACGTGTTCAGAACAGATTTCTTCGTTTTATGGCTAAACAGACTGGTGTACCAATTGATTATCATAATCATGACTACACAGACTTAAGATTAAAATTTGATATTCAGCTATTATCTCAGCGATTTTTATACGCCGATATGCTTTTCTTGTTTAAAATTATTAACGGCATAATTAATTGTGCAGAATTGCTGAGTCTATTTTATTTGCATATACCCCTAAAATCTCCAAGACATCAACAATTGTTTCACATTCCTTTCAATAAAACTAACTATTTGAACAATTCTGTGATCAACAGATTGTGTAAAGAGGCAAATCAGTGTAGCACAAGTGTTAACTTTTTTGGTATTTCTTTAAATAAGTTTATAATTGAACTGCGTAATTTTATGTATGATGAGAACAATAATGTTAGCGCGGCTGATTAATTTTGTTTAAATTAGAATTATCGTATCATAGTACACTGTACGAATGGGCGCTGCCCGTATACTTTGAATAAATAAATAAATAAATATATATTTATAAGACTTATAATATCGAAAAAACAATTTTATAGTTACATTAATAAATTAAATATCATTAAAGTGAAACATTAAATCGGATGAATGTAATTCATTTAAATCGTTAACTAATTTAACCATACGATACTCATCTAAATACGAATCGTCTTTAAGTAAAATAAAATCAACATTCTCCCCATCAATAGTTTTCTTAATTATTCCATATTTTTTCAAATTAAAACTTTGTGGAATATAATATCTTCGATTTGTTGGAAATTTAAAACTTCTATCAATATATGCAATTCCAGCCATACTATTTAAGTTCAATTCAGTGAATAATATTTTTTTACCGGAGGTATTTGGGATGTATTTCATAGCATCTTCTTGAATTCTATGAAACGGATTATCTGTACTAAATGATACACTTTTACCTAATTCTCTTCCTAATATTTGATTGTAATGTTCATTAGAAACTAAATGTGCTTGATAAAGTGGAAATGGTTTTTTGAAAAAATGTCCAGTAACAATTTGTCTTAGGGCCAATCTCTTAAATGCAACATCTAATCTTGTTTTCCAATGTTTATCTCCTTTTAATTTACCAGAAAAATGTGAATAAATAACGAAGTAATCCTCAAATCGGATATTATTTTGAATTTCTCTTTTACTCTTGAATGCGTGAAACACAGATGCAACATCCTGTTCATCAAAATCAGGAAATATTATATTAATGGTTCTCTCTGCAGATGCTAAATTTTTAACTTCATATAAAGAATTTTGAAACAGTACATCATCAATAAAAATGTTATTTTTTATTTTTAATGGACTATATAGACTTGGAATTGAACCACTTTCAAAAATATCTTTTGCCAATGAATTATAAGACAACATAATATTACTGGAACCTGGTCTTAAAATATATTCTTTTAACAATTTTTTCGAATCACTGAGTCTGTGTAGGGGTATTCTCGTGGATATGGAATACGCAGCATCTTCAATACTTGAACTTCTTATTAATTGTCCCACTTCTTTATTGTTAAGTAACTTTGAACTCTCTTCTCTAATTTTAATCCATTTTTCTTTTTCTATTGGCTTTTGAACTAGATCCATTTGCAAAATAGATTCTCCATTAATGTAATGGGTATTCTGTACAGTAAACTCAAGTTCCGGATATACAATGTATTGGTTTTTTAAAGTATGCTGAAATTCAGAAAGATCGACAATTCCATATTGAGAATTCATAGTTATGTGGAAACGTACTTCTTTTTCAAAGGGAAATTTTGATATTTTAGAGTCAATTGGTGCAATATCTCTCAAAAATGTAAGATCGTTAAAAAAAAATTCTTTTCCTTTCAATTTCTCCAAATCACTAACAAAAATGCTTTTCATTGATGTTTGACTAAACAATTTTGTTGGTAGTTTAAATTTGTAAGGTTCAATAATTTGTATATTTGATAATGAATCGACAAGGCTTCGAACATTATACAAATTTGATTTACTGTCTTTCAAACCAGCAATTCCTTTATTTTCAAACAAAACTAGTGTCTCAGTATAATCAATGTTTGCTAATACGTCTAATAATTTTTTTTTATCGAAAACATCATTAATTCGAAAATTACCCTGCGAAGTAAGTTTTCCAGGTCCTCTTGAAGTTGACGGAATATTATCACTTGGTAAACCACCTTTAACAATTGGTTGTCTAATTTCAATCGCATTTCGATAATCAATAGCTGGCTTATTTTTCAGTGAATTTAGATTAGCGTAAAATTTATCATTGGTTGAAAATAATGTATTTAACTCATTTACCAATCTAACCATTCGTTTTTCTTTTATAATTTCCATATAGACTATTGGCAATGTAATAAAATCAGATGCTTTAACAGGTTTATCTACTTGCCAGTCATATGTAAAACTTATTTCATCAGGAACATAATACATTTCCATGGGAACATTAATTTAACGACGTACAATATTAAAAAAAAATTAATAAAATTATGCTTTGATAAAGTCAAATATTAAAATATTTAACTGTCCTTTTAGTTTTCATTGCTTCGTTTCTCTATCGGAGACATAAATGGGGACATAATCGCTATTTTTCACAAATTACGTAAATTTCTTCCTTTAAAAGGTAATATTTGCCGGTTTATTTTTTTTAAGTTGTTATTTACAATCCGAGGATTAATTTTATGCAGCAGAAAAAAAATTTAGATAAGCATTCAACGCATGAAACTGACTGTCCCCAATTACCCCAAAATTTAGAAAATTTCATACAATTTGGGGTAAATGGGGACAGCATAGTTTCTAAGAAAGTTTTAAGAAAAAAGTTTCCTTAAGTATATTACTGTATAAAGGGATGAAAGAACTTGGAAAAAGTTTGTAGTAGATATATATAATAGTTGAACCATTTGAATTTTTTTATTTTTTTTTGTATTTCAGTATTTTGTCTCGCATTTCAAAGAAAGCAGACTTAAAAATCATACCAAATTTTTTTCATATTCCTTATGATTCCCATAACAGAAATTCAGCTGAATTTTTAATTTTTGTTAAATTGGTTAATAATGACAAGCTGTCCCCATTTACCCTGGATTTTCAAATTATTGAGGTAAATCGGGACAGCTTGTCATTATTAACCAAATTGACAAAAATTCAAGTGAATTTCTGTTATAGGAGTCATAAGGAATAAGAAAAGAATTTGGTATGATTTTTATGCCTCTTTTCTTCGAAATGCTCGACAAAATACTGAAACAGTTTGACTTTGATTTTCAAGTTTTTATACATTGAGCGATAACTTTTTTTATCTTGCTGTGCTGCTAATTGTCAAGAGAAAAGCTTGGCAATAGTCAATACCTCTTGCAGGTGATCTGAGGTTAAAATATTGACGTTGAACTTAATTTTAAAACTGTAAATTAAGCTCTAAAACCTCTTGTCCCCATTTACCCCAACTGACCCTACCGAAAATTTATTTAACGGTTGTTTTATCAAGAAAAAACAAGATTTTTTAATTCTTATTTTTCTTATTATTCATTTAAAGGAAATTCTTAAAATCCGTTATAATCAGAGAAAAAATTTCTTTGACTTTACAAAATAGTTTAATTAATCTATTTTAATATTTTTAATTGACAAAATTAAAAAGTTTATAGTTAATTCAAAATAAATAATTAACTTAACAAAAGAATGTATCCAAATAAGCTTGATAAAATTATTTTTTTGAATAATATATATATTTTGTTATATATTATTGACGAAAAAATGTGAGTTGAAAGTTTTTTTCAGTATTTTTTTTACATATAGATATACATTTAATAAATATGTAAAATTTTAAAGTAGTAAAAATAAGACACGTGTAATAAACTAAAGCCTTGAAAAAAAATGTTTCGAAAAGAAATATTTAACGAAATACAATACAATACAATAAATGATTATTCCCCAAATTTCAATTTCATAATTTTCAAGACATCGAAATTCTTATCATCTAAATGTCATTCCACATAATTTTTATATTTCGAAATACCATTTAAGATAATTTTTATTTTTTCGAATAATCATTTATTCTAATTTTTAAATAATAGAATTATCTATTGATATAATATTTATTTTGCCGAAAACTTCTTTATCATAAATTTCATTCTTCCGAATGGTTATTTGTCACAATTATTAATTCTCGGAATGCTTGCATAACCTAAAATTCATTCAAACTAATCGCCATTTAATATAATTTGCTTGTTTTTGAAATGTCATTTCATATAATTTTTATATTTCGAAATAACGTTTAACGCAATTTTTATTTTGACGAATTACCATTGGTTAGAAGTTTTAAATGTTCAAATTTCAATTATCTAAAATTTTCATCTAATCAGATATCCATTAAGTATAATTTTTATTGCTTCGAAATATTATTTTACATAAATTTCAATTTTCTAAACTTCATTTGATATAATTGCTATTTTTTTTTTAAATCCACATTACCTAAAATTAACTGACACTATTTGCTATTTGGCATAATTCTCAAAACACAGAAAATTTAATTGTCCTAAATTTTGTTTTGCCGATCCCATTTTCGAATTTTTAAATAACATATGATCCAATCAACAGAAATTTCATTTCACCTAAAATATCATGTCTTCGTTTTTAAGCAGTTATTACCCATCTATGTGTTTTATATTTTTTAATTAAAATTGTCAGTAAAGAAAATAAAGATTTTTTTTTGTTTATGTAGAATCTACATCTACTTTACCGACTATTTTAATCAAAAAATATAAAACACATAGATGGGAAAACACTGCTTAAAAACGAAGACATGATATTTTAGGTGAAATGAAATTTCTGTTGATTGGATCATATGTTATTTAAAAATTCGAAAATGGGAACTTATATACAGTGACTATTATAAGAAATAGAGATTATGAAAAATTATAAATCGGCAAAACAAAATTTAGGACATTTAAATTTTCTGTGTTTTGTGAATTATGCCAAATAGCAAATAATGTCAGAGAATTTTAGGTCATGTGGATTTTAAAAAAAATAGCAATTATATCAAATGAAGTTTAGAAAATTGAAATTTATGTAAAATAATATTTCGAAGCAATAAAAATTATACTAAATGGATATGTGACTAGATGAAAATTCGAGATAATTGAAATTTGAACATTTAAAACTTCTAACCAATGGTAATTCGTCAAAATAAAAATTACATATGTTAAAAGGTATTTTGATTATTTAAAAATTAGAATAAATGATTATTAGAAAAAATAAAAATTATGTTAAATGGTATTTCGAAATATTAAAATTATGTGGAATGATATTTAGATGATAAGAATTTCGATGTCTTGAAAATTATGAAATTGAAATTTGGGGAATAATCATGCGAGCCATATTTAATAAATATGTAAAATTTTAAAGTAGTAAAAATAAGACACGTGTAGTAAACTAAAGCCTTGAAAAAAATGATTCAATTTGTCAACAACAGTATAAAAATATATTTAACGACATACAATACAAAAAAATGAATAAAATTTTTCTTTGATAAAGTCAAATATTAAAATATTTAACTGTCCTTTTAGATTTCATTGCTTCATTTCTCTATCGGAGACAATTTAATGCAGTTGTTTTGCTTCACAAGTGATCATTCACGGTGAGTAAACTAATTCTATATAATAATTTTATTTTTATTATACTTCTTAAAATGTAGGGTCAATTGGGGTAAATGGGGACAAAATCGCTATTTTTCACAAATTACGTAAGTTTCTTCCATTAAAAGATAATATTTGCTGGTTTATTTTTTTTAACTTGTTATTTACATTCCAAAGATTAATTTTATGCAGCAGAAAGAAATTTAGATAATCATTAAACGCATGAAACTAACTCCCCCCAATTACCCCAAAATTTAGAAAATTTCATAAAATTCGGGGTAAATGGGGACAGCATAGTTTCTAAGAAAGTTTTAAGAAAAAAGTTTCTTTAAGTATATTACTGTAGTAAGGGATGGAAAAACTTGGAAAAAATTTGTAGTAGATATATATAATAGTTGAACCAATTGAAATTTTTTTTTTGTATTTCAATATTTTGTCTCGCATTTCAGAGAAAACAGACTTAAAAATCATACCAAATTTTTTTCATATTTCTTAAGATTCCCATAACAGAAATTCAGCTGAATTTTTAATTTTTGTTAAATTGGTTAATAATGACAAGCTGTCCCCATTTACCCTGAATTTTCAAATAATTGAGGTAAATCGGGACAGCTTGTCATTATTAACCAAATTGACAAAAATGAAAAACTCAAGTGAATTTCTGTTATAGGAGTCATAAGGAATAAGAAAAAAATTTGGTATGATTTTTATGCCTCTTTTCTTCGAAATGCTCAACAAAATACTGAAATAGTTTGACTTTGATTTTCAAGTTTTTATACATTGAGCGATAACTTTTTTTATCATGCTGCCAATTGTCAAGAGAAAAGCTTGGCAATAGTCAATACCTCTTGCAGGTGATCTGAGGTTAAAATATTGACGTTGAACTTAATTTTAAAATTGTAAATTAAGCTCTAAAACCTCTTGTCCCCATTTACCCCAACTGACCCTACCTACAATTTATTTAACTGTTGTTTTATTAAAAAAAAACAAGATTTTTTAATCTTATTTTTCTTATTATTCATCTAAAGGAAAATTTTAAAATCCCTTATAATCAGAGAAAAAATTTCTCTGACTTAACAAAATAGTTTAATTAATCTATTATATTATTTTTAATTGACAAAATTAAAAAGTTTATATTTAATTCAAAATAAATAATTAACTTAACAAAAGAATGTATCCAAATAAGATTGATAAAATTGTTTGTTTTGAATAATATATGTTTTGTTATATATTATTGACGAAAAAATGTGAGTTGAAAGTTTTTTTTCAATATTTCTTTTACATATAGATATATATTTAATAAATATGTAAAATTTTAAAGTAGTAAAAATAAGACACGTGTAGTAAATTTAAACTTTAAAAAAAATGTTTCGATTTGTCAACAACAGTTAAAAGAAATATTTAACGACATACAATACAAAAAAAATGAATAAAATTTTGCTTGATAAAGTAAAACGTTAAAATATTTAACTATCCTTCTAATTTTTATTGTTTCAATATTGCATCTACGAAAAGTTGTTACAATTTTTTTCAATATTTTCTTTTACATATATAGAAATTCATTTAATAAATGTGAAAAATTTTAAAGCAGTAAAAAATAAGACACGTTTAAAAAATTAAATTCTTGAAACTAAATATATCGATATGTCGACAACAATAAAAATAAATATTTAACGACGTACAATATTAAAAAAAATTAATAAAAATTTTGCTTGATAAAGTCAAATATTAAAATATTTAACTATCCTTCTAGTTTTCGTAGCATCATTCCTCTATCAGAGACTATTCGACATAGTTTTTTTGCTTTACAAGTGCTCATTCACGGTGAGTAAAAAAATTCTATATAATAATTTTATTTTTTTTAAACTTCTTAAATTGTGCCTACAATTTATTTAACGGTTATTTTATCAAAAAAAGAACAAGATTTTTTAATCTTATATTATTATTTATATCTTCTTTTCCAAATGGATCTATTTGGAAAAATTAAAATTTCATCTGAAGGAAATTTTTACAATCTTATTCGTTATAATGAGAGAAAAAGTTTATTTAACTTAATCTATAATGCAATTAATTTATTTTATTTAACAATAATTTTTAATGAATTCCACGCCAAATTAGACACTCATTTGCAATTGTATCTTCCATTTTTATTACTCTTACTTATAAATCATTGCTAAAATCTTACGAACCATGGAAATTTTTTTTTAATATTTCGGTCTTTAGCCCATTGCTAAACCTGTTTTAACATTAGTCGGTAATGTAGATTTCTGTGTCAGTAATTTTTTTGTATCGACATTCCCCTGTTTTACCGACAGTCGGTGATGTAGATTTCTGAGTTGATACTTTTTTATATCATCATCCAAATGGGTCGATTTGGAAAAATAAAATTTCATACCGAGCGCTCAACCGATCGTTGCAATAAAACGCTTAATTTAACATAATGTCAAATTATTTCAGGTTTCCTAAGGAAAAATTAAAACTTCACTAAAGTGTAGAGATACAACAGCAAAAAATATATTAAAAATTTACAACAGTTAATACATTAAAAAAGAAACACAGCAAAAAGCGAATCGACTCATGATGAACGACACATCTGTTTTCGTTCAACATTCACCAAACTTTCAATTTCTATCTGTTTGTCACTATATTACCACTCTCGGCGTTATCTTTTACAACAAAGGCCTAATTAGATTGAATGAGCGAAATCAGACTGTCCCTGTACTCAATACTTATTTCAAATACCTTAATAATTCCAACAATGTAATCGAAACAAAACTCCAGCTTCTACAAACAATATTAAAAGGAAACGATCTTTACGGTGGTGACGAAAATGAAACACTCGATACAAAATACGTAGATGAAACATATCAGTACATCATCAACAATGCTCTATTTTCACACTATGGTAATATCAACGATTATTTAGCAAAAATAATCAACAAGGCAGATAATACATCTTATTCCACGTTGATGAAAACTATAAAGCAGGAATTCTTTAACAATTACACAAGTATAGATTACTGTTCAAAAACAAACAAAAGCCCGAAACTTAATTTTTTGTCAGCTAAAACAATTTTTTTTGAATATATTCTGCCAATATTTCCCGAGCCAGAAAATAAAGATATGAACATAATGGAAGTGGATTATTTATACGCAATGGCTGGTTTAAAAATTGTCAAATCCATACTAGCAGAAACTCTAAACGCTTCGTTTGGTGATTTAATTTCAATTACACGAGAGTTTGATTTACAAGAGGATTACGGAAACGAAACTTATCAAATAATGTTAGCAGCTTTTTCAACACCGGCACTATTTTTTTACGCCTCTAAGGAAAAAGAAACATTCAGGGAGAAATATCAAACTTTGTTTAATGCAGAATTTTGGAATGAAGTTTATGAAAATTTATTTTCAAATATTAATTTAGAAATGAATAAAATTAAAAATCATTATTTTGAAAACAACCTTTATTACAAATTCGAAAAGGAAATGAAAGAATTAAAAAATCGAAGATTATTGGCAACAACTATACTAGAGAAACATTGTACCTTTTCTACTTTTAAAAATCTTTTATCTGAATCTGTGACAAACTATATGTCATATTATCATTTCCTTGTAAAATTAACTCTTCCTTCTGGTTGTTCTTTAGAAAATCTACCCGAATTGCAAGTTGTTTATGAGAAACAGTTTGAAAATGTAAGAAAGACAAAATATGAAATTGAAAAGATTGCAATAAGAAAAGTTTTAAATGACAGTAAATTAAAAGAAAAATTAGACTCAAAATCTATTGTTAGTGATGCAAAAGCTAAAGATTATCCAACGTCAATGGGGATACCGCCTATGGCAAGAAAGATAAACCCCAATGTATACCTACTGTTTGCAGTTAAAGAAGAAGGAAAAACAGATTTTTATGCCATTATAGATAACGATAATGTTTTGTCATTACTCGTAAGAAGTGATAACAAACAAGAGTTTGGTAATGTAATTGCTAATGATTCATATACAGAAATGGAAATAAATATAATTGCCAATGATATGAAATTCGCTCATGAAGATAGCGAAGCATTTATTGAAAGGATTGCCGAAATAAAGACAAGACAATTTGTAAATAGGCTAATGGACGACTATAAAAATGAAACTACAAAAGAGAAGGTTTTTAATTTTCTAAAAATACTTGTACCATTTTACAATTGTATTGAAAGCGTAAAAGCGGATAGCAAAATTGGAGCCGCAATAAGCTGTCCTTCAGATGCTCTCATCCTTCTTCCTGGAGTAAGTCTTGCCACAAAATACGCAACAAAAATAAGCGACAACTTTGTCATTGGATCAGGCCAAAAATATTTAATTAGAAGTACTTTTGCAAGTACAGCAAGTGCCAGTAGATTAACTTCATTATATCAAGTTTCAAAAGTGTTGGCGAGATCCGTTTCGCAGGAAATTCTTACCAAGCACCTGTTAAAAGATATGTCTATTTCCTTCCTACAAGTAGTAGATCCTGGATTTCAATTAACCTTCCATTTAAGCAAGTTTGGCTACAAATCATTGCACAAGACGTATAACTTTATGATTCAAAAAATTGCAACGACTGCTATAAATAAAAATCTAAAATTGATATTAACAACTATGTTAAAAAAGCTTAATACTAAGATGAAACTGTCAACCACATTTAATGGTCTGATACCTAAGGTTCTGCGTGAAGAGAAAAATTATAAACTAGTTCAATACTATTATCCCGGCGGTGAAAATTTCTTTGGACCCACATGCATATCATCATTTGGAAATACTGCAGAACTAAGAACCATTGAAGGCAGTTCACCTCAAGTACCCGTGTTGCCAGTAAAAGATAACATGAACAAAATCTCGTATCGTAAATATAATCCAGCAACTAATGAAATTTCTAATATAAAACTGGAAATGGGAGAAAATGATCTACTCCGAAGTAATCTACCTTATCTTGAAGATACGAAAATAATACCATACAAAGTTAATCTGAAAACACAACAAGTAAAAGGGGGTTTGCCGACTAATGATATTCCTTTAACATCAAAAGGATTCGACCAACTTCTTTCTCCGGATACTTTGCCAAATGTTGATATTTCTGGAATGGACAGAAAAGAGCTTCTTCGGAGACTTATGCCTTATCTAAATCTAGATGGAGATACGAAAATAATAAAAGATTATCAAGTTTATCATAATACGATTGAATGGAATAAGACACCAAACAACCCAGGTACGTCACGAGAAATTGTGCCAAGTGGAAATACTCTTGATACTTCAAGGCCAGCTGAAGAATTAGTTCTAAGTAACCCTCTATCTAAAGTTATGTATGGTGAACAAAAATATCGTGAAATGTTATTATCTTTAGAAGATTTAAAACCTGAAAAATGGGTTGATTTATACAAAAATAAAGACAAATTAATAACATTACAAAAAAATTTAGAGAGAATACGTTGGAATCAAGACATAGAAAAGTGCGAAATGCCAAAAGAACTGTGGTTTAAACAAACATTAGACAAACCACTAATTGTTGATACTTTGAAGGCAATGAAAGGAGAAGATTTTTATTTCAATGATATTACCCTATTGACAGATATTCGTCCAAGTGAAATTAATATTGTTAATGAAAAATCAAATTCCATAACAGAAGTTCGTTATCACATGACAATTGATTCTCAATATGGAATTGTTGATTTAGCAGCATTTGATAAGAGTTGGAAAAACCAATTTGTTGTTTATCCAGAACTCACATTTTCGGTAGTAAATGCTGAATTCAAAAATGGAAGGGATTTCTTACTTTTAGAACTAAAACAAAAGCCAATATTGCAATTGGATTGGCAGATATATAAAATAAAGTATAATTATTTACTTGACACTAAAGAAATATCTACATTTACAAGAAGTGTAGATATCGAGAATGCTGCCAGCCTTATCTCATTAAATACTCCTCGTCATAGATTAACAGAAATGGAAGAAATGTTAAAAGGTTACATTTTAAGAATCGATCCAATTGAAACTCGTGTTCCTACTTATGAAATGTTGGCAAAGGAAATAAATACAGGTATTACACCTTCTAAAATATTTAACGAATGGAAAATAAAGAATCATATTTTTATTGACGATGTACTATTTAAAAAGTCTTTATATCAAATTGAAAATTTGGAAGATGCGAAAAAAACTATAAACTATATTTTTGATGGGATTCATTTACAGAATATTGAAGCTGTGTTTGAAAGTTATAAGTTATTTCCAATTCGGCAAAATATGCGATTTGAGGATTATTATGTATTGTATTCACATTTTGCAAATACTTTACCACCAACTGCATATGCACAAAGAAAATTTTTGGCTTCACTATACAGATTAGCCCTTAGACAGTGTGATGATAAATTTACTACAATTCCAAAAACACTTTATCGTGCTGTAGAATTAAGTAGAGAAGAATTGTCACAACTACTATTTTCTGAATATTATCTTCGTCGTTTTAAAATGAATCATAAGGCTTTTTATTCAAATGCACAAAATGCTGTAAAAAATACTCCTAGAACTAGTGATTCAAAGATAGTAGTATTGTATAAATTGGAAATTCAGAATCCATCTGGAATAGTGCACATTGATCCTTATTATTTCAATGTTCCCATGCAAATGTATTATGTTCCTGATGAAATAAGTTTTACATATGACTGGCAAGTAGATAAACCTGTTAAAGAATCTGATTTTATTACATTGCCAATAGTCTATATGGAAATTATAAAAGAAAAACGAATGGTTAGATTGGTAAATGAGTTAAATACATTATTTTCAACCAATGATAAATTTTACGCTAATCTAAATTCACTGAAAAATAAGCCAGCTATTGATTATCGAAATGCGATTGAAATTAGACAACCAATTGTTAAAGGTGGTTTACCAAGTGATAATATTCCGTCAACTTCAAGAGGACCTGGAAAACTTACTTCGCAGGGTAATTTTCGAATTAATGATGTTTTCGATAAAAAAAAATTATTAAAGGTATTAGCAAACATTGATTATACTGAGACATTAGTTTTGTTTGAAAATAAAGGAATTGCTGGTTTGAAAGACAGTAAATCAAATTTGTATAATGTTCGAAGCCTTGTCGATTCATTATCAAATATACAAATTATTAAACCTTACAAATTTAAACTACCAACAAAATTGTTTAGTCAAACATCAATGAAAAGCATTTTTGTTAGTGATTTGGAGAAATTGAAAGGAAAAGAATTTTTTTTTAACGATCTTACATTTTTGAGAGATATTGCACCAATTGACTCTAAAATATCAAAATTTCCCTTTGAAAAAGAAGTACGTTTCCACATAACTATGAATTCTCAATATGGAATTGTCGATCTTTCTGAATTTCAGCATACTTTAAAAAACCAATACATTGTATATCCGGAACTTGAGTTTACTGTACAGAATACCCATTACATTAATGGAGAATCTATTTTGCAAATGGATCTAGTTCAAAAGCCAATAGAAAAAGAAAAATGGATTAAAATTAGAGAAGAGAGTTCAAAGTTACTTAACAATAAAGAAGTGGAACAATTAATAAGAAGTTCAAGTATTGAAGAAGCTGCGGATTTCATATCCACGAGAATACCCCTACACAGACTCAGTGATGCGAAAAAAATGTTAAAAGAATATATTTTAAGACCAGGTTCCAGTAATATTATGTTGTCTTATAATTCATTGGCAAAAGATATTTTTGAAAGTGGTTCAATTCCAAGTCTATATAGTCCATTAAAAATAAAAAATAACATTTTTATTGATGATGTACTGTTTCAAAATTCTCTATATGAAGTTAAAAATTTAGCATCTGCAGAGAGAACCATTAATAGAATATTTCGTCATGTTCATATACAGGATGTTGCACCTGTGTTTGACGCTTTCAAGAGTACAATAGGAATTCAAAATAATATCCGATTTGAGGATTACTTCGTTATTTATTCACATTTTTCTGGTAAATTAAAAGGAGATAAACATTGGAAAACAAGATTAGATGTTGCATTTAAGAGATTGGCCCTAAGACAAATTGTTACTGGACATTTTTTCAAAAAACCATTTCCACTTTATCAAGCACATTTAGTTTCTAATGAACATTACAATCAAATATTAGGAAGAGAATTAGGTAAAAGTGTATCATTTAGTACAGATAATTCGTTTCATAGAATTCAAGAAGATGCTATGAAATACATCCCAAATACCTCCGATAAAAAAATATTATTCACTCAATTGAACTTAAATAGTATGGCTGGAATTGCATATATTGATAGAAGTTTTAAATTTCCAACAAATCGAAGATATTATATTCCACAAAGTTTTAATTTGAAAAAATATGGAATAATTAAGAAAACTATTGATGGGGAGAATGTTGATTTTATTTTACTTAAAGACGATTCGTATTTAGATGAGTATCGTATGGTTAAATTAGTTAACGATTTAAATAAATTATATTCATCCGATTTAATGTTTCACTTTAATGATATTTAATTTATTAATGTAACTATAAAATTGTTTTTTCGATATTATAAGTCTTATAAATATATATAATTTCTTTTAATTTTATTTCTTATTTGAAATTTAGTTTTATTTCCATTTTTAATTATCACTAAGTTATCTTTATTTTTCGTTTAAAAACTGTCGGTTAGTTATGTACCTACATTGTTTTATTTAATTAAAATATATTATTTTATGAATTCTTATCCTATTTACATTTACTACCACACCTTTAGATAAGATGTAATTATATAGTTAAAATAAATATTTTACGAGATACAATATAAAAAAGTAAATAAAATTTTTCTGTATGAAGCCCAACGATAAAATATTTAGAAAAATGCATGCATTAATTTATTAAAATATTTATCTTTCTAACTTTTATTGCTTTATTTTCTGAATTTCAAAATATTTTTTTTTAGTTTCAGACAATAATTAAATTTTTTGGAATTAAAAATATAATTTATCAAATATTTTAAAACGAATATTGACTTTCAAAAGTTTTTAATTGAAAAATTCTTTTAAATACCTAATTGACTTTTTTAAGAATATTATAAAAATAATTGACTTTTGATAATGTTATAGTTGAATGTATTATATTTCAGAAAAATTTAGATGGAAAATTTTGGAAGTAATTAGAGTTTTAGAAGGTTTTAAATTAAAATTTTTGAAAATTCTAATTTATTTTTAAGGAATTTTAAATTTAATTTTTTTTAAAATTTTAAACAATTATTGAATATTATAAAATTTTTAATATTGAAAAATTTGCAGAATTAAAGAATTAAATAAATAAAAATTAATTTTAATTAAAAAGAAAATTCATAAAGGTAAAATAAAAAATGAATAACTATGTCTAAAAAAATATAAAATAAAATAATATATATATATATATTGAAAATTTCATATGTAATTTTTAAAAGATCCTTTAAATAAATAATAAATTTTTTATTTAAATTACATTTTAGTTTTACAACAAGTTCATTATTATTTAATTCTCTAATTTATATTTTATATGAAAAAAAGTTAGAAAGTAAAAAACAAAACGAATTAGTGTAGGTAGGTATGTTTTAGAAAAAAAAATTTTTTTTACGAATTTTCATTCTTTCAGATGAATTTTTAATTGTTCGAATTATTATTTAATATAATTTCTATAAAAACCGATTTTTCTGCAGAATTTTTAACTTAACCGAAAAATCATTTAACACAATTTCAAATTGATAGAATTTTCATTTGTCCGAAATTGCAAATGACCGAAACAACAATCGATTTTGGCGCGATTTTTAAATTATCAACCAATCAAAAATTATTTATAAAATTATGATTAGTTGATAATTTAAAAATCGCGCCAAAATCAATTGTTGTTTCGGTCATTTGCAATTTCGGACAAATGAAAATTCTATCAAATTAGAAATTTTATTAAATGATTTTTCGTTTAAGTTAAAAATTTTGCAGAAAAATCGATATTTATAGAAATTATATCAAATAATAATTCGAAAAACTGAAAATTGTACTCAAAAATAATTATGACAAATGAAAATGCATAAAATGAAAAATTCAACTTTTTCGAATTTTTTTTTTCCCCTAATATTTATACCATCATCTAAATTAATTTGCCTCTAATCATTATTTTTAATTATTTTATAATCTTTTTATTTCCATTATTAATTAATAAAATAATTTTTATTTACTATTATTAATTTATTTTAATTTGATTAACCCTATGAATTTTTATTTTAATAATTATAGCTTAATTATGAATTAAAAAAAAAAAAAATTTACTTTATATATAATAATTTGAATAACTTTATTAATTATATCTTTTATTTCAATATTTTTTTTTTTTTAACAGGAATAATAATTTCATATACAAAGAAGTATATGAACAAAAAGAAATCTTGATGTAATCATTGAAATGTTCAAAAGAATGTGTAGATTGTTATAAATTTATCTAAAATATTTTGGTCTTTTTTTTTTTTAATAAATATTGAAAATAATGTTTTGTGATTTTTCTTTAGAATGTAAATAAAAAATGTTTCTTTAATAAGTAAAAGATTATAACGTTTCCAATAAGAAATTATATTATCGCTAAAAATGTTAAAAAAGTTTACGTACAATTTTTATCTTAGCCAAAAATATTCGTGTTGTGAAGAATATGAAACAAAACACTTTTTACGACATTTTTTTCTTACTAGAAAGGTACTTCCCCTCGTTTTTATCTCATGCAATAACTAATTATGTGTGTGTGTGTTCGTATGTAAACATTCTTATGAGTAATATACTGATAAATTTTATTGGTATTTAAAAATAAAATAAAGATTTGCACATATACCTTTACTGTTGATTCATCTGTGAATTTTTCAAATATAAATCATGGAGATTATTAAAGAGTTACTGTGCTTTTATTTTTTTTTTTTACGTAAATTTAAAAATTACTGTAAAATTATTTTATTCCAAGAAAATTATTTCCCACAATACAGAGAGACATGCCGCCAAAAGCTTAACTAGCAGACGATTTCTAAAACTGAAAAGAGATGGGTAGGTATGCGAAAAAAATATTATACCATTAGGGTACAATCACACATCATAAAGGCGCTTTGTAACTATGTGACGTCTGGCATATTGATTCTAGTAACATACCAACGTGACAAACCTGAACTATACATAATATTACTAAAAGAGAAATTATTTCTGTTGGAACTTGTAAATTTAAATATGAAAATTTTTAATGTTTAAACTTGTAAAAATAACCACACGATAATTATAAATAAAAAATTAATTAATTATTAATTATTATCCATCCATCTTAAATAAAAATAATTTCTATATATAAATAACTAAGTCAATATTAGAATAAAATCTAATTTGTATTAATAAATAATATAGTAATTAGAAATATAAATTATAATAATAATAGTAATAAACTATTAATAGATATAAAAACCGTTAGAAATAAACTATAAATAGAAATGACCTTGGTCAAAGCAGAATTGCGTAATATGACGTTACAAGGTTATATGACGTGGCATCATTTGATTGGACGAATCAATGGGCGGAGCTACCTCCCCCAATTAAGTAGTAGTGGGAGCTAGGGTGCTATTTATTTTTGCGAATTAATAAATAAAATTGGTTTTTTACCCAAAGGGGTTTTTCCAATTAAAAAGAACGTTTATTTATTTAATATTTTAATATTTATTTATTCAAAGTGAATTGGACAAAAATTCAAATCAGTGTCCGTTTTCAAACGGTAATTAAGGTACAAAGATGTTACGAGCCAAGTTGTATATTTAATTGCGCAAGCGCAATTTCACTTGGTTATTTTGTGGATTCAGCCTTAGTGTTAATCATTAAAATGAACCGGGAAAGTTTAAATAATTACACAATTAATTTCCGTTAAAACGGAGGGAAAATCCTCTTGAAGACGAACAATAATAATTAGATAACGAATTAACCAATTATTAATTGTTCCGACTTCTAGATTAAAACCCAAGCTTTTATTAAATATAGAAAGAGACAAATACAAGGTTGACTTGGAGCGAACTCGACAAGTCGAAGGCAAGATAAGATCTGACGTAAAGCATAAAGTACAAGTAGTGGAGAAGCGCTCAGCTGTGAGTCCATGTGGCTTCTTTGCGCATGCTCTTTATATTTTCTTATTCTATGCTGTTTCCAGCAACACTGCACTGCACAACACTACGTATCTTATTTACTATACACTTTACTAATTATATATTTCAAGGTATATCTTATACATAATATTTATTATATTATAAATATTATAATTAACAATATAACATACTCATACGTATTAATGTAATAATTAATTATTATCTTGTTATTGTGTAAATAACACACACACACACACACACACCACGATTATATATTTAATAATGTTCTATAGAGAAGATGATGATTTTTAATTTATATTTTTAATGTAAAAATCTAGTTGATATAAAATATTTCTTTACAAATATTTTATCCTTTGTTTGATCAATACGTGACTTTTCTCGATTTAGCGAGTCTACATGTGTGTCTGGTCAACATGTGTTTGGTGTCCTGTAGAGAAAGGACCACAACTTTTTCAAGTGGATTTTTTATGATCTTTAAGGGTTTTTATTTCATGGTTGGGATTAAAGGAAAGTTAGAATCATATTTCTTTTTGCTATTTTACTTAATTTATGACTTTTCTTAGAACTGTTTATATTCTTTGATTTGAGAATAAGACTTGAAAATACTTAAAGCGTGAAGATATTATTTTACAATTAAGTTAACTTTTTATAGTTTCCTCAATTGCTAAATTTATGTGAGAATAAATTCTAGAATACAAAATATTAATTATTTAATATTTTGAATATTTATTATTTAGCGCGTAAGTATCGTTAATTCGAGATATCGATAAGTTATTCGAGCGAGAATATAGTCGCTCGTTACAAAGAATCCACTAAGTCGATTCGATATATCGAATATCGAAAAACCACCTTCACATCAAACCCAGGACGTGACAGTAACTAGAATTCACAACTTTAGTAAAAAAAATTTCTTCGTTTTGCATTTTCCGACATACACAAACCTTGATTGGTTGTCCACAATCTGATTCATTCCTTGTGGACAGCCAATTAGGTTTGTGTATTTCGAAAAATGCAAATTGAAAAAAATTTTTTACCAAAAGTGTAAATGTACCATTATTCAATTGAAATAAAATTTAAGTTACGTTTACAATTTTCTTACAACAAAACCAATAAACACTGCGATACAATCATAACCTCAAAAATTTAAAGTTTACAATCATAATTACCAACGAAATTATATTATAATAAAATTTTTTATTATTTATTTATTAATATTTATACCATAAGGCTGCTTTCACAATAGCTAATTTTTATTTTTTCATTAGGAAATTTAGAAAATTCAAATATATGTGACGCGCACTAAACAAAAAGACATAAGAAGAAATAAATTATAGGTTATGTTTATGATTGAAATAAAAATATAAAAGAAGGGGATCAGTTCTTTCTTTATCTTAAATAAATACAAATTTTTTTTCAGTTCCCTGCATTTTTTTTTATTATTAATTCATTAAATCATAATTGAAGTACTCAAAAAAAAAAAAACAATCAATAATAAATATAAATGTCATGACCTATATAATACTGCTACAAAAAATTATTTCTACACAATATGAAGATTCATAAATTACAAATACACTTATTTTCTAAAATAATGTGTATAAATTCTTCTTCTTTTTTATTTTTTCAGGTAGCAGTCAATTCGGCAGTTGATGTTTTTGTCCTTATTATTATTATTTTTTTTGATATACAATTAACGCTTATCAAAATTTATCAACTAATCAATAATAATAACTAATTAATAACTGTAATAATTAATTTATTAGAAACATTATTAATTAATTATTATAATTAATTTCAGAAAAAAATTATTGCATTAAATATACAAACTAAAGGTTAGTTTCCATTCTCCCCACTCGTTATTTCGTCAACTACCGCACCCTGCTCTAGGGAAACTTTAGTAACCTTTAATTTTAACAATAGTCACTAAATTTTCACTAGAGCAGGGTGCGGTAGTTGACGAAATAGTGAGTGGGGACAATGGAAACCAACCTAAATTGAATATACTTCCGGTTTGACGGCATTTTGAATAGTTGTGACACTTCTATAATAAAATTAGTTTGTGGCGTATGATGTAAAGGCAAATGCACAATAGCTTCGCGAAAGACTTTCGGAAATTGTGAATTGGCCTTTACACCTTACTAATTTTATTATAGAAGTGTCACGACTTTTTAAAATGTCATCAAACCGGAAGGCAGTTAGGATGTATATTTCACTACCGACTGAAATCTAATATATAAAGACTAGTTCACTTTTCGAATATGAGAAGATAATCAGCCTTTATATAAACAGGTTAAATTTCAAGTTTCCAAAAGAATCTTGAAAAAACATTAGGCACAGTTTACAGTTCGATATATCGAGAAATTGCAGAATTGTGATTGGATAGTATCGAAGAGAACAATATATCGATCTTGTAAACGTACCCTTAAGAAATAAGGAGGGGGGGAGAAAGGCCCAGAAACACAAAATAATAAAAAAACATCAATAATAAAATAGAGATTCGATTCAATACAATATTTAAGTCCCTATGCACTGTAAGGAATGTGTAGAAATTTTATTTACAGAGATTCGAAACTCGAATATTATTTTCAGCGAATCGAGCAGTCGCTTTTTTCCGGTTTTTGTTTTCTAAAAAAAAAAAAGAAAAGTGGGGAAATTCCCCTCTCACTGGAATCGATGCAGTCTTTAAAAGAAGGGATAAATTTTTTTTTTAAAGTAATTTTTTTTTTAAAGTTAATTCTCTGCTTTTGTGAATTTTATCGTTCATAAAGCAGAATAGAAGGGGAACGTCAGATAGAAAAGAACAGACGATATTACTGTCTTTTTCTATCTAGTGTTTGCGTTTCTATTCTTAGGCCTTAGGCTGTGTTCACATGACTGGGTTCGAACGCAGTCGTGTGAACACAGCCTAAGGCCTAAGAACAGGAACGTAAATACTAGATAGGCTTTAGGCTGTGTTCACATGACTGGGTTCGAACGCAGTCGTGTGAACACAGTCTAAGGCCTAAGAATAGAACGGGAACGTAAACACAAGATAAAAACATTTTCTTTTCTTTCTTTTTTTCTTTAAAATAATTTTTATCAAACAATATGGGTACTGCCTTGAAGTGTATTAACTCCATTTCTTCCGCCTTCAGCGTCTGAGAACTCAATTTGTTCTTTAAGCAATTCAAGTTCCCTGATACCTGACACAGTAACCTCATATTTATGTGTAACAAGACTTCTATAAAAATGAACAGCGAATGCAAGAAATATAATTAATACCGGAATAAGAACAATACACGCTGACCATGCGGCAACTTCGGAAAAATCATAAAATTTCACCCAACATAAAATTGCAATTTCCAAAAGAAATAACAATAGTCCCAATAATGTTGAAAATGCCCATGCAACTTCAATATACCAATGAAGACGTTCATGTGGCGATTCATGAACAAGACTGATACTATGAAGATTGCAAACTGCTTCAATGTTTGGTAGAATGCATGTTGATATCATTAATGCCAACATATGAACAGCAACAAGAAGTGTGGTGCAAACGGCAAAGGCAATCAGCATTTCTTTTGGCACTTTTGTGTCCGAGTTCAACTGCACTTCAACCATGGCGACCTGAAATTGTTTTTTTTATGAGCTCTTATTTTTTTTTAATAGTGATCCAACCCTGGCAGTGTTTTGCTTAAGTATTTGTTTCAATATTTGAGCTCTGGTTGGTTTTTTCTAATAGTAATCCAACCCTGTTAATGCGGTAGTGTTTGCTAGAGTATTTGTTTTGAGCTACTGTACAGTAATAGTTGTGAAGGCACCTTGTTTGTCAATAGGTTGTCATGGTAACGTACGAGAGTAAGAGGGACAGAAAATTTAATGTCTCTCATAAAGATACAATGGACAAATTAAAAATTTGCATTAATGTTGTGACGGTACCCTAATGTTCCTGGTAACTTCCAAAAATATTAAGGTACTATTGCAACTTTCCTGGCAGCTTGCTTGCCTGCAGGTTGTCATGGTAACGTACAAGAGTAAGAGAGACAGTAACAGTTGTGAAGGCACCTTGTCTGCCAACAAGTTGTCATGGTAACGTACAAGAGTAAGAGAAACAGTAAATTCTCTGTCTTTCTTACTCTTGTACGTTATCATGACAATCTGTTAGCAGAAAAGGTGCCTTCACAACTGTTACTGTCTCTCTTACTCTTGTGCATTACCATGACAACCTGCGGACAAGCAAGCTGCCAGTAAATTTGCAATCGTACCTTAATATTTTTGGAAGTTACCAGGAACATTAGGGTACACTCACAACGTTAATACAAATTTTTCAATTTTTTCAGTGTGGCTTAAGGCTGTTCTACAATAACCTTTTTCTTTTGTCATCGGTAATTTTCGTAATTCCCCAGAAAAAATACTAGTAAGTTACAAAAAAATACGTTAAAAAAAACAAAAAGGATGGGGGAAAACTTCTCAAATGTGACACTCATAAGTAAATTCCAATAGGAAAATATAAATTAAAAATAAAAATATAATAATTACCATGGCAAAACCAGAGAGAAGTGCCGAAGTTTTACTCGATGCTTTAAGTTTTGCTCTGCTGAGTTGAAGTTTCCTCCAAGCAAGATATCCCGGAGTATGAAGGCCATCTCCAGATTGTGACATCTTAGACTAAAAAAAATTTTAATAAAAAAAAATGGAAAAAAGAAAAATAATTTTTAATTAAAAAAATTAAAAAAATTTTTTTTTTTTAATTTTTAATCGAACTATTGGAATAAAAAATTTATTTTTCAATTTTTTGTTTTTTTTAAAGGGAGGAAATATTTTCAAAAAAATTTAAAATCTCCAAGAAATATATAAAAAAAAAATAAATTTTCTTTAGTTTTAAAAAAGGAAAATTTTTTTTGGAGTTAAAATAATTTTTTACGTTTGTATAAAGAAATTAAAATAAATTTCTATTAAATGCAAAAAAAAAAATTCATTGGAACTGTAAATTAATGAAGATAATAATAATTTAAAAAAGAATTATTTTTTTTTTTTTTTTTTATAGAATTGTTAGTAGCGAGAGTTAAGTATAAAGCTCGTGTGTTGAGCAATTAGAAGAACATACCAAATTGTTGTGCCAACAGAGGAGCTTCTAGCAAGTCCCACGTAGGACAAAAAAACCAACAGGTGCTGAACCAAACAAAAAATAACAATTACACTAATTAATGGAAAAGAAAAAAAATTAATAAAAAGAAGAAGAAGAAGAAAAAAAAGCTGAAATTAATGTTAGTAGGCCGTTAAGAGATAAAAAAAAAAAGAAAAAAAAATTCAAAGTGCAGAGAGAAAATAAAAAAAAAAAATAAATAAAATAATATTGTATAAAATATAATATAAAAAATAATATATTACATAAAAAATATATTATTATTTATATTTTATTTAAAATTTTTTAACAAAATTATAATTACAAAAAAAAAATTCCAAATTAATAATAGTTAAATAAATAAATAATTGTGCAAAAAGAGAAAGTAAAAGAGAAAGATTGCAAAGCGCAGGAATAAAAAAAAAATTGGAACCGATAATATTGTTTAGGTAGGAAATTGTTAGAAAATTAAAAAAAAAATTAATTTTTAATAAAATCCAATCAACTCCATATTATTTAATAAAAATGATATAAAAAACCTAAAAAAAAAATTGTATTTGAAACTAAAATTAAATTTTACTAAATTGAATTTTACAAATTTATTTATTTTTTCAATTTTGCAATTTAATTTTTTTTTATTAAGTTCACCCAGAGAAATTATATATTTGTCTCATAGTCTAATAAATATTTATTTGATTCAAATAAATTTTTATTAGATTCAAATAAATTTTTATTTGATTTAAATTAACTTTTATTTGATTCAAATAAATATTTATTACATTCAAATAAATTTTTATTTGATTGAAATAAATATTTATTTTATTCAAGTAAATTTTTATTTGATTTAAATAAAATTTTCCACGAATCATTAATTTTTTATAAATTAATAGTTACATGTCTATATACATATATAAATAAACATAAACAAACCTGGCAGTTATGAAATCTTTTGTGAAAACAGTGTCCGGTGGTGCTGTGCAAATGTGTAAGTGGTTGAGGATGAATTGAAAGGTGTGAGGAGGGGGGCGGTCCACCCTCCGCACCAAATACTGAATTTCGTCCAGTGCTCGTCGACCATACAGACATTAGGCCAAAATTTTATATCTTCTCCTTCGACACTGCGAAAAAAATATAAAAATAACTTTTTCAGCTTAGACAATTCATTTTTCTATTCAATAAAAATATCGTTCACATTTCAGATGTTCTACTATTAAGTATAATATCGATATATGATTCAATGCCATTATGTATCGACTTATCGTTCGATATATTGATTAAAAGTTCAATACATCGATTTTTAGTTGTTTACATCGATAGAAAGTTCGATGTATCGATTTATGGTTCGATATTTCGATTTTCAGTTCGACTTATCGATTCACACTTCGATATATCGATTAATAGTTCGACTTATCGATTTATTGTTTGATATATCAATTCATAGTTCGATATATCGATTGATTTTTTGTTATATCGATTAACAGTTCAAATTATCGATTTATATTTCGATATATCGATTAAGTTCGACTTATCGATTGTTTGTATCAATTAACAGTTCGATTTATCGATTTATAGTTCGATATATCAATTTTTAATTGTTTATATCGATAGAAAGTTCGATGTATCGATTTATGGTTCGATATAAAGATTTTCAGTTCGACTTATCGATTTACACTTCGATATATCGATTAATAGTTCGACTTATTTATTTATGGTTCGATATATCAATTCATAGATCGATATATCGATTGATTTTTCGTTATATCGATTAACAGTTCTGTTTATCGATTTATATTTCGATATATCGATTAAGTTCGACTTATCGATTGTTTGTATCGATTAACAGTTCGATTTATCGATTTATAGTTCGATATATCGATTATTAGTTGTTTATATCGATTTATTTTTCGATATATCGATTAATAGTTCGATGTATCGATTTATGGTTCGATATTTCGATTGGATTGTTCGATATATCGATAAATAATTCGATGTATCGATTTATGATTCGATATATCGACTCACAGTTCGATATATCGATGTTTGATTATTTTAATTTTATTTTTTAATTATTTTAGAAGAAAAGAAATGTAATAAAGAAAAAATTAATCACCAAAACAATGTTAAAAATTAACTTTCCTATGAAGTATGAGAAAAAAAATGAATGTATTTGAAAGAAAAAGGAGGAAAGGACTATTTTAAAGGTGTGAAACGTGAATGATTAAAGAACATCCGTTTCCTTCAAATAATTACAGGAAACTGAGAGCAGTGGTGCCAGGCTGCACACCAATTCCACTCCCACCATGCCGCCCGTGCGCCTCCCACCATACGGCCACACACACAAGTGTAAAGCGTGCGCTTACTCTTGTAGGTGTGCCTATTTTTCGTTTTCCTCATATTCGCCCGCTTCAGCTAAGCGACTATGCCTGTTTTTACCGACAGCCGGTTAATTTCACGCGCGAACTTTTAAATTCTTTATAATATAAATATACTTTTATTAATGTTTTTATAGATATTTATTAATAAATAATTAATAAATGATTAGTAATTAATTAATAAATAACCGATAAATAATTATTACATAACTAACAATAATTTTTAATTAATAAATTAATATTTAATAATTATTAATCAATAAATTATAAATAAATAATTGTACAAGCACAATTATTTTAACAATAATTTATTGATTAATAATTATTCAATAATTATTTATTAATTAATAATTATTAAATATTAATTTATTAATTAATAATTATTAAATATTAATTTATTAATTAAAAATTATTGTTAATTATGTAATAATTATTTATCGGTTATTTATTAATTAATTACTAATCATTTATTAATTATTAATTAATAAATTAATATTTAATAATTAATAATTAATAAATAATTATTGAATAATTATTAATCAATAAATTATAAATAAATAATTGTACAAGCACAATTATTTTAACAATAATTTATTGATTAATAATTATTCAATAATTATTTATTAATTAATAATTATTAAATATTAATTTATTAATTAATAATTATTAAATATTAATTTATTAATTAAAAATTATTGTTAATTATGTAATAATTATTTATCGGTTATTTATTAATTAATTACTAATCATTTATTAATTATTTATTAATAAATATCTATAAAAACATTAATAAAAGTATATTTATATTATAAAGAATTTAAAAGTTCGCGCGTGAAATTAACCGGCTGTCGGTAAAAACAGGCATAGTCGCTCAGCTGAAGCGGGCGAATATGAGGAAAACGAAAAATAGGCACACCTACAAGAGTAAGCGCACGCTTTACACTTGTGTGTGTGGCCGTATGGTGGGAGGCGCACGGGCGGCATGGTGGGAGTGGAATTGGTGTGCAGCCTGGCACCACTGACTGAGAGTTAAATGACACCGACAATTAGAAATTTACCATAATTGACGTATATGTAAATTATTTATTGCCATGAAAGCACAACATTCTTGGGATCATTAAAAGATATATGTAATTTCATTGTATAACGTGAATGTAATATGTATATATTATCCATGCAAAATGGCAATTTTCTCACATAATTCGTTTTAATTTTCATTCACAAAAAAAAAATGAAAATTATAACATTTCTTTTATTTATTAAATTTATTTTTTTTTTTAATTTACTTTTAAAATAATTAAATTGATTTTAAATAAAAATTAAGACAAGCTGTAATTTAAAAAAAAAAATTCAATATATAAATAAGAAATAAATACAAAAAAAGAATTTTTTTTTTTTAGAAAATTTCCAAATTTAATTAATTGGAAAATAAAGTTTTGCAGAAATTAAAAAAAAAATTGAAATTAAATAAAATATTGCAAACTTTAATTTTCGATATTAAATTCTCGCATTGTAGAAATAAATAATCTTTCGAAATAAAGTGGCAAAGACAAACATAAGAATAATTCTTAATCCGCTGAGAAAATCTTTTCTAAACATTTACTCAGGGACAATATTTCTCTATTTGTCGAGAGATTAGTAAATTATACAGTCGTTTGTTCTTTTCCGATTTTTAATTTCACAATTAACAAACAAAAAAATCTCCGTACAATATTCGATTTTTGTAAAAAAAAAAGATACAGCTTTAATTTATTTTGAATTAAAAAAAAAAAAAAAAAAAAAAAAGTGTTTCAATAATATTTTAATTAATTTTTTATTTGCTAATAATAATTTACTAAATAAAATAATTATTTTTCATGAACAAACATTATTCAAAAAGAAATTTTAATTTCAAAGCTGTTTATGAATTAACAAAGTAGTAGAATTTTTAGGTTAGGAATCGGCAACTGCATAGTAGTGCCAACCATGTAACACAAAACTGTAGATAATGGCGCTAAATTTAAATTTTTTTAAAAAATATATTTGATAATTTATTAATTATTAATTAAAGAAATAATTAAATAATAATATAATAAAATAACAATATACTAAAACAATATTATATTAAATTAAAATAATAATAAAATTAAATAATAATTATTTTCTTCTCAGTGACGATTTATAATCAAATAATTGTATCATTTTACGAGTATTTCAGAAAACGATTCATCGAATAAGGACAAATAGACCGAGACGAGAACAATTGATTATTTTCATTACATCATCGATTGGAATTCGTAATTTTAATTTTCTTTATTTATTTTTCAAATTTTTTTTTTTTTTTTGTATTAACTAAAAGAATTAAAAAAATTTATTTGACAGAAATAATAAAAATTTCAATATAAAATTAGAAAAATATATAAAAAAATAAATATAATAATAAAAATTTTAATAAAAAATTTTTAAAATATACAAAAAAATAAATTAAAATTTCAATAAAAAAAAAATAAAAAAAATTTTTTTATAAATAAAAGAATAAATTTTTTCGATAAAAACTTTAAAAAATAAATAAAAGAATAAAATTTTCAATAGAAATAAAAAATAAATAAAGAATAAAAATTTCAATAAAAATAAAAAAATATATAAAAAATTTAAAAAAATTTTAAAAAATATAAATAAAATAAATTAAAAGATAAAATTTTCAATAAAAATACAAAAAAAAAAAACAAATAAAAGTATAAAAATTCAATAAAAAATTAAAAAAAATAAATAAAATAAAATTTTTAATAAAAAAATGTTGAAAAAATTAATTAAAGTATAAAAAATTTCAAAAAAATATATAAAAAAATAAAGTCGATTTGGCGCGGTCGTTTAGGCGTTAGATTATATGTCTTAGGTTAGGTATAGGGTCATGGATTCGATCCCCGAGGGTTGTAAATTTTAATTTATATAAAAAAATAAATAAAAGAATAAAATTTTCTAAAAAAAATGTAATAAATATAAAAAATTTTAATAAAAAATTTAAAAAATAAATAAAAGTACAAAATTTTTCATTAAAAAATTCAAAAAATATAAAAAAAATTAATAAATTAATAAAAATTTTTAAAAATAAGTAAAAGTATATAAATTTCAATAAAAAATTTAAAAAATATATATAAAAAAATAAAATTTTTATTAAAAAATTCAAAATATATAAAAAAAACAAATAAATTAATAAAAATTTGAATTAAAAATTATTAAAAAAAATAAATGAAAGTATAAAAATTTTAATTATTAATTTAAAAAATATATAAAAAAATAAAATTCTCAATAAAAAATTTAAAAAATATATAAAAAAACAAATAAATTAATAAAAATTTGAAGAAAAAATATAAAAAAAAATAAATGAAAGTATAAAAATTTTAATAAAAAATTTTAAAAATATATAAAAAAATAAAATTTTTATTAAAAAATTCTAAATATATAAAAAAAACAAATAAATTAATAAAAATTTGAATAAAAAATACAAAAAAAAATAAATGAAAGTATAAAAAATTTTAATTATTAATTTAAAAAATATATAAAAAAATAAAATTTTCAATAAAAAATTTAAAAAATATATAAAAAAATAAAATTTTCATTAAAAAATTCTAAATATAGAAAAAAAACAAATAAATTAATAAAAATTTGAATTAAAAATTATAAAAAAAATAAAATTTTCATTAAAAAATTTAAAAAATATATTAAAAAAATAAAAAAATTTGCAATAAAAAATATAAAAAAATAAATAAAAGTATAAAAATTTCAATAAAAAATAAAAAAAAAATAAATAAAAGTATAAAAATTTCTCAATAAAAAATTTATAAAAAATATATCAAAAATTAAAAATTCCAATAAAAAAATTTTTAAAAAAGTATATTGACGCTTTCGACCCTTGAATAAAGAGTGCCAGTGCATATAACTAAAAATACCAAGTGGTTTGATTGGATTGTCTCTTGCGGCTCGTGTACAAATTTAAATCACAACTCTCGTTACCTACAGAGACTCAGATTAATTGTGAGACAGGAAGCTCAATTACTCTATGCAATAAACTACTTCCTATCGCTTACTTTCAATCAGGCAGTAAAAAAATTAAACCACTTTTTATTTACATCCATCACGTAATTTTTATTTTCTTTTTCAATTTTTTTTTTTTTTTTATTAATTTCAATAAAAACTTTCCTCTTTCTAATTAAAAAAAAAATTGATTGCACAAGCAAAAATAATTTTTTTTCATGAAATTTTAAGAAAATGTTAATATAAAAAAAAAAAAAAAAAAAAACGCGATTACATTCCAAGATATTTTTATCATGCAAAAATTGAAATGATTTTTATATAACACATCGAACTTTCAAGATCAAGAATTGAGTTTAGTTGGCCGTGCGCAATGATTTTTCGGGGGAATTTGTGCCAAAGTCGAGGTTTCAATTAATAAATCTTTCAAAATGAAAAAAAAAAAATTCTCGCGCATTTAATTTTATAAAATAATCTTCACTTTCTCAATGCAAAAATTTCAGTCAAATGATTAAGAAAAAAAAAAGAAAAAAAATTTTTTAATTGTCATCTCTTGTTGATTTTTTAATCAGAATCATAATCAATTTTAATTGCGAATAATTGGTACGATGAAAAAAAATTGCTTGAGACTGATCGGAAAATCGCGAGTTTCGTTTTTAATTAGTTGATTTAAAAAAAAAAGGAAAAAAAAATTGATAACCAAAAAAAAAGGGAAAGTAAAAATAAAAAAAAAATCAAGTGAAACAAAATATTAAAAAAAAATACATATAAAAAAAACGGATAGAAAAATTATAAATATATAAAAAAAAAGAAAAGAAAACAAAATTGAAAAAACTAAAAAAAATGATGTAACAATAAGTAAAAATAAAAAAAAATAAATAAATAAAAAATTTAAACTTAAAAAAACAAAACATAAAAAAATTAAATTAAAAAAATAAAAAAGAACAAAATAAATTTTTAAAAATTAATAAGAAAAAATAAAAAATTTATTTATAAATAAATAAATAAATAAATTTCTAAATAAAAAACGAAATTAAAAAAAATTATAAAAATGAATAAAATTAAAATAATAACAAAAAAAAAAAATTTTTTAAATACAGAAAATTAAAAAATCGTAATTACAAAATAAAAATACATCATTATGGCGCGAATTTGAAAAAAATAAATATATATATATATATAAAGAAAAAAATATATAAAAACCAAAAATTTTGGACTTAATTTTTTTTTTTTGGGGGGGGGAAGGGGGAATAAGCATTAAATATATATTTATAGTTTTTACCATTTCTAAGTGAGAAGACCTTGAATGAGTTTGAGGCACATTTTAAAACATTTAAAAAGAAAAAAAAAATATGTTGACGTGTAAAGATTACATTAAATTTTTTTTTTGTTCGTTAAAATATTTTTTTATTAAAAAAAAAAAAAAAAGAACACTTTTTTTTAACTTTTTATTTATTTTTTGTTTGTCCCAACTTTAAACAAAAATCAAATCACTGACACATATATATTTTTGGTCACGGACAGCTGACAATATAATTTCAAATAATCAGTTCACATGCGTTGTCAATGCGTTGTCGTTGGACTCAGATGGTCGCGGCAACTAAACAAATCAGAAAATGACTATGTTTGTGTGTGTGTTTACGATCTGCCTCGAATATTGCCGAGAACAAACGAGCAATTCACATTTCAGTGAACCTCAATTATTATTATTATTATTATTATTATTATGATATATTACAGCAATTAAAAAAAAAATTTAATTTTTTTTCTTATTTTAAAGAAAAAAAACCATAATTTTAAAAAATAAAAAAATTTTCAAAATAATTTTTTTTTATTTATTTTTTATAATTTTTTTTTTAAATTTTTCATTAAAAAACAAAATTGAAATATTTTTAAAAAATTTATTAAATTAATTTTTGGTTTTATAAGGCAAAAATTGAAAATGTTTTTGGAAAATTTGAATTTTTTTCTTTTCATTTTCTATTTTTAAACAAAATTATAAATATTGAAAACATTTTTAAAATTCAAAAAATTATAAGTTTTTTATATTGTAAACAATTAAATAAATAAATAAATTATATTTAAATTATTATTATTATTATTATTTTTATTATATATATTATAATTATTTAAAGTATTAAAAAATTTTTTTTTAATTTTAGTACTTTTTTAAAAAAATTTTTAATATCTTTTTTTAATTTACTGTGTACAGAAAAGAAATTTTTTTTTAATTTCATAAATGATATTAAAATGAAAAATTTATTCAAAAAATTTTAAAATTTTCTCCAAAATTTAAAAAATTAATTTTTTAAAAATGTTAATATTATTTTTATTGTTAAACATATATATATATATAATATTCAATTGTCTCGAATAGTTGAGAATCGCTGAAACGAGGTGATCTGAAGAGTTCGCTGTTTCAAGTTCAAGGCAAAGAGCAAGAAAATACAGACTCGAAAATATTTTGTTATAACAAAATGAAAAATTAAAAAAAAAATTATAAATTTATATGAAAAAATATTTTTAAAAAAAGTTAATAAAATAATTTTTCTAAAAAATTAAAAACAATTTTAAATTTGTTAAATTTAATAATTTTTTGTTTTTATATTATATTTTTAAATATTTAATAAATCAAAAAAATTTATTTATTTATTACCAAATAATATTTATTAGATATATTTATTTATATCTGAATATTACAATAATAAATAATTATATCTTAAAATATGTAACAAAATTAATTGAAAAAAAATTTTTTTTTTCATAAAATTCCCCCTCCCTTCCCCTCTCTACGGCGATTTTTTTTCCGATAATTTACACAATATTTAAGAAAATTTGCATAATACAAAATTTTGCTTTACGAAAATAAATGAAAAATTTGGCAAATTGCCGTTAATTCTGTGAATGTGAAAAAAAAATACCAAAACATTTTTGATACACTTGAAATTAATTTCGTAAGTTGGCAAAAATTCAAATATCAACAATTTTTATATTCATTTTTCACTTCCTTCCAATTAGACAATTAATGAGTGACATTTCTACACTTGTCAAATAATTCAAAAATTTATTCTTTCCATGAAATAAATGAAAATATCGAATTTTTTTTTTGATTTTTAATAAAATAATTTTTATTTATTTCGAAAGAAAATAAATTTAAATTATTAATAAAAGAAAAAAAAATCTATTTATAATTCGATATATCGATTTTTATGACAATATAAAGTTCGATATTTCGATTAGAAATTCGATTTATCGACTTATGGTTCGATATTATATTCGATATTTTTTTATCGATATAAAGTTTGATATTTCGATTAAGAATTCGATTTATTGATTATGGTTCGATATATCGATTTATGGTTCGACATATCGATTGTTATATCGATATAAAGTTCGATATTTCGATTAGCAATTCGATCTATCAATTTATAGTTCGATATATTGATCGTTTACGTCGATATAAAGTTCGATATTTCGATTAAAAATTCAATGTATCGATTTATGGTTCGACATATCGATTATTTATATCGATATAAAGTTCGATATTTTGATGCACTTGTCGATTTATCGAATTATGGTTCTAAATATCGATTCACAGTTCGATTTATCGATTTATAATTCGATATATCGAATTATGGTGCAGATTAGGAAAATTTTAAGTCGATAAAGAAATTCCCGCAAAAATTTAGCAGGGACACAAACCTTTCTGTTGGTAATTTAAGTTTACAGGAATTTATAAAAAAAAAATATTTTTTTAACTTTAAGAAGAACAAATGCAAAATTTTTACATAGATATTAAAAAAATAAATAAATTGAAATTATTACGACATTTCTAATGTTTTTTTTTACGAGAAATTTTTGATGATTCTAAAAATTTACTAAATATAAAAATAAATTCGTGCCGGTACTAAAATTATTTGTTTTATTTCCTTTTAAAAAAAGATAAAAAAAAAAAATACTAAAATAAAAATTATTTCCAGATAATAAATTTTGAGTACAACTTATTAAATTTAAAAACGTAATAATAAAACGTCACGAATTAGTGTATTAAAAAAAATTATAAAAATAATGAATAAGAAATATTTGTCCCTCATTTTTTTCGCTAATCTGTAAAATATAATTTTTTATTATTTATTTTTTTTTTTTAATTTAAGGCTCTCGACAAATGTTCGATGAATACAAAAATTATGAGAACCTAGGTAAAATATAATAACGCATCACTATCAAAATCATAGAGAAGAAACTATCATATATGAATCTCTCGTAACACAAACAGGAAATTACGAATGTCAGTTCCTCTATATTTATGTATGGAGATACAAAAGTGAAGATAAAAACCTTGACGACACTTTTCCATACATTAAAAAAAAAAAAAAAAAAAAAAAAAATTGCAAAACTTTAAAACAAAGGAAACGAAAAAAAATTTCTATTTTATTCAAATTATAAAAGACATGAGTCATCTTAACCGACGCGAATCTTAATTTACTAAAGGCAAGTATATAAAACCGTCAAACAAATCAAAATGGAAATTCGTTACAAAAATTATTTAAGGAAAAATTCAACATTTTTTTTATCGAAGTAGTTTTCAATGTATTTTTGTCTACTGAATACGATACCGAGTCCCAAAGTTGTCTAGTACGTTAGGATTTTGAAAAAATACAAAAAAAACCCGTTTTTGTGGTTTTTATCCCCACTTTTCTCAAAATAATGACGTGCTAGGCAATTTTGAGATCCGGAATCGTGTTCAGCGGACAAAAATACATTGAAAACGATTCCCATATCGAACAGAAAAAAAAAAAATTTTTTTTTTGGCCTCCACCCCCAATTTTTCAAAATTCATTTTTTTGTCTTGCGCATGTTGCGTCTTAAAATGTACGATGAAAGCTTTAATTTAAGATCTTACGGATGTTTCTAACACGTCAAGTTAAAGAGAAAAAAAAAATCAAAAACCTTAAAATCGGGTTCAAAAATTTTATAGCACGTAAAAAAATTTTTAAAAAAGTGGGGGTAGAGACTAAAAAAAATTTTTTTCAAGTTATTTTCGATATCGGAGTGCTTTTCAATGTATTTTTGCCCGCTAAATACATTCCCGGGTCACAAAATTACGTATCACGTAAGGATTTTGAAAAAAGTGGGGGTTGAGACCAAAAAAAAATTTTTTTAAAAGTTATTTTCGATATCGGAGTGCTTTTCAATGTATTTTTGCCCGCTAAATACATTCCCGGGTCACAAAATTACGTATCACGTAAGGATTTTGAAAAAAGTGGGGGTAGGGACCAAAAAAAAATTTTTTTGGCTTATTTTCGATATTGGGAGTGCTTTCCAATGTATTTTTGCTTGCTAAACACGATCCCGGGTTTCAAAATTGTCTAGTACGTCAGGATTTTGAGAAAAGTGGGGGTAAGGACCAAAAAAAATTTTTATTTTCGATATCGGAGTGGTTTCTAATGTATTTTTGCTTGCTAAACACGATCCCGGGTTCCAAAATTGTCTAGTACGTCAGGATTTTGAGAAAAGTGGAGGTAAGGACTAAAAAAAATTTTTTTTTTCGATATCGGAGTGGTTTCTAATGTATTTTTGCTTGCTAAACACGATCCCGGGTTCCAAAATTGTCTAGTACGTCAGGATTTTGAGAAAAGTAGGGGGTAAGGACTAAAAAAAATTTTTTTTTTCTTTATTTTCGATATTGGGAGTGCTTTCCAATATATTTTTGCTCGCTAAACACTATCCGGGGTTTCAAAATTGTCTAGTACGTCAGGATTTTGAGAAAAGTGGGGGTAAGGAGCAAAAAAAATTTTTTTTTTCTTTATTTTCGATATTGGGAGTGCTTTCCAATATATTTTTGCTCGCTAAACACTATCCCGGGTTTCAAAATTGTCTAGTACGTCAGGATTTTAAGAAAAGTGGGGGTAAGGACCAAAAAAAAATTTTTTTTTCATTTTCGATATTGGGAGTGCTTTTCAATGTATTTTTGCTCCCTAAACACGATGCCAAGTTCCAAAATTGTCTATTATGTTAGGATTTTGAAAAAAAAGTGAGGGTAAAATCTAAAAAAAAGTGTTTTTGTAAAAAATTTTTTTTCTATCCCAAGAAAAGAAATATTCACAACTTTTTATTTTTATTATTTTACTACTACTACTACTACCACTACTATTTTACTTTTTTACTATTTTTTTTTCTTTTTTTGTTAGCATAAAATTGCTTAAAAATACCAATACTATTTTTGTTTCCAATTTCTGTGTCGTTGTAAAAAAATTTCAAACTATTGCATGTCTTGAAAAAGATCATTAATAATGAATTTTTCAATCACTTGTGAAATTATGAAAATCATTTGATGATTGAGAATAATTTTAAACTCGATCGTCTTTTCGTCGTTTTTAATAATGACGACGACGACGACAACGACAATGATCAAAGTCCCTTTGGAGACCAGTGACCAGTCACGGTCGCCAAAGGAAAGTGAATATAATTTTTTTCTCTTTCATCGCAGCTATAGATTAAAATCCATGCCGCGAGAAAGAGAGAGAGAGATATATATATAAAAAGATTGGAGACTGGAAACAGCACCATAATTACATTGACATTATTCAAATGAAAAAAAAAAAAGAAAAGTATCGTCATTTCCCAACTAGAAAATATCTTTAAATAATAATTATTTCCAATAATTACTCTTTTTAGAATTATTATTTTTTCTTTATAATCAATTTTCTAATTAATTAGAAAATTTAATGTTCAATAGATAAAAAAATTAAAAAACAACAAATTAAATAAAATTAATTTTAATTAAAATTATAATTAAATAAATTATTTAATTAAATATTATTATTATTAGTGTTAATAATTAATAACAGTTAATTAATACTTAATAAGAAATTGTTAAATAATTATATAGTTATAATTAATGAAAAATAATTAATTAAATAATTGGTACAATTAATTAATAATTATTAATTATTAAAAATTAATTAAATAAAACTTTAATTATTATTAAATAGTTATCTTTTGAAATTATTAATTTTTTTTAACTAAAAATTTAAAGAAAAAAAAATTTTTTTTTCAGTAAAATTGAAAATTAAAATTACTTACGTGAAAAAAAAAGTGAAGAAAATTGATTTATTATAATAAATATAATTATAATATTGAGGATTTTTTCAAAACGAGAATTATTTAATCTCTTCGAACACAGACACTGGTTCACTGTCAAAAGGACAGATATAAACTCTGTGTGAGGTTGATTATGTTTTACAAACGTGGGAAAAATTGAAATGTCTTTAAACTATTGCGCACGCGTATACATAACAACGTCGTGAACTTCAATATATATATATATCTATATACGTATACATATAATAATAATTTATAATTGACACAATAAAATGCGTTTATTGCCCCCGTCTTTATTGGCATTTTCATATTTATTTTCTATTCTTTTTTTTTTTTTATAAACGAAAATATATTTTTTTTCCTTTTCTATATTTTATAATTTATAAAATTTTTATTTACAAAAAAAAATTATTCCTTTCTAGCCAATTGCTTTTATATTTAATTAAGAAATTAAATTAATTAATAATATTGTTTAAATAAATAATTTATAATTAATTACTTTATTTATATTTAATTAATTATATTTTAAATAATAATAATAATAACAAAAAAAAATTTTATTTATAATTTAAATTTATAAATTTTGAAATAATGACCGAACACAAACATAACCTACAAAAATATTTTGGCGAGAATTTAAAAAATTTGACCAATCAAAATTCGATAAAGGAGAGAAATTAAAAAAAATTTTAAATGAATCATAAGTCGATTTTTTATCGATATATCGAAGCATAAATCAATTAATCGAATTTTATTTAACGATATGTCGAACCATAAATTGATAAATAGAATTTTTAATCGATATATCGAACCATAAATCGAATTTTATTTAACGATATGTCGAACCATAAATTGATAAATAGAATTTTTAATCGATATATCGAACCATAAATCTAATTTTTTTATCGGTATATCAAAGTATTAATCGATAAATCTGATTTTTTATTGATATATCGAAGCATAAATCGATAAATCGAATTTTTAATCGATATATCGAAGCATAAATCGATAAATCGAATTTTCTATCGATATATCGTACTATTAATCGATAAATATAATTTTAATCGATATATATAGAACAATATATCGAATTTTTAATCGATATATCGAACCATAAATCGAATTTTTTATGGATATATCGAACTATAAATCGATAAATCTAATTTTTTTATCGGTATATCGAAATATAAATCGATAAATCTGATTTTTTATCGATATATCGAAGCATAAATCGATAAATCGAATTTTTAATCGATATATCGAACCATAAATCGATAAATCGAATTTTTAATCGATATATCGAACCATAAATCGATTAATCGAATTTTTTTATCGATATATCGAACTATAAATCGAATTTTTGAATTTATATATCGAACCATAAATCGATAAATCGAATTTTTTATCGATTTATCGAATATTATTATATTAAATTAAATATTATATAAATACCAATTAAATAATATTAACAGTTAAAAAAAAAATAATTTATAGAATGCTTAATTTATAAGCGAATACTACAATGTCAACATTAAAAATAATCTAAATGCTCTTCAGTCGATAATAACAATTTGATTCATTCGAATTTAATCCGTTAGATGGAAGATAAGTTTCAATTTTAATTAAAAACAGGAAAAATTTTTGTTATTATTTTTTTTTATGTAAACATTTTGTTTTTTTTTTTAATATTATTTTAATTTTAGAAACAATAAAATAATTTTCATTCTTTTTTTTCTAAATTAAAAAAAAATATTTTTGTTAAAAATTAAAAATTTTATAATTCGAAACCTACTGTCTAAATTGAGTAAATTTTGAATGTTTTGATTTAATTAATTTTAAAATGAGAAAATTTAAATTTGACTAATACATATATATAAGAAGGTAAATAAAATTACAAAAAAAAAAAATTGTCAAATGTCTCTCAAATCTTAACCTTGACGTGGCTTTGAGGTTAAAAATTGTAAACAGTAAGGGCCGTAGGCTATATGATAATAATGTGACTTTACACTAAATTTATACATACAATATTTTTTCTTTCATTTAAATTTTACATTAATTACATATATTAATAAATTTTTATGCATTTTTTTTTAAATTTTGATGTATCGATAAATTAATTGATTCTACGATTAATCGACTCATATTTCGATATATCGATTTATACTTCGAGACATTTATTCTTCGATTAATTGATATTTCGACTTATACCTCGATATATCAATTGAGATTTCGATATATCGATTGAAACTTCGATATATCGATTCTATAATCGGTTATTATCGATTGTATCTTCGATATATCGATTTAATTATCAGTTTCTATCTATTGAAACTTCGATATATCGATTTAATTATTGATAGTAACCGATTATAGAATCGATATATCGAAGTTTTAATTGATATATCGAAATCTCAATAGATATATCGGTTAAAACTTTGATTTATCGATTGTAACTTCTATATATCGATTCAATTATCGATTGAAACCTCGATTTATCGATCGAAACTTCGATATATCGATTCAATTATCAATATATCGATTGAAACGTCGTTATATAGATTCAATTATCGATTGTGACTTTGATATATCGATTCAATTATCGATTAAAACCTCGATTTATCGATTGAAACTTCGATATATCGATTATTATCGATAATATCGATATTTCGACTTTTTTTTTAATGATAGAATATCGACAAAAACTTATCCTTAAAATTAAAAAAAAAAAAATTTAATCACAGTTTCGTAAATATTAAAAAAAAAAAAAAAATGAAAAAATAAAAATAGACTGAAACGTTTGAACGATTGGAAATAAATTATAACGAAGAAAAGCAACGTTTCAATTGTATAGATATTAAAAGGAATGTAATTATTTTTAAATTGTCGAAAGTTAATTTCTGAAAATGCGTAAATATAAAATGTATACAAAAAGCTTAAGGAATTAAATTACTGAAACGAAATGAGCATTTCTCACCTCAGGAGAAAGAAAATAGTGGGGTATGACCTGGAGTTGTCTCAAGTCCCTCCAAGTTTTATGATTTCTGTTTAGTCTTCAATCAGCTTTCGCGTTGATAGAGCGAGTTTTTTTTTATTTATATATATATTTAACTTTATAAAACTCGCTCTCCAGTTCATTCGCTAATTATATGAAAATAGTTCACTTAAATTTCCAAATTAATTTAAAAAAAAAAAATTTATATTTTTAATTTTTGAAAAAAACATTTTTTTTCTGTATTGTTTATTTTTTAATTGACACGTGTCATTTAAGTTTGTTTTTGTTGAAATAAAATTTTAAAAAAAAAAATAATAATTCATCAATTCCCTAATATTTTGCATTGCCAGAATAATTTAAAAATAAATAAAGGTCTTGTTTTATAAATAAATAAATTACTATAGAATAACAAATTTTAATTTTTTTTTTTAAATAAAATTTTTAAAAATTGAATCGATAATTTAAAATTAAAAATTCTATTTTGAAAAATCGATTCCACAAAAAAGTTAATAAAAAAAAAAAATGAATTTAAAATTCCAAAGTTAATTTAAATATTTAATTATAAAAAAAAATCTCATTTTTGCTAAAAAAAATGTATAATAAAAATTGTAATTAAAAAAATTTTTTTTTTAATTTAATAATTCAATTAGCAAAATTGAAAATTAAAAATAAACAATAATTTAAAAAGAAAAAAATTGAAGAATTGAAAATAAAAAATCGGAAAAGTTTTCCAAAATTACAAATTAAATAACAATGAAATTATTTAAAAATAATTAAATAATTCCATAAAAGTAATAAAAAAAAAATTCCAATGAAAACATTTTTTTTTTTTATAGTAAATAAAGAAAATTACAAAATATTGAAAAGTTAGTGTTCAGGAAACAAAAGTGAAAAAAAAGGAAAAAAATTCAAAGGTGACAGTAAATTGAAACCATGGCACCGTCATTAAAACTTGCGGACGATCAACGATTTGCTCTAATGAAGGTAAAATTATCTTTATTTATTGTTGACTCTGACCCATAGTTCAAGGTGGAAAAAAAATTATAGAAAGTTAAAATTTATTGTTTAATCAAAAAAAAAAAAAAAAAAAAAAAGAATTAAAAATATATTAAATAAATAAATTACTTCTCGTAATTTTTCAATGATTAAATTTTATAAAAATTATTTAATTAATATATAAAAAATTAATGCAAAATTTCGTAAATTACTATTTTCATTAATTGATTAATTCAATTAATTAATTACATTTTAATAATAATTTTAATATTAATATTTTAATAATTAATTTTAATATTAATATTTATTAACTAATTTTATAAAAATTAGATAATTAAATTAATTAAAATCTAAAAATGTAAATAATTAATGTAAAATTAATAATAAAAATATTTTGATAGGAATTTAACAAAAATAAATTCACTGATAATTCGCGATCTATAAATAAAAAAAAAAAATGATAAAAATAATTCGCTACTAATTTATTAAAATAATTCCCTAATGATTCATGATAATAATTTTAATATTATTTCTAAAAAAATTTTCTAATTACTAAATTAGAAAAATATTTATAATTAACAAAATTAAAAAAAAAAAAAATGATTAAAAATATTTGAAAAATATAATTACAATTTATTTAATTAATTTTATTACTAATAAATTATTTAAAAAAATAATAATTATAAAAATTAAAATTGAAAAAAAATATTCAATAGAAAATTAAAATTAAAAAAAAAATAATAAAATAGAGAATTAAAAAATATTAATTAATTATTTAATTAATATGCAGAAATAATCATAAATTATAATTATAATTAATTAAAAATAGCTCAAAAATACCGTTAAATTTACAAAGAGAAAAAAAATGTAAATATATCTCAAAAAAAAAAAAATGGAAAACAAAAAATCGTCTACTCGAGGATTTGAAAAATAAATAATAAAAAAAAATGCAAATTAAATAAATGAACAGAAAAAAAAATTACATTAAGACGTTCGAAAGCAAATCGTTTCAGGTTGTTAGCCTTATACGCATTAACCTGGAAGAATTCCAATGAGGTCGAGATCGTATATCGTGATTGAAAATTTAAAAAAATTATTCCCTTTTTTTTAAAAACATATAATCATTTAAAACACGATTTAAAAAAAAAATATTAAATTTTTTTCAATTTCCTTAAAAAGAAAAAAAATTCAAAAAAAAAAAATTCAAAAAAAAAAATAAATAAACAAAAAAAAATTTAACGGACAATTTTTTTTTGTTTATTTTAAATTATAAAAAGAGGTTAATTCACGCGCAAAGCATTGATGATGATCATCGTCGTGTAGCAAGTTCTACTTTCTCAGAGAGAGAAAGAAGAATGCATTGAAAGGAATTAACTTTCAATAATAAAAAAAAATCAAGGATCATCATTATTTATAAATAAATTTATTTTTTTATAAATTTATTTTTTTTTATAAATTATTATTATTATTATTATTATTATTATTTATTCTTGTATACATAGTGTTTATATTTTCAAATCCCTTACATAATAAATTACAAATAAAGTAATAAAATTTTAATAGATGTATAATTTTTTTTAATAATTTTTTTTTATTTAAACAAAAAAAAATTTATTTACAAAAATTTATCAAAATTTTTTTTTCGAAAACGGTTAATAAAAAAAAAAAAATTCAAAAATTAATTTTCCCGAATTATTATTTTATTAATTAACAAAATAATTAGTAATTAATTTTTTTTAATTCTCAAAAAAAAAAAATTCCGACAATTTGAAAATTTTTTTTAGAATGCAAAAAAAAAAAAGAGAAAAAAATACAAAAATATTTCATTTTGCAATATTTGTTTGTTAAATTTCCGATTTATATCACGTGCACGAAAAAAAATGTGTTGTGTGACCCACATTTGATGATGTAATGAATTGCAACTTGTGGCTAAAGTTGTTCAACTTTATATATCGTTAAAAATTATATATTTGCAATAATAGCTCGAGTGCCAGAAATTTTTTTTTTTTATTTTAATTAATTAGAAAACAAAAATCTAGCGATAGATTTAAGCGGAAAATAAAAAAAAAATCAAACAAAATAAGAAAAATTTATAAAAAATTTAATTTATTATTTATTATTATTTAAATAAATAATAAATAAATCATTTAAAATAATAATAATAATATAATATTATAAATTATTATTATTAATTTTAATTTTTAAAAAAATTATTTTAAAAAATAGAAAATAACGTTTTTTTTTGTTTTAAATATTATTATAAAAATAGATTTTTAATTATTTAATTTCATGAAAATATATGGAAATAAAAATTTATAATTTTCATTGACGTGTTTCTTGGAGAAAACAATTTAACGCTACATTAACTTTTCGTTTGTGATTATTTTAATTCGCACTCAAAATGCAATTTCCCTCAATTAATGCACACGACTCAATAAATAAAGGGATCGTGTTCCCCTCTTAAACTTTCAGTCAGCATCCAGTTGAGATTTAAAAAGTGTTCGTTAAAAACAAAAATTATTTTTTATTACATTTTTTATATAAATAAATAAAGAAAAAAAAAATTCTACTTTAAATTTTTCGAAATAAAAAATTTTTTAGTTACAAATATTTTTTAAATTAAATAAATAAATAAAAATAATTAAATAATTATAAGTAAAGAAAAAAAAAAAGTATTTTGATAATTAAAGTTTAATTTATTTTTTTCTGCTTCAAAAAAGAGAAAATTATTTTCGTTATGGGATATATCAGTGTTTTGTTAAAAAAGGTAAAAAAAAATATTTTATTCTTTAAAATCAAAAAATATTTATTTAGTAATTATTTATTTATTTTTTTATCTATACTTTTAAATAAAGAAAAAAAAATGGAAATTAAAATAAAAGGAAAAATAGAAAAAAAAAATAAAATAGAGATAAGAAATATAATAGAAAATTATAAAGTTTTTGCAAAAAAAAAAAAAAATAAATAAACAAAATCAATTACGTTCTTTAAAAAAAAACGCAAGTCACGTTTTCGATTATTGACTTAACGTGAATTTACTTTTAAAAGAAATATTCGATGACAGTCATTTCTTGTTTCTTCATTAATATGCAAAAAGAGAAACCGTCTATAACAATTGAAAAATAAATATTTTTTCCAAATTACAGGAAATTATTTTCCATAAACAATTATAATATTGAAGATTTTTATTTTTAAAAAACACAAGAGAGAAAAATAAAAAATTTGCAAAATGAAAAACAAAAAAAAGAGAGAGAAAGAGACTATATTATAAATAAATAAATGAGAAATTTTTTTTTTTATTTAAAAAAAAAGGTTTTTACATTAAAAAGGAATTAAAAATATCTCATTTAAATAAATCTAAATTTAAAAATAACGAATTTTTTTTTTTTTTAAGAAGTAAAAAAACACTCAACATTCAAAGGGATTATTTAATTAACGAAAAGATTTAGTATTTAATATTATTTTTAGAAAATTAAAAAAAAATTTTATAGTTACTTTTTTTACGAAAAAATAATTTATAATAATTAATTAAAATAATGGTAATAATTAAAAAATTTTATATTTATTAATCAATTTATATAATAATAATAATAATAATAATAATAATAATAAATAATAATAAAAATACTAGTTGTTGAAAAAAATTTAATAATAATATTTAAAATAATTGAAATAATAAATTCGAAAAAAAGAAAAAAAAAAAAAGGTTATTAGGGCAATTGTTATAAATTTAATGATAAGAATTTATTGATCTCAATATTTTTAATGAACCAATTTTTTTTTTTACTCTCCAAGTTCAAAATAATAAATCTCATCCTATATACAATATATCGCAAGGAACATCTGGAATCTTGAAAAACTGGTTATCAAAACAATATTCAGAAAAACTCGATGACCTTATACATTATAATAATAATATATAAATATACTATAAATTGTATTTTTTTCAAATTTTCAAAACAAACCATTAAATATATATAATATCCGGGAATTGTATAAAAATAATATTCTATGATACGTATTCGATTAGCATAAAGAAAAAAAAAAAATGTTATTTTTACTTATATGTACCAGATTTTCAAAATGTTCTTAATTTAAATTAACTCTTTTTTTTATCGATTAATCGATAATTGCAATTTAATCGATTGTGAACTTTACGATTAATCGATTAAAAAAATTGATTTTTTTTCGATTAATCGATATTTTCAATTAATCGATTGTAAGGTCTACAATTTACAATCGATTAATTGCAAAGTTCGATTAATCGAAAAAAAAATCAAATTTTAAAATCGATTAATCGTAGAGTTCACAATCGATTAATTGCAAAAATCGATTAATCGATTGAAAACATTTGCAATTAATCAATTGTGAACTCTACGATTAATCGATCTTTGCAATTAATCGATTGAAAATTCGTCGATTAATCGACTAATTGTAGATCTTTCAATCGTTTTATCGATCTTTACAATCAATCAATTGTAAATTCGACAATTAATCGACTTTAAAGTTCGATTAATCGAAAAAATCAATTTTAAATCGATTAATCGTAGAGTTCACAATCGATTAATTGCAAAAATCGATTAATCGATTGAAAACATCTACAATTAATCACTTGTGAACTCTACGATTAATCAATCTTTGCAATTAATCGATTAAATATTCGTCGATTAATCGACTAATTGTAGATCTTTCAATCGATTAATCGAAAAAATCGATTAATTTTAAATGTTTCTTATCGATTAATCGATCTTTGCAATCAATCAATTGTAAATTCTAAATTCGACAATTAATCGACTTTAAAGTTCGATTAATCGAAAAAATAAATTTTAAATCGATTAATCGTAGAGTTCACAATCGATTAATTGCAAATATCGATTAATTGTAGATGTTTTCAATCGATTAATCGATTTTTGCAAACAATCGACTTTAAATCGATTAATCGCAAATAGTATTATCGATTTAATATCGATTAAACGTTAATCTAACAAAATGACAATTAATCGAAAAAATTTTCTAGTCAAATTTAAAATCGATTAAGCGAATTAAACGTAAGAAATATAAATTAATTAGTCATTTGATATTACAAATCGCGGCGATATATATATATATATATATTTATCATTTGGTCCTGAGATAAGATTTCATAATTTCTTATTAAGTTTTAGAGAAAGTTTAAATCATTCGCTCCAATTGTTCGCACGAGATTGTACACGAAGGGGGCAATAACAAAAAATTGCAACAATCTTAGAAAGTTGATTTGCAACAATTTTTTTGCGATCAGATTACAAAAACAAAAATACATATATATATATATATATATACATGAAAAAACAAACGTAAATTATTATATCAACTCTCTGTAAATATTTAAAAATCATTTTACAAATAAATAAATAAATAAAATGAAAAATAAACATAAAAATATAATAATAAAAAAATTTAATACCTAAGAAAACAATTTTTCCTGATATTCATTCCAATTCATGGTAATTTTATTTCAATTTCGCTCTCCCGAGGTAACATCATCAATATTCTTACTCGAGATAATTTCTTTCGCGGTAAACACACAGTTATACATCTATAATAGAAGAAATTGCTTTTAGATTCAAACAAGCTGCGCATTTACTGCGACTTTCCATCAATTTACTTTCAAATTTTTTTTTTTTTTTTTTTTCGTTTTCTTTTTTTATCTTTTCATTATAAAGGAGATAAATTGCATTTCGTTGATTTTTCCATATGTATTATGTTCACTAATTGCTTCCTATTTTTTATTTTAAATAATATACTCGATATTTTGTTGCAAATGAAAAGAAAAAAAAAAAAAATTCCTTGTAATAATAGATTTGAAACTCTCAAGAATTCGATATAAAAAAAATCGATTTAAATATGAAATTTTAAAAAAAACTTAAATCCGCTTAATATTAAAAAAGTTTTTTAATAAAAAAAAACATAGTTATGAACATTTATAATTATATACTAATTTGCAATTATAATAAATTTAGAAATTAAAATTCATTTTTTAATATTTGTAAATTTAAATATTAATTTAACTAAAATAAAAAATGAAAACAAAAACTGGAACTAAAAAGGAAATGAAATTAAAATTTCAGATTGAAAATTTTTTTTGTTAACTTAATTATACGCTAAAATTTAAATAAAAAAAAAAAAATTGAAAAAATCAACGCGTAGAAGATGCGAATTAGATATTCCGTTAAACCAAAAAATGTCAAATAATAATACTAATTTGAGTATAAATTTAAAAAAAAAAAAATTAATTAAAACTATAATTAATATCAAAAAATGTTTAATAATTTCAAAAAATTATTTTAATTTAAAAATGCCCTTGAATAGAAAAATAATTATTTCTAAATCGGACAATATTTACAATTATAATATTTATTATTACGACATATATATATATATATACATATACATATATGGACTTGCGCGAAAACTAATCTAACGGAAATTACAACTCTTTTGACATAATTCACTTCCTTTCTTCATAAATTTGCGTGCAAGAATATATAAGGAAAAACTATTTTTATTCGGTCAAGGTGTACAGTTAAAATACATATATTTATCTGCACGAAATTTTGAAAAATTCTTTCTTTAAAATGTTTACATTTAAAAACTATTGCATTTTTTTTTTTTATAAACAAAACAGAAATTAAAAAGAAATAATTTATTTAAAAAAAAAATAATAACTATTTAGTATCAAATTAAATGATTCCATTGTTTTTTAAATAAATTAATAAACAAACAATATAAATTTTTTTTTCAGTTTAGAAGAAGCGTACAAGATTGTTTAAAGCCCGAACATGACGATCAATTTTTATTGAGATGGTTGAGAGGTAATTGAAAAAAAAAAAATTAAATAAAATAAAAAAATAAAAATTTGACAAAAATAAATATTTATTTGTAGCAAGAAAATGGGATGCAGCAGCGGCGGAAAAAATGCTTCGCGATGTGAGTATTATAATTTTTTTTTTTAAATATTAACAGCATAACAAAATTTTTACGCAAATTCTTTAACGGAATTATTAAATAGCGGGGCACTTTATAAGAAAATGTCAGGTCAAAAGTGGTTGCATTATGATAATTTCTATCAATTTAAAAATAATTATATACAGAGAGAGAGAGAGAGAAAGAGAGAGATAACACTCATTATAAATGACAAAAAAAAGAAGAAAATGATAAATAGGAATTTTTTTTAAATTCAAATATAAATTTTTTTTAAAAATTTAAGTCTATGGAGTGGCGGAAACAATGGGACGCAGATAATTTGGAAAATTGGGACCATCCATTATTTAATGTTTATCTTCCTCATGGAGTGTGTGGATATGACAAAGACGGAGCTCCAGGTTCAATTTTATTTTTATTTAAAAAATTTAAAATTAATTAATAAATAAAAAAATTTAATAGCAAGCAAAAGAAATTTATAAATTTTGTAAGTTATTAGGCTAAATATTTCCTCTTAATATGATTTATTTTACGTTTTTTTTTTATAACGACGTTTCGGCAGCTACCGCTACCCTTATCAAGTTATATTAAAATATTACTGGAAAATTTTTTTTAACATTATAAAAATGAATAAATATATATAATTTGTCAATAATTATTTTCTAACATCAAAATGAAGCAATTAAATATTGTATTTATATTTCAGTGATTTTATTTTGTAAATTTAAAAATATTTTTGAGGTTATCTCATTTTGAGGTTAGTCATTGTTTTAATTTAAATGAAAATAATGTTCCTCCGCATTATTTTTTATTGTAAACTTATCTTACTCTCGATTTAAATCCCGAAGAATAATTATTAATAAAGGATTAATAAATTTAACTCCTCAATTAAGATTATTTTGATTTTTATTATGTATTTTTAATATAGCTGCCCCTCCTTCTCTTAATCTTTTTAGAGAAATTTTATTAATTAATAGAATTTTAAAATTCAGAATTTCATTTAATACCCTTTTTAATAATTATTAGAATAACAAGTGTAATTTATTCAATATTCTTTTTTAGAAACACCCAACAAAAAGTATATTAGAGGTTCAGAGGTAGTGTTGATACTTCAGATTACGATATTATCATATTAATTTATATTCGTTCATGTAGTGTTGGTATTTCAGATTACTATATGTTCATGTCAATTTACATTATTTAAAACTAGCGCCTCTGACGGCCGTCTTCGTTGCTTCTGTTCAATTTTCATTTTATTTATTTCATTTAAAAAAAATGATTTAATTTCTTCTTTTTTTTATTTCATATCGATTCAAAATGTAAAGAAAAAATTTATGAATGTGAAATAAGAGAGAGAGAGAGAGAGTGATTTACGCTATAATCTCTCTAGCGCTAATCATTTTCAAAAAAATTTCTTTGATAACAATATTTTTCACTACCTACAGTTGTAATTATGTTAATTTTTTTTTTTTTTATAAATTATTTATTAATAACAAAGGAAAATAATATATTATATTATTTAAATGTTATATTAAAATGAATTACATATTTTAAAATCATCGCGCGCTAATTATTGCTACCAATTAGATGGCTTTAACTGAATAGGTTATGTTCATTTCCACAACGTAACAACCACGAAGTAGTATAAGGAGACCCCACTTCCTTTTAAAACATTTAGTCGATTTTCCAATTCTCTTTCGAAATGTTATATTAGCGATACTAGCGAAGTTTTATTTTTTTTATTTATTACAAAACAGATATGAAATATATATCACACTTGTTGCAGGTTGGTGATAATATATAAATCTACACAAGAAAGTGTATTTTATAATAACAAAAGCCTTATAATAATCCTTAAATTATTTTCCATTTATCTTGTAACACTAACAACTTTTATCTTTCTTTTTTATCAGTGACCCATCACAAAACTTTAGAATATTAAAAACACGATTATTAATAAATACTTGGAAAACTACAACTGTCAATTTAAAAGGACATAATGCAGTCAGCCATTTGCAATTTCCAGTGGTTGCGGCGCTTTTCTTTGAAGACTGCGCTAGTATCGCTAATATAACATATTGAAAAAGAATTGGAAAACCGACTACATGTTTTTTTTTTAATTCGCTTATAGAGTGGGGTCTTCTTATACTACTTCGTGGTAACAGCTATTCTCTAATCTAAAAGAATAATAAAAAAACGTTAAAGGAGATTCGAAATTTATTTCCGCTTTGTGTAAAATAGTGTAATGATTAATTTTTTGTATGCAATTTAAACATTTTCAAAGTTTGTGTTTTTGATAAATATAAGATTTATAATATGTGTAATATAAAATTTAAATATTACCGCTTATTTTTGACGAAATCAACATTAGCTCCACCTGTACATTTCTAATCTAGAGATATGTTTCGCCCTTCTATTAAGATTTTACATTTCCCATGCTTTTAATTAAAAGTTCGATTTTTTCGAGAGTTTTCGATATATTCGACCTTTTTATGTCATGTATTTTTTTAGAAAAGGAAAATTTTAGATATTTAAAAAACCTTAATAGATGTTACTTAATTTTTCTATGTCAGTTTTAAAGTTTATTGAATGTTTATCTTTAGAAATATATAAACCATTTTAATAAACTTTCTTTTAAAAATAATTTTCCTCAGTGTTCAGAATTGATATTTTATTAAAAATCAAAATTGTGATTATTTTCTGTGGCATGTTGAGCTAATGTTGTATTTGATTTTTTATATTGGAAAATTTTATTTTGGAAAACCATTTTTTATTAAAAAAAAAAAAAGTAGCGGTAGCTGCCGAAGCGTCGTTATAAAAAAAAATAACGTAAAATAAATCATATTAAGAGGAAATATTTGGCCTAATAACTTATAAAATTTATTTATAAAATAAAAATTGTTTCGTTTTTTTTTTGCAGTGGTGATAGTACCTTTCGCTGGACTCGACATGTATGGAATACTGCACGTGGTCTCAAAAAAAGAAATGGTTAAAATAACGGTAAAACATTTGGAGTGCTATTTAAAAATTTGCAACGAACAAGCAAAAAAACATGGCCCTATCGCTGGACAAATAACAATTATTTTTGACATGGAGGGTTTTAATCTTCGTCAATATATGTGGCGACCGGGTAAAAAATTCTTTCTATAAGAAAAAAAAAAAAAAAATTCTTCATCTTTCTTCACCGTTAAAAAAAAAAATACTTTTACAGCTGGAGAAGTTGTTTTAGCCCTAATTCAAATGTACGAGTCAAATTATCCGGAAATTTTGAAAACATGTTTCATTATAAACGGTGAGTTTTTTTTTTTTGAGTAATAAAAACAATTTTTACTAATTTTGAAAAAAAGAAAGAAGTGAGAATAAAAAATTTTCGTAAAAAAAAAAGTTATTTCTTTCAGCACCGAAAGTATTCACATTTGCCTTCTCTATTGCAAAAAGATTCATGAACGAGTACACACTTTCGAAAATTCAAATTATCAAAGCCGATCCAAATAAATGGAAACCGGCTATCCTTCAACTCGTAAACGCTGATCAACTTCCTATGCACTTTGGCGGAACACTCACGGATCCTGATGGAAATCCACGACTAACGACAAAAGTAAATTACATATATTCTTTTAAATTAGGATTAAAAAAAAGAAATTGTTTTCTTAAATTCAATTTTTAAGAGTACAAAAAAAATTTACTTAAACAATTTCTCTTTAAATTTTATTTTTACAAAATTCTTAAAACGCCGAATTTTTATTTATCCAAAAATTGCAAATTTAAGCCACTTTGAAACTATATATACTTTAAATCTACATTAAAAAAAAAAAAAAAAATTTCAGATTTCTCAAGGAGGCAAAGTACCGAAAAGTATGTACATTAATAAAAACGAAAAGGAAAAACAAAACGATTTTACAACTGCCACGGTGAAGAAAGGTGAAAAATTAAAACTAGAATTACCCGTGAACGAAAGTGGCTCAATTTTAAGGTTATTGAAAAAAAATAAATAAATAAAAATATTTTTTTTTTATAGAAAATAAAAAAAAAATTTGTAATATGAAATGTTTTTTTTGTTAATAGTTGGGAATTTCGTACCGAGGATCATGATATTAAATTTGGAATATTAAGAAAAACGGAAGAGGGAGGGAAAATGGAAATTATTCCAATTCATCGAGTTTCGGCACATCAAATGGATGAAATTGGCGTTGTTACATGCGAGGGCTCGAGTACATGTAATTATAATATTTTTATTTTTATTCTTTCTAGCTCTCAATTCGAATCAGATCATTCATATATACTATTGAGTCAGTGTGCAATGAAATTCAAATTGAATTTAAATTTACTTAAGGTACGTTTCAATTGGTTCCTTCGCCCAAATGCATGAGTTGCCAATTAAACGCTACTGCGCTTGCGCTACGACAACTCTGGGTGTTTTCGACGTCGACGCTCTGAGTGTTCTGAAAGTGTTAAGTGGTTCTCAACCAATTATGATTAGCCATAACTTATTATGATTGGCTAAAGCATGCTAAAAGTGACATGTTTGTGATACGGGCTGCAGTTTTAGGTGATGTGCACAAAAAAGGGTGTGTTATTTGCATGCTTTATTTGAAATTGGATGCGTTCGGGCTGTGCTCGTGCTCTGGTTTCTCAATCTTGTTTAATAAACCGAGCGTGTTTTCTGAGTGCGAAAGTAAATAACGGAAAATTTTCAAAAATGGCAAATTTAAACCCTGAAGTCAATTACGTTAACGCTATAGGAATTGTACAAAATCTTGTTAAAATATAAATATTACATTAAAATTAATATTTACTCGTATCAACGTTCATTACGTCGCATGAAATGCGACCATTATTCTTGAATAATGTTTTATTGTTCTTTAAAACTAAATCATTTAAAATTATTCTTTCCTCCATGATGCAACAGCGTGGTCTTCACCGGTCTTGAAAGCGTAGTGAGAAGATTGCATTGGATTAGGTTAGGTTAAATTAGGTTAAATACACTAAAATAATAAAATGTGGTTGAGAACCTTTTCGAGCTCTCAGAGTGTCAACGTCGAAAACACCCTCTCTTATAGGTCGAAAAAAGCGCGCTTATATAAAATGCTTAATAATAAGAAAACGTTAATAAAGCAATATAAAAATATTTTCACTATTGGATTTATTTATTTTTTTTTTTTGTTAATTATATTGCTTCCTAATAAAAAAATATTAATTTACTTAATGTACTTAAGTATGTAAAAATAATAATAATAATAGGATATTAATAATTTTATTATATTTATATTATTATTGTTATTATTTATTTATAAAATATATAATCTATTATTATTATCAATTTAATATTTATTAATTAATTAATTAATAAATATTATATTGATAATAGTAATAATAGATTATAAATATTTTATTTAAAAAATAATTACAATAATGATAAAGATATAATAAAATTATTATTATTATTATTATTTTATGAACGTTCCCTTTCAGCCTGTATATCTCATTCAATTTTCATCGGATCATCTTAAAATTTTGTAGACATATTTCTGACAACATATACTTTAAGAAAATGCAAAAAAAAATCGATTTTTTGAAAGTTACAACTGCGAATTCCCCCTTTTTTTTGCTTAGGGACTTTTGGGAAATCTGTATACAGATACCTTGGCTTCCACATGCCAAGGTTATGTGGGGTTGGTAAAAAAAAAGGAGAACACTAAACAAAATAAGCTGACCAACTACTACCAGCCCCCTTAAAGGTTTCTATGCCCCCCTCCTTTTATAGTACTTCAAAAAGTGACCAAAAAAGACATTTTTCGAACCCTTTAAACCCCCATTTTGAGGAAACTGAACAAATTAAAAATTTGTTTTTTTTTGTATTTTCTTGTTCATTGACACCCCCAAATATTCATTAAACACAGGAATTTTGCAATAAACACAACATGACCATTTTTTTTTTTTTTTTTGTTAGAATACAACTCCACCAAATTTGAAATTAATTTACTATTTTCTTCTTTCAGATTCATTCGTTTTCGACAATTCATACAGTTTGTTGAGAAACAAAAAAATTCATTATTCCGTACGAGTTTTGCCTCCAACGAACGTTTTGGAAGAAGTGAAAAAGTGAAAAGAAAAAAAATTATTTTCTATTTTCTTATCCCATGTGCAATTTGTAAATAATTTATTATAAGCGAATGAAAACGAAACAAAAAAAAAGCAACAAAATTATCAATGAGAAATAAGCCAAAAAAAAAATTTGTAGAATTTTTTTTTTTATTTACTATATGAATATTATTTTTTAAGGAATATTAAAAAAAAGCAAGTCATTGAAAATAAAAATCGTTTTTTTTTTTTTTTAAATTTCATTAATTACATAAATACAATTTATTAATTTAATCCTCCTCGTCGGTGATTAACATTTCCAAAAGTTCATTTTTCGAACAATCATCGCCCTCGAGACGTTTTTGTGTTCCCCATCTTGATAATGTTGGCAAAACATTTAATTTTGTCTTTGTGTCCGTTCGAAATGGACATTTATTGTCCTTCCAACTAAAATATTTATATTTATTATTTATTTATTAAAGACCAAAAAAAAAAAAGAAATGTTTAATTGAAAATAAAAAATTTTTTCTTTACCGAAATAACAATTATTTAAAATTAATAATAATAATTGAAAATAGATTTATAAATAATAAATTTCGAAATGTTAAAAAATCATTAAAAATAGATAATAATTTAAAAAAGAATTTATAAATAAAATAATTAACAAAATATTTAATGAAATAATTAATAAACAATTGGAAATAATTATTAAAAAAATAAATAAATTATAAAATAAATAATTTAATTAGTTACTGCCAATTAAAATAAATATAAAGAATAAATAAATAATAAATATTTGGAAAAAATATTTTATTATTATAAATAATAGCTGTGAAATAAAATTATAATTATAAACAATAATATAAAAAAACTATTAATAAATAATAAATAAATATTAATAACAATCAAATTAACAATAAAATAAGAAATAAATAAGATTATTTTAATAATTTTTCCTCACAAAAAAGAAGTATTTTTTTTTTTATAAAAATTAATTATATATTAAAATTTTTTTTTAATTAGTTAATAATATATTTTATAAAAAATATAAATGAAAATAAATAAATTTTGATTTAAAAAAAAATTGAATTTTAATTTAATTAATTTTACTTTAATTTAAAATAAATTTAATTTAAATAAAATTAATTAAAATTTATTTTAAATTAAAGCAAAATTAATTAAATGAAAATTATTTTTTTTAAATTAAATTAATTATATTTAAAATCTTTGGTACAAATAAAAAAAAGTAATTTTAATTCAACTTATTTTAAATTAAATTTAAATTAAATTTATTTAAATTTAATTAATTTTGATTAAATTAAATTTATTTTATCATTAAATTGAAATTGATTATATTTAAAAAGTAATTTTAATTAAATTTATTTTTTTTAATTCAAATTATTTTCAATTTAATTAAAAATAAATTTAATGAAAATTAATTTTTTAAATATAATTAATTTCAATTGAATGATAAAATAAATTTAATTTAATTAAAATTAATTATTTAACAAATTTTTTAAAATAAAATAAAATTTTTTTAAATGAAATAAAATTTTTTTAAATAAAATTTTTTTAAATAAAATAAAATTTTTTTAAATGAAATAAAATTTTTTCAAATAAAATAAAATTTTTTCAAATAAAATTAAATTTTATAAAATAAAAAATTTACCCAATGTTTATAAACAATAAAACCTGAAAAAAACAACTTACAAAGGTCGATCACCGACTTCGACATAGACAAAATGCGAATCTTTGGGAGCGGATTGAATTCCTTTCTCGATATGTGGCATTGCTGAGAAATAAAATAATAATAATAATAATTTTGATAAAACACTTCAATTTTTTTTTGTTATCAATTCGTATCGAAAAAAAAAATTCATATATACAGATAACGTAATAAAAATCGCGGAATAATTGATAATTATTTTTTTAGGTTATGTAGATCGAGAAACACATTTTTTTCATAATATATATATATATATATATTTATTTTTAATTATAATTAAATTTTAAATTAAAATAATAATTACCTTCCACACAATCAGGACACCAACTATCACCATTTGGTAATTTACTTCCACTATATAAAATATAAACAACATCGGGTTCTTTAAATTTTTTCATATAATTAACAAATTCCTCATAACCTTCGATATGATGTCGATTCACCATTTTTGATGACGATATTTTTGCGGATTTCGATAAATTTCTAATTAAATTAACGCTTCTATGAAGCATTAATTGTGACTGATTTTTTTTTAATCACAAAATTTCTCCTACAATTTTGTTTCAATTAACGTCGACTGTACCGAATTTGACGTTTTATATACTTAGGCACGAAAAAATTTGTTTACCGATAAGCAATGTTTCCAGTGTTGCCAAATTGTCGAAAAAAAAGGAAAACGTATTTTTGCCTTTTATTTTTTTAATATATTTTGTTTTAACCATTTTTTTTTTTGAATTTCTTTTTACTTTTTTAACAAATTGATAGGAAAAATATTTACATCGAAAAAAAAAAAAATTATTTCTAGGTTATGTTTCACGTGATATTTTTGAAAAAAAAATATTTCGCATAAAATAATTTTTATATTAATTTAACAATTGTTTGTTATAAATAATGATAAAAAATTGATATTTTATACTGATAGTAAATAAAAAAAACTTACTTGTTAATGATGAGAGATGAGAAAAACGAAAAATTGTCATTTGAATTTTAAGAAAATTTTACATGATCCTTTATTTTTTGTTTCACTGCACTTTTCACTTTATTTATTAAATTTTCACAATTTTTAAAGAAATTCTATTAAAAAAACACTTGTATTTAATCGGCATTTTAAATAATTAGAGAAATCAGTCTGACTTTGACAGACAAATGTTGTGATACCAACACATTTTTGCGACGTTGCCAAAATGGTGGTTTTAAAAAATTTTTTTTTTTTTCCTTTTTAACTGAAAATACTATTTTAATTTAATTTCTATTAGAGAATAGTAAATAATATTCCTAATTTGATTAAAAATATTGTGAGATTGTATATATTTAAACGATTTAATTTAATTATATCGAAAATTTAGATTATTGTCGTTAACAGAGTTGGGAAGTTAAGCGAATAAAAAAAAGAGTTCAAAATGTCCGTTAAAACATTTCATTTGCCATTTCACTGAAATATTAAATAATCGATTAAATTTAATATTAACTGTATATTAAATTCTTATTTGATTAAAATATTTTACAATTATATTACGAAATTCAAATTTTGTGAAATAAAACAAAATTGTGGAGTTATTCACAATTGGCACGTTTCACTATAAGGTTATTCAAGTTGGGTGGGGGAAAGCCAAAATGGATGCTTGCTGGTGCACAAACATCCGGCCTATCAGCCAATCAGCATTCACTCCCATGTGAAATTCACGGTACTTTCACATGGGAATGAATGCCGATTGGCTGATAGACCGGATGTTTGTGCACCAGCAAGCATTCATCTTGGTTTTCCCCCACCCAACTTGGATAACCTTATAGAGGGCAACTGCTGCCAACTGCATTCGTTGTGTTTTGCGTTAAAGGTACATTCACACTTTCTTTCGAAAAATGATTTTTTTCTTTTACTACCACAACCTGCTCTAGTGAAAATTTAGTAACTTTATAGTAATTTTTAATTTTAACAATAAAAGCTTGAGCAGAATAAAAACGTAACCGGAATCATAATTGCAAACGCAACCAAAAGAATGAGTTAGAAATGGATAGGCATTGTTTATCCTTCTCTAACTCATTATTCCGGTTACGTTTCTATTCTACGTTGGCCTTAAAGGCCTATGCACAATAGAAACGTAACCGAAATCGTAATTACAATCGCAAACGGAAGAATTAGTAAGAGAAGAACAATAATATATGACTATCCTTCTCTAACACATTCTTTCGTTTACGGTTACGTTTCTATTCTGCTCAGGTCTTTAAAGTTATTAAATTTTTACTAGAGCAGAGTGCGGTAGTTGACGAGAATTATGATAAATGGCGGCGAGTGGGAACAATGGAAACGAACCTTTTAGTTTTCGGAAATTATAAGGGTACGTTCACAGCTTGGTTGCTTTATACCATTTGTTTTTTGGCGAGCGATGTATTTTCACGTAGAATCACTCAATTTGATTGGCTCTGACAAAAAATTCAATTTTCACGATGAAAATAGAATATTTGTCAGAGCCAATCAAATTCAGTGATTCTCCGTGAAAATGCGTCGCTCGTCAAAAACCAAATAGATTGGCACCTTAAGAATAATGGTACACTCACACCTTTCTATCTCCCTACAGCTTATCATGGTAACCTGCAGGCAGATAGAAAGGTGTGAGAGCGCCTTAAAATGAGCATGTTTTCAAAAGTTTCCCCCACCCATCTCGAATTACATAAAGGCGCTTGCACACCTCCATTTCTGTATGTCAAAGTTTTGACCAATTTTGATTTGGCTCTCTTTGAAATTTTTCATTACAAAGCCAATCAAAATTAGTAAAAAAAACTCATACTCAGAAACGGAGGTGTTAATGAAAAAAAAATAAAGGTGTGTAAATACCTTTACTATTCATTGTGGTATCAACCTAACATCATGGTTTCCCCTCCGTGCACATCCCCCACCATGGTAAATACACAATAGAACTTCATACACACATAAAAATTCCATTATTTCCATTGGACAATTCCCTTCGTTCAACACAAATTCTCCTTCTGTGATTGGTTTAAAAACTACATCCCCTCTTTTTAATACATACACCAACAAAAAATAAATATATATATATTGCAAAATCATCAGCAGAAGGTTTTTCCCAAATACTAAACTATACCCATTTTATATCAGTATTGTATATCGTGTCATTGGTATATATATATATAGTCAAAAAAAAAAAAAAAATTAGAAAAATACATAAAAATATCCAAATCCCAGTGTTTATTTTTTTCGTAACATTAAAAAAATGTATATTAAATCAGTAACAAAAAAGTATATTTAAATTTTGTGTTTTTTTAAAAGCTTTTTTTTTCCTTTTTATTCAAAATCGATTGAGAAAAAGACCCCGTTTTTGTAAATATATATATATATAGTGTGTGTGTGTGTGTGTATTATAAATCTACCAAGCCACGAGGAAGAGAGGCCAGGTGTTTCAACATTCTCTTCGATACTCTCATTTACCACGATTTATATTAAAAAAGAAGAAAAACATTTTCAAATGTCAAGTGTTGGTGTTTATTATTTTAAATATCAGACTGGATTTTTAAAAAAAGCCTCGGTATCAATAAAATAAAAAAAAAAAAAAAACTCCTTTTTTTTTGGTGTTATCTCGACAGATTTGACATTTTTGAGGTTTAATCTCCATCTCTCTCCTCTTTCTCTCTCTCTCTCTCTCTCTCTCGCTTGCGTTTTCCTGTGTGACCACTCCTGGAGCTCGTAAATATTTGTGTGTTTTTTTTTTTTTAAACAATAATTGTTTTCCCATTTTTTTTTGTTTTGGAGGTTATTTTAATTTTTTTTTTATTTTTTCTTTTTTTTGTTTTTTTCTTAAATCACCTATATAAAACCAAAGTGCGTGAATTAAAAATAAATACATCGCGAGCGCGCGTCTGTGTAATTTAAATGTGTATTTGTACGTGAATTGTGTTTTTGTATGTGTTTATATGTGTGTGTGTGTTTCGTATATTAAAAGTTAAAATAAATGTGAGAGAAAAGAATCCAAAGAATGGCAGCAACAATTTTTGCTTTTGATGACATCAAAGATAAGAAGGACGACGACGTCGTTGAGGTATTGTTATTGTTATTATTATTATTATTGACAAAAAAATTTTATAGGTATAGAATTTCGTTTTTTTTTTAAACATTTCTCTTTATCTTTACATTTAAATTTTAAAAGAATATTCTCGCATTTTTTTTTCTTACGTCTACTTAAACTATTTTATTGTTGTATCATTATTATTATTATTATTATTAATATTCGTTATTTTTATTATTCGAATTATTATACTATTATTGTATTATTTACGTATTATTATTATTATTATTATTATTATTACAGTATTTTTTAATTATTTTTATTATTACATACAGTATTATTTTTGTATTGTTATTATTATTATTATTATTATTATTATTATTATTACAGTATTATTTTCGTGTTTTTTTTATTATTAAAGTTATTTTTTTTAAAATATTTTTATTATTACAGTATTATTTTTCTATTATTATTATTATTATTATTATTATTATTACAGTACAATTTTTTTGAATTTTTTTTTATTATTACTATTATCATTATTAGTATTATTATTGTATTATTGTTTTGTTATTGTTATTATTATAATAATTATTACTTTTTTTTCTCGTTTTTTTAAATACTTAATAAATTTAATATTATAAATATGAACAAAAATCGGGGAAAAAAATATCAATTTTTTAATAAAATATTAATAAATAAATTTAAAATAATAAAATAAATAATAATAATAAAAATTGAAATAAATAAATAAATTATTTTTATTTATTATTATTATTTTTATTTTTATTTAAAAAATTAAAAATTACATTGTTATTTGAAAATTGTTTAAAAAAAAATTTTATTCAATTATAAAAATAATAATAATAGTAATAATTTAGTTTGTATGTAAATATATAATAATAATAATTATTTTTTAATTAAATTAAATTTAATTATTATTTATTATAATATATAATTATAATTATTATTTATTATAATATATAATTATAATTATTAATTATTATTTTTTTAATAAAAAAAGAAAAATTATAAACGAAAACGTTTTGTTTATAAATTTGAATAACGATTGAATTCAGAAATTATTATTTTTTTTTTTTTTTTTAATCTACAGGTGGAGGTCGAGTATGAAGTTAATTCGGACGATAATGAATTAATTGAATTAATCGAGTGAGTATTTCAAATACAAATATAATATATTCTATATCATTTTTCATTTTTTTTTTTTTCTTCAATTTTTTCTCAATTTTTTTTTTTAGGAAATTATGAAAAAAAAAATTCCCAATCATTTTTCTTTTTATGCCCCCAAGTTACATTTACAATGATAATAATTTGTTAAATTGAAATTTAATTATAATTTTTTTTTTTTTTTTTTATCAAAAAACTAATTTTTCAAAAAGTTAATATATATATATTATAAATTACATGGTAATTTAATTTTAAGAGAAAAAAAAAAAATAGAAATAAATTTTTTTGTTTTTGTTTCATAATCTACATGGAAAAATTAAATTAAAACTCTATTATTATATGTTTCATTATTTTGTAATTAGTTAATAATTAAATATATTTAAATAATAATTAATTGGTTTTTTTTATCAATAAATATATTTAAAAAATAATTTAATTTGTTTTATTTTTATATTTAAAAAAATAATTAAATTAGTTGTTTTTTTTATATTTAAAAAAATAAATTAGTTGTTTTTTTTTATATTTGAGTATGAAAATAAAATAATATGAATTATTTTTATTTAATAAATATATTTAAATAATTATTAACTAATATTTAATTAAATAAATATAGAATGTAGTGAAAAAAAATTAAAAAAAAAAAAGAAAGATAGGTGATATATTCTCTCTGTTAAAGACCGGATATCGATGACACGGAAGTGGAAACGGTCGTTATATCGGAGAAAAATGTTAATCAAGGAAGAGAGAGAGCTGGTCCACAGGATTTTGATATTTGCAAAGTTATTGGTAAAGGAGGATACGGAAAAGTCTTCCAAGTTCGTAAAAAAACCGGCAAAGACAGTGGAAAACTTTTTGCAATGAAGGTAAATTTTATCTCTTTGGATAATTATTATTTTGTATAATAATTTATATTTATAATCATTTTTTTTTTTATATAATTATTGTAATTTAATAATTATAATTATTAGAATTTAATAATTATAATTATTAGAATTTAATAATTATAATTTATAATTAAAATTATAAAAATTTTTATTAATAAAAATAATTCCATTTATGAATTTAAATTTATAATTTCTTTGGAATTCTGAAAGAAATTTGCCATTTCATTTTTTGTTCCTCTCGTATCTGATTACAGGAAGAAAAAAAAATGTAGAATTAATTTCATTAATATTCATTTTAATTTTATTTAAATTTTTAGAAAAGTAATTATCATTCAATTTTTTTTTGTGTCTACCATTTTATTACAATATATAAAATATATTAAGAAAATTTTTTATTAATAATGCAAACAATTAGAGTGTTTATTAATATTTATCAATATGTAAATGTATTTTTTTTATTTTCAAAATTTTAAAGAAAATGAAAATATTGTTCATTATTATTATTATTATACTTTTTTCTAAATAGGTTTTACGCAAGGCTTCAATTATCAGAAATCAGAAAGATACAGCACACACTAAAGCCGAACGAAATATTTTGGAAGCTGTTAAGGTAATGAAATTTTTTTTTTTGAAAATTAATCCAAAAATAACAATAATAATGATTTTTTATTTTGAAACAGGAGAAAATACATTAATCCGATATTGATTTAGGGGCAAAAAATATCTATTTTGAAACAGAAAAAAATACATTAATCAGATATGATCTAGTGGCAAAACTACTCTATTTTGTAAAATTAATCCAAAAATTACTGTCTTGAAACAAAAAAAAAAAAAAAAAAAACACGTTAATCCGATATAATTAATTCACAATGAAATTGAAGTTAAAATTTTTATGAAATAATTGAGTTTTAAAATAGCAATAGTTAAAATTTATTTGAAACTAATTGAATATAAGGAGATTTTTTTATTTTAAAATTTTCATAAATTGAAATTTCTAATAAATATTTTAAGAGCTTTAGACAATAATTAAATTTTGGAGAATTTTAAATTTGAAAAATTGTTTTAAATAATTGAATTTTTTGAAAATCTTGATTAAAAATTTATTAAAATTAAATTATTCAACAAAAAAGAAATTTGTAGATAGAAAAATTAAGAAATAATTGTATTTTAGAAGAGATCGATTTAAAATTTTCAAAAAATTTCAATTTAAAGTCAACAAAAATTCAATTATTTTCCAAAATTTTCAATTTAAATTTATCAAAAATTCAATAATTTTCAATTAAAAATCAACTAAAATTCAATTATTTTCCTAAATTTCAATTTCAATTTATCAAAAATTCAATAATGTTTTTTAAAAATTTCAGTTTAATTCAGCGAAAAATTTAATTTTTGAAAAAATTTTAATTCGAATTAGTATTAAACTGGGACAAAAAATTAAATTATTTTCTAAGATTTTAGTTAAAATCTGCCATAAATTCAATTATTTCAAAAAAATATACTTATTATTATGGTAATAAAATTCAATTATTTTCCAAAATTTTCAATTTAAATTTATCAAAAATTCAATAATTTTCAATTCAAAATCAACTAAAATTCAATTATTTTCCTAAATTTCAATTTAAATTTATCAAAAATTCAATAATGTTTTTTAAAAAAATTTAGTTTAATTCAGCCAAAAATTTAATTTACAAAAATTTTAATTCAAATTAGTAATAAAAATTGGAAAAAAAAATTAAATTATTTTCTAAGATTTTAGTTAAAATCTGCCATAAATTCAATTATTTCTAAAAATGTACTTATTATTATGGTGAAAAATTCCATTATTTTCCAAAAATTAAATTATTTTTCAATATTATAATTTATAATTGGACAAATACTTTTTTTTTCAAAACCAAATTTCAATGAAAATCAAACAAAATTTTTCTAAATTCGATTATTATTTTCTAAATTTTCAATAGAAATCCTAATAATGAAATTATTTGAAAAAATTTTAATTACCTATATCTTGTCGAAAATTTAATATTTTTTTTTTAAAGTCTCAATAAAATTTAGTCAAATATTAAATTATTTAAAAAAAAATTTTTCACATTAATTTGTTAAAAATCCTAAAAATCATTAGTTAGATTTTCATTATTTTTCATAATATTATTTTTGAGCCGAATTTTTATTTTTTCGAATTAGTATTTTGCATAATTTTTACCAAACCAATTTTTTCTATATTACAAAATTGTTATATAATCGAAAATTCACTTTACAGAATTTTTATTTCTTCAAATTTTTATTTACTCGAATTTTCATTTAACATAAATAGGGCATTTTAAAGAATTTTTATTGGCTAAAATTATTTATAACAGAATTTCTAATTTGACAGAATTTTCATTTGTCCGAATTTGCAAATGACCGAAACAACAATCGATTTTGGCGCGATTTTTAAATTAATAACCAATCAAAAATAATCGATAAAATTGTGATTGGTTGATAAAATTTAAAAATTGCGCCAAAATCGATTGTTGTTTCGGTCATTTGCAATTTCGGACAAATGAAAATTCTATCAAATTCGAAATTCTGTTATAAATAATTTTTCGATTAAGTTAAAAATTCTGTAGAAAAATCGGTATTTCTGGAAATTATATCAAATAATAATTCGAATAAATGAAAATTCATTTGAAAGAATAAAATGAAAATTCTATGCAATAAAATTTTAGCCAATAAAAATTCTGACAAATAAAAATTCGAACAAGTAAAAATTCTGTGAAGTGAATTTTCGGTTATATAGAAATTCTGTATTGTAGAAAACTGTTTTTGATGAAAATTCTGCAAAATACTAATTTGAAGCAATAAAAATTCGGCTCAAAAATAATTATGACACGGAGAAAAATGGAAAAACGAATAAATTAACTTTTACTATACTTTAAAAATAAAACCTGAACTGTCCGCAGTTTCTGCGCATTTCTGGCAATTTTTTACTGCAGAAATAGTAAAATTTACTATTTCCAGAATATTTCCTATTTCAGGAGTAAATTTTACTATTTCTGGAGTAAAAATTTTATTCTTTTTTTTTTCACCTCCAATTTTTTTTTTTTCTTTTTACAGCATCCATTCATTGTGGATTTGATGTACGCCTTTCAAACAGGCGGTAAACTCTACTTAATTCTTGAATATATGTGCGGTGGCGAATTATTTCGTCATTTAAATAAAGAGGGTATATTCCTTGAGGACACTGCCATTTTTTATTTATGTGAAATTATTCTTGCTTTACAACATTTACATCGTCAGGGTATTATTTATCGTGATTTAAAACCAGAAAATATTCTTCTTGACGCTGAGGGTCATATTAAATTAACTGATTTTGGCCTATGTAAAGAACATATTGAAGATGATACTGTAACACATACATTTTGTGGTACAATTGAATATATGGCACCGGAAATTTTAATGCGTAGCGGTCATGGTAAAGCAGTTGATTGGTGGAGTTTGGGTACATTATTATATGATATGTTAACTGGTGCCCCACCATTTACTGGTGAAAATCGTAAAAAAACAATAGATAAAATTTTAAAAGGTAAATTAATGCTGCCAATGTATTTAACTGCCGATGCACGTGATTTAATACGTAAATTGCTCAAGAGACAAGTTAAACAAAGACTTGGCTCGGGACAAGCTGACGCTGAACATGTGAAGAATCATAAATTTTTTGAAAAAATCAATTGGAATGATGTTATTTGTCGACGTATGAATCCACCATTTACACCAACATTAATTAGTGAAGATGATGTCTCACAATTTGATCAACGTTTCACTGCATCGGATCCAATTGATTCGCCAGTTGAGCATACACTCAGTGAGAGTGCAAATTTAATTTTTGAGGTTTGCTTCAAATTTTTGCAGAATTTTTTTTTTGTGTTCTGGGGGGCCCGTTAAAAAAGTTTTTAGAGGGTGTCCAGAACGATAATTTCAATTGAGAATTTAAAAACAATTTTTTTTTTTCTAGGGATTTACTTATGTAGCTCCAAGTTTATTGGACGAATATCCACAACCACGAGTCGTTCACGCGAGAAGTCCACGCAGAGTTTATATGAGAGGTTTCTCTCCAAGAGGGACGCATCTTAATCACAATTCACGAATGCCAAATCACAGGTCTTATAAATTTTTTTTTCTAATTTACTATTGAAAACTAATTTTATTAGATAAATAATAAAATTATTTTCATCCTCAACAGGCACAACATAGAGGATCAAGAAATGATCGAAATAGATTAATTTGTTTAGAGAATTTTTTTCTTCTTTTTTTTTATTTTTCTTTTTTTTTTTTTTGCTTCGACACTGGAGTTTGTGACGTGAAAATTCCTCAAATAATCTCAGGGAGATTTCCATGCTTTCCACAATGAAAACAAAAAAAAAAAATGAGGATTATTTTTCGTCAAAAAAAGAAAAAAAAAAAAAAACTTCATTACCAAGGCTTAGATAATTTTTGTATTAATTTTTTTTCTCGTTTTATTATACATGATGATGATGATAATAATCTCGTATAATAAGAATTAATAAAACGCTACCAAAAGAAAGGAAAAATCTGTCGATATTTTACAAAAGAGAAAGAATTCTTCGTCTTTCGTAAAATTCGACTTGGCAATTTAGTCACAATTTATCAAAAAAAAAATAAATAAATAAAATAAAAGTTAAATATATAAATATAAATAAAAAAAAAAAAAACCTCGATATTTTGAAACTCTCGTCAACTTTTTTTTTCGAGATGTTTTTTTTTCCCCCGGCATTTGTATCGCATAAAAAAATATATATAAAAAAAAGGAATTGCTCGCATAAAATAGGAAAAAAAAAAGAAAGAAAAATTTCCTGTGACGATACTTTTGACATTGACATTTAAAAAAAAAAAATATAATTTTAAAAAAAGAGAAAAGACTTTTTGATGTCAAATGTGCCTGTAGAAGAAAAAAAAAATGAAAGAAAAAATTTTTTTGAATAAACAATTTTTGAAAAAGTGTCGTCGAAATAAATTCTGATATAAAAAATACAAATCATTGACAAGATTTAATTAATTATGAAAATATATTGACTGTTTCTTTCTTTTTTTTTTTTTTTGTAAAACGATATACAATATATATTATATATATAAATATATTAAATATGACCATCAAAAAAAAATTTTTTATTGTCTCATATCTTTTTTAAAAATGAAGATTTTTTGAAATGTATATTTGCGTCGTTTGTAAAGTCAAGATTTAAATTAATTAAAAAAAAAAAATAAATAACGCTTCCATTGGCGAATGTGTGTGTGTTGTACCGCATGTTCGAAAAAAAAAAATCCTTTACTAATAAAAATTATATTAAATGCGATTGTTATTTTTAATTTGCCTTTACGATTCGATTTTTTTTTTACTATGAAAAATAATATTTTACTTTTTATTTTCGATTTAAGTGGACGGATTAAAAATTTTCCTTTTTTTTTTTAAATTAAAGGTAATTAATTTTTCCAAACAAACTGTAAATAATTAGCGACTAATAAACGGAAAATTTTAGGCTCTTTTTTGGAAATAATTATTTCTGTTTTTGACACATTTTTTTTTATGTCCTTACGATTGATGATATGCAAAAGTGGAACAAATTTTAATAAACTCTGAAAGTCAGGATTTTTATTGATCGAATTCGTTAAATTGTAAAGTATTTGTTATTTTTCCCCTCTTTTATTTATTTATTTAGATGATAAAGTCCTTAGGGCTTATAAGCCCTCCAAGGAACAATTACATAGAGCATATTTTATAATCATACAATATTTCAATGATAGTAATAATGATAAATATATAATAAAATAAAATAAAAACAAAATAAAAAACAAATCTCTAGTTATAACAAAACTTGAAAAAAATAACAGTTTATGAATAAAAAAAAAAAAAGAAACAAGATAACAGTTGCACAAAGATATCTTGCAATCTTTTATTCTTTCATTCATATACTCTCATTCATTCATAATTTCTCAGAATTATATAAAAATATTCGGAAATATAAGCATTTTAACAGTGTGTAAAAAAAAATTATAAATTTAAGTTGATATAATCCAATTATGTTTTTATCAATAAGTAATATTAAGCAATTCATTCTCGTTCTCAATTAACAGCTTAAAAAAACTATTTTTAAAAATATATTGATTCGATGCATCCCTAATCTTAACAGGAATTTTGTTCCATAATCTAGAACCCCTAATTACAAACGATTTTTGCATTTTACAAGTACGATGTTGTGGAATATTTAAAATATTTTTTCTATCTCGAAGCCTACTGAGTATAGTTTTATCTTGATTTTTGAACTCAAAAAAAAAAATTGAAAAGATAATGAGGACTTTTGTTATTAAAAATTGAAAAAAGCAAGTTTCCCATAAAATATTTTCGTCTAGTATAGCTATACATTCAATAATCTAGACTTGGTTCTATATGGGGTAATATGTTCTCCTTTAGATAAATTATAAATAAATCGAATACATGCATTTATTTTTGACACATTTTTTAACGCCCTTTCGATTGATGATGTGCAAAAGTGGAACAAATTTTAATAAACTCTGGAAATCGCGATTTTTATACGATAATGGTCCACGAAATTCGTGGAAATTGAAATTTTGTCTAAAATGTATAAAAAAAAAAAAATGATGAAATTGATAGTATAATTATTAAAATCAATAAGTTTTATGCATTTCATATAATTATTTTTTTAATAATTTATAAAAATTTAATGTTTTTATTAATTTCAATGTATTACAGTTTAGAAAGTTATTTGAAAACTTATATTTTATTTTTAATAAATTAACATAACCTTTTATTTTCAATTGTTAATTTATTTTATGTAAGAAACTCGAGTATATTTGTTTTTTTTTATGACGAAACATTATTTTCCGAATAAAAGAAAAATTTATGCTAGATTCTTTTTTTTAAACAAAAAATTCTTATAGTTAATGTAAATTGAGAAATCTATTAAGAAAAGAACAAAGATTTATATATTTGTGTCCTTTTCTATTTCACTGGACAAATACCGCCACAAAATTTATTAAGGCTGTTTTACAATATACTTTCTTTACATGGGTAAAGGTGCTTTTATACCTCATTTAGTATTTTGGTCAAGCAATCGGCTGGATTGAATTTTCACGGAGGAATCACTGAATTTGATTGGCTTTAACAAAATTCAATTATCACAGTGAAAATCTAATATATGTCCTGAGCCAATCAAATTCAGTGATACAACCGTGAAAATCCAATTCAGCCGATTGTTTGACCAAAATACTGGAGGTATAAAAGCACCTTAAAGGTGCTTTCATAACTCCAATATTTTGGAGAATTTTGAATTGAATTTATTTGGTTCTAAAAAATATTCAATTTTCACACTGGAAATGGAATATTTGTCATAGCCAATCGAATTCAGTGATAGAAAGCGTGAAAATTCAATCCAGTCGATTGCTTGACCAAAATAGTAAATATTCCATTTTCGTTTAAATCTTTTAAGGTGTTTCCACAACAACTTGTCAAAGATTTTTGCTTTGTTAAGTCAAAAAGGTGCGCGCGCAACAGTGTCCAGTTGTCGAAAATAAATAAATTATTAATTAAAGACTACTTATAATTACTAATTACTAATTAAGTTGTTGTGAAACCACCTTTATAATGGCGGAAATGGAATATTTGTCAGAGCCGGAAACAACGGAGGTATAAATGCACCTTAAACGTATTCCGTTTTACGTCACCGTAAAATCGTCAACGAAAAGCGTAAACCATGAGAGTGACAAAGATAGTGATAACTTTTTGTCTCTCTCTCACTCAGAAGGTTTACGTTTACCGTCGATGGTTTTTTTTTTCACGTCGAAATGTGACGGCACCTTAATGGGGGAAATTAAACGTTTACGTTTGAAAGCCAATGAGAACTCTCTATTAGAATTATTTCCATTGAACCAAACGTTTCTATTGGCTCATGCAAACGGACCATTAACTAACATACATTTAGTTCCAAAAAACAATTGTTTATAAATAAAATAGAAATATACTATAAATATTTATAAATATGTAACAAATAATACAAAATATTAAAAATAATACAAAAAAAATACCATTTTTATATACATCCTTTATTATCGACGGAGTATTGATTCTTTGAGTTCTCAAAATTCCCACAGCGCTGCGATCACTTTTTTCTCTATTTTCTATTTAATTTTCTTAATTAAATAATTTATAATAAAAAATTATTAATTTAATATCAAAAATTTAAAATTCTCAATGATTAATAAAAAATAATAATAGTGTTTTCGTAGAAAACAAAAAAAACGATCAAAGCTTAGATTGTGATTTGGTATTTAAAAATTGTAATTTTAACTTTTTGCGCGTGCGCAAAACCGAAACTTCCTTTTCCTGTTGTTCTCTGTAAAAGGTTTGTGTCTATTTTTTTCAGGATATGTTATAATATCCTAATTTTATGAATTAATCGTTAATAAAATGTTTTAATATATTATATTGTGATAAACGAAAATAATCCAAGTTTTTGTTAATAATTATATTTTTTTAATATTTAGAAAAACAATTGGATTTTCATTTACAGAAACGAAAATGGTCCAGCGTTTAACCTATAGACGACGATTGTCGTACAACACAAACAGCAACAGGAGACGAGTGTGAGTTAAAATATTGAATATATATAATTTATTTTAGTTTTCTTATTTTTTTTTATTCTCTTTGCTTTCTTTTCCTTTGGAATTTGTTTTTTTCGAAAATTATTACGAATTTTTTTTTCCGTGGGCGTAAAAAAAAATATAAAACTTTCGTTCGGTGATAAAAAAATCAGGTTATGTTTTGAATTGTCGACGCTAACTTCCACGTGGATTTGAATTTAATTAAAAATTTTAAAAAATAATTTGTATTTTCCTGGAATTTTTCGTTATTTTTTTCTAATTTTCTTTTTGTTTAACCAAAATTTTGTCGAATTGGAAAAGTGGGATTGAAAAAAAAAAAAAAAAAAAAGTGAGGTTATGTTTTTCGGAAATATATCTGTCAAAAAAAGTAAATTTCGATTTTTTTTTTAAAAACAAATTAAACTAATTTATTTAATAATTATTGAAAATGTTAATTAGTCACAAAAAGATAATTAGCGAGAAATTTTTTTTAATAAAAAATCGGGAAATTTTATTTAAAAAATAGAAGTAGAATTTTAATTTCTTTTTTAATTTTCGGTTTTTTCATTCCTTTTTTTTGAGTAATTTTTGAATTAATAATTAAATATTAATATTAAATTGAATTAAATATTTTATATTTTAATATTTTTGTAAATAAATATTAATAAATATTTTAAAATTCAAAAATTAAATATTTTAAGAATAAAAGATTAACACAAATTTTAAGAATAAAAAATTAACAAATATTTAATATTTAAAAATAAACAAATATTTTGAGAATTAAAAATTTTTTTTTAAAATAATAAAATTAACAATTAATAAAATAAAATAAAAATTCCCTGCAAAATTTTTTGTTTATAATTTGAAAATTTCGAAAATTATCAAAAATTTCTTTTTCAAAAATTTTCTTTTCGTTATACAAAAAATTGTATTTTCTTTATTTTTCACTTCTTTTTATTTTCATTTTTCTAAGAATTTTTGTTGAAATATTTTTGTAATTTAATTTTTTTTTTCTTTAATAACCAAAAAGTTGAAAAATGCAAATTTTTTTATTTTTAAAAATAATTTCTTTTCTTTTTGATTAATGAGAAAATTTTTTTGTTTTTATTTAGTGTTCGCACTCCTGGTGGAAAATTGGTTTATCAATATTTGAAGAAACCAAAGAAGATCCCAAGATGTGGACAGTGCAAAGATAAATTGAGAGGAATTCAACCGGCACGTCCAATGGAACGTTCTCGAATGTGCAAAAGAAAGAAGACCGTAAAACGTGTTTACGGTGGTGTTCTTTGTCACAAATGTGTCAAAGAAAGGTAAATTTCAATTTAATTAAATTGTATTTTTTTATAATTATTTTCCTTAATATTTAGAGAATAATTATAAAAAAAAATAAAGAAAATAGTAAAATATTTTCTTTCTTTTATTATTTTTTTCATTTTTAAATTCGTTAATAAAATATTTTTTAAAAATACTAATAAAATATTTTACAAATATATTACGAAAATATTATTAAATAATTATTTTTTAACTATTCTCAAAAAAAAAAAAAAAAAATACTAAAACATTTTTTAAAAAAATTACTAATAAAATATTTTTAAAAAAATACTAATTAAATATTTTTAATAAATTTTAATAAAAATTTTTTTTTTTTTTTAAAATAAAATTACTAAAATAATTACAATTGCCGATTTTTTATTTTCAGGATCGTTCGAGCCTTCTTGATTGAGGAACAAAAAATTGTCATCAAGGTTATCAGGGCGCAACAAGCTTCAACAAAAACGAAGAAAGCTGAAAAATAATTTAAAAAAAAAAAAAAAAAAAACATCTCTTTACTTTATCTTTAAATAAAAAGTAGAAAAAACGAACATCTTCACGTGAGTCAATTTTTCCCATCTTAATCTTAATTTTTCCCATGTTTGCAAAAAAAAAATTATTTGCAATATAATTAATTTTTTTTTTTAAATCTATTTTTTCCAATTTCACCGACAAAAAATCTGCGGGGAACTTTAAAAAAAAAAAAAATTTTTTTAAACTACCAATGAGAAATTTTTATCATTTACTAAATTTACAAAAATTGGTTTAATTCTAATTTTTTTTATAAAAATATATAAAAAGAATTGCAAATCAATTGAAAAAATTGGTAACAAAAAAAATGATGATGTTGTGTTTATTTCAAAATTCCTGCGTTTAAGGGGTCTACCCACTTTAGACAGGCTAAAAAAGGCTATTTTCATATATATTTTTTTTAAGTTTATATTACAAATATTGATATGCGAGGTATTGCACATAATAAATACACTCTCGAAGTGCAAAAAAAAATGTTTTTGATTTTTTTCAATTAATTTTTTTATTTAAAAATACATGTTGAAAAATATGTTTAAAAAAAAATGTGGTGCGCGCTGTTGATGAAATTTTTGACACGGATGGTCTGAAACAAAAAATTCAAACGGTATTAGATTCAGCATGTTGATAGCTATTGCGCATATCATACGATTTTTTTTTTTATGCAAAATTGACAAAATGGCGGCTATTTTACGAAAAAAATGTAAAAAAAACGTTGTTTTTTGACCGTTTAGGGCCTAAAAAAAATTTTTAAAATCCCTTGATATGCGCAAGAGCTATGGTCCCAATGAATATGTGGTAAAAATTTGGTAAGGATCGGTGGAGCCGTTTCCAAGATTTCATCAACAGCGCGGAAAAAAAATTTTTTGTGGGATTTTTTTTCAACTACCATCTTCATGCATATAAAATTTACAAAAACAAATAACAAAAATTTTTTCATGTATTTCGGGAGTGTATTTCTTTAGTCTAACAATTTATATGTCAATATTTATAATATAAACCAATCAGAAAAATTCTTGAAAACAACCTTTATTTTAGAGCGTCTAAAGTGGGTAGACCCCTTAATGAATATTTGGGTGTCAATGAACAAGAAAATACAAAAAAAAAAAAATAAATTTTTTAATTTGTTCAGTTTCCTAAAAATAATGGTTAAATTTTATTTAAAAATTTACGAAAAAATTTTTTTAAAAAAAGGGCGGTAAAATTTTTGAAATTATCCTATTGTTGATAATATAGATTGCATTCTTATCATAAACTGACAAATTATACTTTCTAAACAAAATTTTTTATTTTCTATACAATTTTCGAAATTTCATTTCTATTATCAAAATAACTAATTAATAATATTTGAAAAGTGAAAAAAATTATTATTTTTAAATCACTGTTTTTTTAAAAAAATAACTTAATTTTTTTTCCGTTAAAATTAGACCTTATTTCGAAATAAATTTTTAATACGTTTTTCGTGTTTTTGCTGGAAAATTTACCATGGAAAAGAGTACCATGATTGATAGAAACGATTAAAATTTTGAACACCGTGTAAATAAGTCCCAAAAATTTTTTGTTTTTTGTAGAATTTTTTTTTTATGATTTTAAATTGACTGAAAGAACGATGGGGGTCAAAAATATATAACATTGTAGGTTAAAAAAAGGAAATAAAAGAGAATTTGTTAAAAAAAAAATTTTGGGCCTTATTTCAAAATGAATTTATAATACGTTTTTCGTATTTTTTGGAAAATTTACCATGGAGAAGAGTACCATGATTGATAGAAACGATTAAAATTTCAAAATCCGGGTAAATAGGGCCCAAAAAATTTTTTTTTGGTAAAATTATTTTTTTTATGATTTTAAATTGATTGAAAGAACGTTGGGGGTCAAAAATATACAACATTGTAGGTAAAAAAAGGAAATAAAAGAGAATTTGTCAAAAAAAATTTTGGGCCTTATTTCAGAATGAATTTTTAATACGTTTTTCGTATTTTTTGGAAAATTTACCATGGAAAAGTGTACCATGATTGATAGAAACGATTAAAATTTTGAACACCGTGTAAATAAGTCCCAAAAATTTTTTGTTTTTTGTAGAATTTTTTTTTTATGATTTTAAATTGACTGAAAGAACGATGGGGGTCAAAAATATATAACATTGTAGGTTAAAAAAAGGAAATAAAAGAGAATTTGTCAAAAAAAAAATTTTGGGCCTTATTTCAAAATGAATTTATAATACGTTTTTCGTATTTTTTGGAAAATTTACCATGGAGAAGAGTACCATGATTGATAGAAACGATTAAAATTTCAAAATCCGGGTAAATAGGGCCCAAAAAATTTTTTTTTGGTAAAATTATTTTTTTTATGATTTTAAATTGATTGAAAGAACGTTGGGGGTCAAAAATATACAACATTGTAGGTAAAAAAAGGAAATAAAAGAGAATTTGTCAAAAAAAATTTTGGGCCTTATTTCAGAATGAATTTTTAATACGTTTTTCGTATTTTTTGGAAAATTTACCATGGAAAAGTGTACCATGATTGATAGAAACGATTAAAATTTCAAAATCCGGGTAAATAGGGCCCAAAAAATTTTTTTTTTTGTAAAATTATTTTTTTTTATGATTTTAAATTGATTAAAAAAAACGTTGGGGGACGAAAACATATAACATTGTTGGTAAAAAAAGAATTAAAAGAGAATTTGTCATAACAAATTTTGGGCCTTATTTCGAAATGAATTTTTAATACGTTTTTCGTGTTTTTTTTGGAAAATTTACCATGGAAAAGAGTACCATGATTGATAGAAACAATTAAAATTTTGAAATCCGTGTAAATAAGGCCCAAAAATTTTTTGTTTTTGGTAGAATTATTTTTTTTATAATTCTAAATTGATTGAAAGAACGTTTAGGGACGTAAATTTATAACATTGTAGGTAAAAAACATAATAAAAGAGAATTTGTCAAAAAAAAAAATTTTGGGCCTCATTTCAAAATGAATTTTTAATACGTTTTTCGTATTTTTTGGAAAATTTACAATGGAAAAGAGTACCATGATTAAAAGAAACCATTATAATTTCAAAATCCGGGTAAATAGGGCCCAAAAAATTTTTTTTTAATTGTAAAATTTTTTTTTTTTTATGATTTTAAATTGATTAAAAAAACGTTGGGGGACGAAAACTTATAACATTGTTGGTAAAAAAAAGAATTAAAAGAGAATTTATCATAACAAATTTTGGGCCTTCTTTCGAAACGAATTTTTAATATGTTTTTCATCTTCCTTGGAAAATTTACGATGAAAAAAAGTACCGCATGATTGAAAGAAACGATTAAAATTTCGAAATCCAGGTAAATAAGGCCCAAAAATTTTGTTTTTTTTTTGGTAAAATTAAATTATTTATAATTTTAAATTGATTGAAAGAACGTTTGGAGACGAAAATTAATAACATTGTAGGTAAAAAACGAAATAAATGAGAATTGGTCATAAAAAAATATTTAGGGCCTTATTTCGAAATGAATTTTTAATACGTTTTTCGTATTTTTTGGAAAATTTACCATGGAAAAGAGTACCAAGATTGATTAGAAACGATTAAAATTTCAAAATCCGGGTATATAAGGCCCAAAAATTTTGATTTTTTAAAAAATTATTTCTTTTCTTTATTTTAAACTGGATATAAATCTAATTTAGAAAGTTTTTTGACGAGAAACGTTTTTTTTTCAAAATAGTAAACGTATCGTAATATAGAAAATAGAAAAATTTTTTTTTGGGGCCTTTTTGATTTTTGATTATTTGGTAATATTTTTTTGAATCCATTAACATGGGTACAAGTTTCAGTGGGAAATTTGTCACTCGTTTGAAATAAACTACTATCGAATTAATTTAATTAAAACTGAAAATATTAATTTAGAAAAAAATTAATTTATTGAAAATGTAAAATTTGAGAATTTTTGTTTTGAATTAATATTAGAGAAAAAGGATGTTTTTTTTTTTTTTAATTTTACCGCGCCTTTAAAATAAAATCAGTATATAGTAGCATATTGTTACACTAAACAGTGTTGTCGTATACGTTTAATTAACGGCTATATAAAGTTTAGTTAATAGCTGGTGTTGTATGTGTGCAATCGAGAGTAATTTGCTGCGCGGTCAGAATGGCATGATTCCTATAATTTCCCCCACTCACCCCCCCACCCCTCCTCCCTCTACTCTTGCTGCCTCCTTCTCAGAGTTTTGTGTTTGACAAAATAACAAGTAGGTGGGTGTCGGTTTTCACACCCGTGGCACCACGGGGCTTCTCTTGGGAATGTAAAAAAGGCCCCCCCAAACATACAAAACCGGTCCCGATGAATCTTTTGTTGGCGGCGGCAGCCTCGTCTCACTGAATATCTGAGAGAGAAAGAGAGAGAGAGAGCGAAAAAGGCCCCCATATGTATTCTTTGCATTTCAAAGAGTAACGTCGAAAAACTTGTCGGTGTTCCCCCCCCCCTATTTTTTGATATTACGCGAGAAATTCACTTTTTTTAAAAAGTTATTCAATTTTTTTTTTAATTTATCAACACGTACTTTCGTAAATTGATTTCAAATGTGTTTTTTCAGATTTTTTGGAAAATTTACCTCTGAAAAGTGTACCATGAACGTTATATTTCGATGATTTTTTACTGAGATATTGGTAAATTTCGAAATAAGGCCCAAAATGTCAAAAAAAATTTTTTTCACTTTGAAATGATTTTGAAAATTTCCTTTTTTTGTTTAAAAACTTTGATAATTTTTTTTTTGCTTGTATTTTCCATGAATTTTTATCGAGAGACGATTAAATTTCAAAATAAGGCCCAAAAAAAAAAAATTTTTTAACTTTAACCATAAAAGTACAAAAATACATACATATATATCAAATAAAAGAAAATTTGCCGAACTGAAAATTTTATTCAACTAAAAAAAAAAAATGTATAAGGCCCAAAATGAATGAGAATTATTTTTAAAATAATTGATAATTGGTAAAAGAAAATTAGACCCAAAATTTAAAAAAATTTAAAAAGTAATAAATCATTTT